TAAACCAATATACCTAAATACAAAAAATGAAAAAAACAAAACATAAATTTGTCGAAATTTGTTTTTTAAAACTAAAAAATAAATATGTTTTTTTCGCATTAGGTAAATCTGATGAATTTTGAAAGAAAACATTCCAAATTATAATGTGCGACAAAAAACTAGAAGAAACGCGTAATTTTTAAGTTAATTAGGGCCGGTTTATCAATGTACGGTTAAAGTTGCAGTTAGGTAGTTATCTGGCAGATAATCTCCATGGATACCATTGTTCTCACAACGATCGATATGGAATTTAACTGTCAGATAGACTAACTGGAACTTAACCAGAGATTGATAAACCGGCCCTTAGTCTTCAAAATCTGTACTCAAGTGAACTGGCTGAATGACCATTGTGCCTCTAACTATTGGAAATACGAAAAAAAAAAATGTCAATCTGTCAACCGTTTTGCCACGTTGTGATTTGAGATTATTTATCGTAGTATTGGTGGATTGCGTCACAGTCTCGAAAAAATTGATAATTATCACGTTATAAGTGTGTTTTCTTCTTACTTTGCCACTGTAACACCCGAAACGAAAAATCATGTAATTGTTTTATTATTATACCTTACAGATTGATCAGTGTAATAATATTTAGCAAAAGTAACGTTATGGGGTAATGATTTAAAATAGTAACCAATATCTGAGCACGATACTAATTTGATATTTGTTTATCTTGATTAAAAACTGTAACACCCGAAACGTTTCGGGTGTTACCTTTTTTCATATGCCGATATGATGTATGTGTGTGTATTGCTTGAAAAATGCATTAAGTATTATTTTTAAGGCTCTTTCGACGACTCACTAGCGCCGCCATCGGAAAAGCAGTCACACCTCTTTTAAAAAGGTGTGACTGCTTTTCCGATGGTGTTGTAGAACCTACCGAAATTTCGGCATTTCTACCGAAATGGCAACGGACCTACCAAAATACCGAATACTTAGATTTTCGTCGAAAATTAAGTTTCTACCGATTTTTGGCAATAATAAGCTGCTAAGTTATGTTTAAGGAGAATTCATTCTATTTATGTTTATTTGTTACTAACTTATTTTGTAGTACCTACCTAAATACTACTAAAAAACAAGAAAAAAACTAAAAAAAAACTGGTTTAGTACTGGATTTCGATTGATTATTCTTTATATCATTGATTAAGAAACTCAACGCTTAAATGCTTATTTATATACCTAGTTACGTTATAACTATAGTGTGTGTATTTTATCTAAGGGATCATGGTGAATTATTGCGTTTTAAATTGTAAATAAAATTCAAGAACTAAATCGTTGCATTTTCATGTTTTGCCAAAGGATCCAATTCGGTAAGTACATTTGTTGGTGCAGAATTAACTAATGATAACTTTACCTAATTTAATTTATATTTAAGTTTGGAAATTTTTTAAGAAATTAGTAAAATATAATTTTTTGCACAAACATAACCTTAAAATCAACCATTTTTATATTTGAGTTCTCTAAAAAACGCCGACAACTGCATTTTAAACAACAAAATATACCTACGAATATACAGAATAGGTATAATGGTATTTTACCGTTGAGTGGTGACTTTCTTAATCAACGCTTTTAATAATGCTAAATGCTGTTTAAATTTAGACGACTTATTTGTTTGACGATTATTACCGAATTGAAATGTTTACACTTTTCATGTTAATCACTACTAAAATGTGTATTTATTGTATTTAATAGATACAATTTATATTTACAGGGACTGTATGAAATTTATTTCTTCATTCGGATTAACACTGTTTATTGGAAAACCGGTAAAAACTCAACCCAGGATTTCCTCTCGAAATACACACAACAACACAACAAATCAGCGTATGGCAAATTCCAAAAGTTTGATTTTTAAAATTGAAATGCAAATTTTCAAGATAACTATACTATAAAACTACCTATCGAGTAAAACGATAAAACCTTGAATTTTAAAAGTAAGATTTAATAACTAGTTAATAATAAAGTAGTTGCAATATTATTATTCAATCAAAAAGGTATCATCAATAATTCACAACAACAAACATTTTAACGATTATACGAAATAGTTAGTTGGATAAAAAAAACACAACTCTTGAGTCATTCTTCAGCCATATGGTATTATTTAAAAAAGAGATAAAAGATAAAACGGAACGCGGGTTTACTGCCTTTATAAAGGCACTATGGTGCACACAAAACAATACGAAAATTTATTTTTATTCCCATTCGTTCTATTTAAACTCAAAGGATATCAAAGGGTACTCGTTAATTTTATTTTCAGGATGGAATGTTACATTCTACAGTAGACAAAATTTTAAAAATCTTGACAGTCAGTATTTTTAAAGAGTTACGTTTAACCTTAAAATGACAAAAATTTATTTTAATTGAAATAGCAAAATTAGTCGCAATTAAAAGTAACTTATCTTATACGAAACATCAAAATTAAACATAGTTCATTATCTATGGGACTTTGACTTTAAAATTAAGCACATCGAACAACATTGTTTCTTACCCGAGTCGTCAAAAAAAAAATTATGTATAAAAATCCACACACACACACGCAATGATCACCAGGGCCCGACTCATCGACAAAATGGCGCCGTTTGCGTAAAAAAACATCTGCGAACCAAAGTTTATTTAAAAAAAATCTGTGGGATTAAAATATTTAGGACAGCAATTAATCGATGTTTACTTTATTTACTTTTATTGTTTCAATAACCTCGTCGCAATTTTAGCTTTAATAATAATAATAATAATAATAAAGTTTATACTTTTACGCAAAATGTCAAACTGCCAGGCGTTGTTTATTCGGTTTCCATGACAACCGTTTTTCGGACTTTTTTTATTACAAATAACTTTTTTGAATGCATTTTTATGTAGATAATTTTTTGGGTACTTGTGAAGGAAATAATAGTGAACAATTTGGCCTTGTAAACCGTGGTAAATTGCAGTTATATACCTATGTATGTAGGTATGTAAAATTTAAATTTTAGCAATATGTCCAGTTTGATAAATAAATAACAGTAGGCTGCGTTCAGCGGTGCCAATGTGGTAAAAATAAAACGTTTAATAAATTAATATTTTATCACAAATTAAAGTATTATTAAAAACTAAAACATTGAACAAAATAACTCTTTGTTTGGTAGTTTTTTTAAGTTAAATTCTATTAAAACTCTTTAAATGGAGATCCACGTAATTTTTAGCCAAATTCAGTTTTCAAAACATGCTTTATTTTGAGGTTAATCTAGTAGGTTAAGGCGTAGTAGGTACAATGTTAATTTAGTAACAATTGAACAACAAAAGCGTTTTTTATGTAATTTTGCAATTATTTGACGTTTTTTTAAAGAAATGCACTTCGAGCCCAATCTCGATGAAAGTTTTTTAACAGTTTAACATGTATGGAAAACTTTATAACGTTTTTTATTTAATTTAGACGGTTTTTCAACGGTTTAGGCGTAATTACAGTTAATCTAGTAGGTCACAAGTTCTCAACAATTTAATTTGTTTTAAGCGTAAAATCTAGTGGCTAGTTTTTTAAGGGACTTACCTATGAGTTGGATTTCTTTGAGAGTATGCCATGTTCGTATTTCCTTGGCCATGTTCGATTCTTGGGTGTACTTCCATAGTAAAACATCAAAAATAAAATTCACAGGCACTCGCGTTTTTAATTATTTCTGCTGCGTGGTCGGGCAAATCACAATTTTCCACCGCATCATAGCACTAGGCATTTACCTTTACGTGTACGCTAAAATTTCCTGGGACGTTTCCCTCGTGGCGGTCGGAAGAAACGCAACAAACAAAACAGCACAAAACACTTTTGGGGAAAAAACACCTGGGCACTCGCGCGTTTTTTTCGGATTTGTTTGCCACGTTCCCGGGCTCGTACGAAATTTAATATACTATATAATACAACGTCGACATCTTGGATTGAAAACGCTGTTATTTCGGTACGAACAGGTCCCGGACTAGTCCATTCGCGGCGCGACCGAGGGGAGGTAGCACCGCAACAAAGATACACTCGAACCGCTCTCGCGGCAAGCTCAGACGTACGTTTTCAGAGCCATCTCTTTTCGACCTACTCAACCGTAATACTTCACTTTCAAGACGTATGTCTATGATCGTTCAGCGGGTTTTTAAACGTGTTAGATAAAGATGGAAAGATTTCGGTTGCCTTAAAGTAGATGTGCTCTTACGAGTTCACTGAAAAAAATAACATTTTTGCCCAGGAAAACCTTTGCGAATATTATTTTAAGGTTAAAATTTTGTTTCCACAGAATTTTAGCCATATTTATTTCTTCAAAAAAACCTAAATTAAAAATGTTATAGCTACTACATACAACAAATGCAATTTTAAAATACAGGGTGTTTTTAAAATACCCAAGTAACTTTAGGATGCAATATTTTAGATAGAAAAAATAAATAATAAAAAATATTTACCTATGTTTACAAAAATAAAAATCACCTCTGCAAAAGTTATGGGATAAACGAATTTAATTTTTTTCTTGAAAATTAAGCAAGATAGAGAAAAAACGCTATAGACAAAAAAGTTAAAATCTTTTTACATTTATAATTTTTTTAATAAACTTGTAGAATTTCTACCTACATGTAAACTCGAACCTTATTTAAATATTTTATTAAATTTTATACATACTAACTTTTAAAGGCGATGTATTGATTTAAAAAATTAACGTTACCGCTAAAAAAGATTTTAAAATAAATAAAATAAAGTGCTTTTTAACCTCATGAATTTTAGATTCAATATTTGACGAAAATAGAAGTAGACAGACAATTTATTTTAAATAAATAATAACTACCTACCTATGTAGGTAGGTACCTAAGAAAATCTACATTTAAATTTTATGAAACAAAATAAAAAATAGACGTCGTAGTAGGTACAAGACAAACGCTTTAAAATCTTCAGTCGATATCGATTTGATCTAAATTATTAGTTACTAGGTATTATAAAATCAATGGCTTATCTACAATTTAACATTTATTTATGTATGTAGGTATAAACCCACCAATAAAAACAAATTTAAATCAACTCTCATTATTATTACTTTCGAGGTAAAAAAAACGTGTTTTTTGCATCCACAGCCAAGAGAAACAAAACACGAAAGCATTTACGAAATCGTAAACGTGGAAGCGCGTCGATTTGGCAACGTTGCTGCCTAGGCAACCGCGGATCGATACAGCGAACGCGATCGATCACAAGAACAGACTCGTTCGTGAGAGTTCGGGTAACATCGGTTGATTCGTCATAAAAGGGCAAAACCATTTTATTTATTATTTACAATTAACGGTATAATTTTAGTCACGAATTTCAATAAGGCGTAAAATAAAGATTAGATTCTTTTATAAATTATTTTCAAAGCGAAGATTATTATCCGCTAGGAATACTTGGTCTCTCCTGGGCCGTAGTCACCTATATTTAACTACTTGTTTATATGATTTTACTCATCTACGCACCACCGAAGCCAAATTAATTGCATTTTTAACTACGAATTTTGACAACTTAACTTGACAACCTGCAATGATTTAAACATAACCACAATTACATTTTTGCAACGTTGCCGCTGTCCAGATAAAAAAAATGAACTCTTTGCCGGCAAATACTAGAACTGTTTTTGGTGAAATTTCGAAAATTGAAATGTTCTTCCGATCTTTTCATGGCCCGACATGACCGACGGTAATCGCGGGCGCGCGACGTTGCCGTTTTGCGCTCGGTCGCCCGCCAAAGCGGGCACAGCGGTCGACTAAATGGCAACGTCGCCCGCATCTTGGCATGTCATTGACTTGAATTGAAAAAAAATCGATCGACGTTCATAATTTCCCAGTAATAACAGGCTGATTAATTTTCAGTTTTTTGTTTTTTTGTCGTTTTTGTGCAATGAAAATCAATTTCGTTATTTTTTTTTGTTTTAGATGTATTTTTCTAATTCCACCTTTAAATAGTTGACATATGTCATGGAATTGACAGCTGTCAGACGGATTTAACCTCACTAATTGACAAATGTCAAATTGAAAATCTTCCTGAAATTAAAAATAGACAAACCGCCGAAAAAGTTTCGAAATTAATTGGTTTTTTTCGCTATTGTTGGCAAAACTGCTTTTTATCGACTAAATTGTTTGTTGTGATCGTTACGTATATTTGTATTTGTCAACAAAAATATTGTAATTTTAAAAATTAAATTAAAAAGGCAATATGCTGCCTATAAAAAATTACCCCCGCAAATATACAGGGTGTTATAGGTGTCCAGACCCCATCAAGAATTTTAAGATAAGGTAATTTTTTATTTTTCCTCGATTGTATTATTTTTAAAACTTTTTTCACATTAAGAATAAAAGTGAAAGAGGTGGATCCAACAAACAGCAGAATAAAAGATGACGACGAAAAATGGATTGAAAAAACCTTCAAATGGCAGGAAAAAGTTTTCAGCAGAGCTGAAAAAATCGCGTTTTCCGAAATAAAAACTTCCATAACTGAATTGGAAAAGCGATACAATCAAAACTTGGAAACTTCCATCAAAGAAGAATGCGATGATTTTTTATTTTCCTACACGGATGAAGATACTTTTGAATTTGATAAGTTTGAGGTTAGTTTTAAGTAATTATCTCCCCACTCTTAAATCTAAGCGATTTTTTTATTTTAGAATGTTAAATCGAGTTTTTCATACTTGGAAAATTTAATGGAAAGCCTGGAAATAAAAAAATCGGAGGAAAACCTTGATTTTGACATTGCAAAATCGATTTTAAATTCCATTGAATGTCCAGTGTTAAAAAATCAATTCTATAAAATGCATATTATGGCAGATTTTGGGTAAATTAAATAAATACAGTTCATTTTTTTACAACTCAACTTGAAATCGTTCAATCTAACCTACAATAGTTTAAACATAACCTCAATTTCATTTATAACTAGTTTAGTTTTTTTTAATCAATGCAACCAATTTTGGTTACGTATTTACCAACCAAAACCCTAAATTTGCAACGTTGCCGCAGTCCAGATAAAAAACAATAAAATTCTTCAATTTTTAGAGAATATTTTAAAACCACATGGATAGAACGACTTTATCCCATATGTACATTAAAATTTGAACCCAACAACAAAATGTTACACATTTATCCAGATTTTACGAAAAAAATTCCATACCTGATAAAAATCGACAATAAAACTAAAAAAACGTACCAATATTTTATAGAGAACGCTTCAGAGCCTCTAAATGAAGGAATTCTAATGCAGGAGCAAAAATTATTCAAAAAGGTAAACTTAAATCCGGCAACACTGCCCTACCTTCATAAAAAATACTTTTTAGCTCATTAACAATCAAATTGTTTTGAAGAAAAACCTCACGGGTAAAGATTTTTACGTGCCCCCGAAAAACAAGCTTTTCGTTTACATATTTGCCGAAATTTTGACAGCTAGAAACTTTGAATACGCAGATATTTACGTTAAATATTACGTGGATTTACCCGAACATTGGACGTGTCAGGATACAAACACCCTGTATGGAATAACGCAAGTTGGGTGCGGTAAAAATGACGAAAAAAACGTTCATTTTGGTTATAATTTCGAGTTGGTTTTGGAATATAACATCCAAAACTCCAAGGGTGAGTTTAATTGCTGTTTTTGTAACTTACCTGTAGAAATTCCACTGGTGCTTGTTGAAGTTGCATTTTCTTCGCAATTTCGCCTAAAATTGTAAAATCGTAAAACGCTCTATTAACTTTAAAACACAATTACCATTCTCGAATGCTTTTGAAGCCACCGAACCTTTATAAACATCGGGTTTATTTTATTGCACATCACATCAACAACTAAAAGCACTTTTAAAATTGACAGAACCCGCCGTTTCTCATGGCAACAGTTTTTGACGGATATTTCTGTCGAAATGCGCGGCCATTTCAAATCGACGTCACATTCCAGATCTGCCGAGATGTCCCACAGTGTATTTCGAAATAATTTCCAAAGATTCCTGGAAGATATACCGAAACGAGGGCGTGACGTACAAAATCCTGCCGATAAATCAGCCGGGAACGCACAAATTCGAATTGCAGTGCTTTCGGTTCGGGAAAAATGACGTCACCGGCGATTTGAGGAGATTTTTCGTGGGCGACTGCGGCAACTACGACGACGTCACGTGGGTAGGCCGACCGAAAAACGAAGAGGTGCGACTAATTTGACAGATAAATGACAGTTTTGACAGTTTGTTTGATTTTAGAGCCGCATTTTGAACAAGTTCGGTACGAATACGGTCGGGACGGGCAGTTTAAAGGTTCGTTTGAACGTTTTGCACCAGTCGCAAGCGTTTTTGGACGAATTCTCCGAAAATGCCGCGTTGAAGAATAGAGAAAGATTGATTTTTGACAAGCTGAAAACTTCCAGTTTACTGAAAAGTGTCGAGGAGGTGGTACAGGCTTTCAAAAGGGCTAGAAAAAACATGCTAGAGGCCAGAAAACAAATTTAGATAAGTATTAAATAAATAACAACAATATAAACTATAAAACCGTTTATTTTGAATACATTGTAAAACTTAAATATAGTATAAATATGTAAATAAGTACTAAGGCACAAATAATGATATGTCATAATAAAAATTATCTAATCTACCATAAAATTGTAATACTTCTATAAAATATATTTATTTGTTTGAGATTTTACACAGCATTAAGGCACAATATTTATTAAAAATTAATTCACATGAGTAGTGTTCAGAGGTGTGAATATTCTACCTTTTAAGGTTTGTTTATGAAAGTATGATGGGTACACCAAGTTCCATACAATGCAAATACCCATAAGTAAAACGTACAGGACTATTGAAATGTGCCAAATTATTTTTTCAGTTCTGTTTACGCTTAGATTTCTCAAGACGTTTATTCCAACTAATAGACCCACAACAGCTCCTAAATTAAAAATATATAATATATACATGGTGTTTTTTTCTAAATTCTAATTCTAATTTAAACTTTAAGCTAATCTGGTTGCCTAATTTAATTTATTATGTTACGGTTGACGCGTTTCCAGATTCTGTCAAAAAAAGTTGCCAGATTTTGTTTAAATTTAGCTTAGTTACAAAAATGACAAAATCAACAATGCAATGCAATGTCATTTGGGTAATGAAGGTAAATTCAAACAAAATCTGACAACTTTTCCAGAATCTAGTGCATTTCTTTCAAATTTTAGGTTATGGGCCCAAATTGTAAATATCTCAACTAAGGGAGGTGCTTTTGGATTTATTTACACAAATTGAATGTTTAAAGTTTAACCTAATTTCATCTCAGTAACCAGAAAGAAAAAAACCGATGAAAAAATTATGTTTGTGGTTTTTAGAATAGTTACTAAATTTTTTAATCATTGCTTAAGCTAATAGCTGGACGAGTAAATAAATGCAGAAGGGTATTAGAGCTTTAAGGGCAAAAAACTTGTGTTTATTGAGTTTTTATTTAATTTTTGCAAGTAGGTAGGTAGGCAACGTTTAAATTTTTTTTAAATAATCCTTTAAAAAAATTAGAAATACTGATAATATTTGCACTTACCGGCGAAATGTGCCGCATAACCTATATGTTCTTCTATGTCCAAAACATATCGATTGTAAATGGCTGTTCCTATGTCACTTGCGGCCACAATAAGAAAAACCAGGAGTTGTCCCAGTGGAAAGGACATTTCGTTCCAATTCTAACAAAATAATTACCGTATATACAAAAGTAATTTATCTCGCAAAACGAAATTTCGTTACCATTATTATTGTTGCCACGTGGGCGGTCATTAGGGCGTATACCCCGCCACTGGCGCCCGCCAATCTCACAGTAGGGTCCACTATGGAGGTAAACAGGGACCCAGCTAGGATCCCTGCGAAATAAACAATAAGTACTCTCCACCATCTGTGCACCATTTCCAGTGGTATGCCCAGCAATATTTGCACAAGAAGGTTGACCGTCAGATGAAGAACACTAAATTTGTTATTGTTTTATTAAATATATTAACATTTAACATTTCTCACCCCACGTGAACGAACATGTAGGTTATGTATCTCCACACTTCCTTCCGGTTATCAGGGTCGTATATGAACCAATAGGCAGTGGGGCCTATTTAAATTAAACACAAAGACATGAAATTTTTTTTGGATGACATTTGAATGGATATTTACCAGATGCGCTTCTAGTGGAATCGAATTTAGACGCCTCGTCCACGCAAAACATAACTATTTCCATTAAAGATATAATTATCATTCCCACAGGTGGAGGAATGCAGGAATATTCGTCCTCGTACTCCCCATCAGTTACGGTTCTTGTAGGATCTGTGCGTTTCGGTACTATCCAATTAATGTATCTTAAAATAATTCGCCCAAAAGTTTATTAAAACTAAAACCTTTATATTAACCATAATTTTTTGTACATTTTACTATATAGGCATATTTTTATCGATTTATAACACCAAAAGTTCAATATCCTATGAATTTATTTTTTAATTTTGATTTTAAACTCATGTTTCACATGACCGTCGTATGTCCCTCGAGCAAAATCCGATATTTGCGATCTTCCAAAAATTTAATTCAACTTTTAAGTAGCCAAAGAAAATAATTTTGAACAAATGTTGGGTTTTTGTGTTCTATTTGCCGCTAGATGTGTGAATTAAAATATGTTATTATTGCAAATGGCGACAGATAATTGTGCAGTTCAGTTAGCGATATATTTACAGTTCCTGCCGTGTATTTTGATATAAAAAAGGTAAGTTAAAGTTCTTCGTATTTTTTTCATTAACATGACCGTCTATCGTGATAAAATAGCAACATAGTTATAAATTGCTCGCTATGTTTTTTTGTTTTCGGTTGTTTACCTAAAATTCACAACATGGGGATACTTTTAATTTCGAGCAAATAAAAATGTGTGAAATGACATGAAAAAAAAAGTATGCGACGGTCATGTTAAAAATTTCTCAAGGTAAGTTTGACAGATCAATTAAAACAATGACAAAAGAAAAAAAAACTGGAAATCTTGAAAAAATTGATGTTAAGGATAGTATAGTAAATTCAATAGGAAACGACGTACACGTCATTAATGTGAATCAAGTGAAAGTGGTAGTGCAACTACAGGGCGATAGATGGCGTTTACATGAATAATACAATAGGGTCCCTAGATTTGGGACCTTAGAATACCAAAATGTCGAAAGTCAGAGTTTTATAACCTATATGATGCACCGCTATTTTGAAAGACATTTTCAGCTATAAAACCCAGAAATTTTGCCATCTAAAGTCAGTCTCTGGTTTATATATTAATATTTTATGTCTCCAACATATATTTTGTTAAATATTTTAATATATAATTAATAATAATCCTATTTCCTCTCTAACAGCTGTTAAAGGTAACAATGGTCCATTATTATTCCTTTCTGCCTCAAAATAGCGTATTAAGGATGATACCAATCTTGACGCCACTACTTAAATGCTTTGGCATTTTAAATATAGGAAAAACAAAAAAACGATATATACAAATACAAAATCGGCAATGAAAACTTAAACGATATAAAATAACGCAAACAACAAACAAAATAAACGGAATTAAACACGAATCAAACGAAATATTCAAAAATACAACTGACAGCTTGGAAATTCTAAAACGTCAATTTTATTAAGCAAAATTTTAATCTAAACATGACAACATTGCAATTGCTGTCAACTAGAGTTGTTTAAGATGCATTAAAATATTCAATTAGACTTCGTTTTATACATTATGACGTCATCGATGACGGTACGTCGTTTTTTTTAAATTTACTATAGGTGGAACTATTTGCCACGACCTTGAAGCCTAATCAGTTTTTTAAAAATAAACAACAAATAATTTTATTAAATGCAATTTGTTTCCCATAATCTATTTACTTTAAAATGAAGGGTTTAGTGGAAATGGTGACTAACATAGTTGAAGTAAATGCTATTTTTGGCCTATTAGTTGAGAAATTATCACTGTTTATACTTTTTTAAGTGCTTGAGTAAAAATTACCAATTAAAGTGCCTCAGATAATTTTATTTTCTTTTTGCTATAAATTAAACATTCTGCAATAATTTTTCTATAAAAATATCACTTTTTTTGGTAATAATTATCTTATCCTATATAACATATACTATATACTTTTAAACATACCTTGTGATAAAATGTCCAAAAACGTGGCCCAAATTCGGATTATTAATCATATTAACAAACTCCTCAAAGTCAAGTCTTCGATCTCTATCCACATCGTGCATCTCATGAATTTTCTCCACTACATGAGTTGGAATGTCGTTATCGTACTCCCTGCTTTCAATCAGTTCGAATAACTCTTGCACCGATATGTAACCATCCTTATCCTTGTCGTACTTAAGAGGGTTGTTAATATTTTAAGTCAAAAAATCAAAGAAAAACTTACCTTATTAAATATGCTTCTGTAGTAAGCAAATGTGCGGTTTTTTAAGGGAGTTTTATCGTTGCTTTCCGTCATTTTCGTTGTACTATCACTGAAAAACAGTTTATTTCAAATAACTACTGCATTATTTAAAAAAAAACCGTTCTAATTAGTTACCATAACCTCACTAATTGACAGTTATTTGTTTACGCTGTTGTTAATAGCTAGGCAACCCGATGACGCCGAATCAACGACGTTGAAAATATAGAAAAACAATAAACATATAAAAAATAGATTTATTTAATTAATAATAACTATCGAATATATTTAAAACTATCATGGTTGTTGTGGCCAACAAGTAGAATACTAATGCAGCCCACCAAACGTATTTTTCGTATTTTCGCAACGTTATATTCTTTAAAACTAATATTCCAACGATTAATCCCGCTATAGCACCTAGATATAAAATGTTTTTTTAGAAAATTTGGTTTTGGTATTTTTTGTTTGTTACCTCCTAAATGGGCTTCGTAGCCTATTTTATTGTCAAATTCTTTGGTGTCGGCAAAATATCGGTTCCAAATAGAAACACCCAAGTCCATCCCAGTTATTATGAGGAATACTAATAATTGTACAAAGGGCATCAGCATGTCGGACCAATTCTGCGAAACAAAGTTTTTTTTTTATAAATACAATTAAAGTAATTTTTGGATAAAAAATATCTCAAAAGTCAAGGGGTGAATAGAGGACTAAATAAATAAGTTAATACAAGGTTGATGGGGATATACTTCACTTTAGTTTTTTTATAGTATATTATGTATCAAGTGTGATAAACGCCATTTTATACACGAATAATAGTTCTCCCACCTCTAATCATTCTGCTAAAACACGCCTGTGATTGGCTACTTTATTTTATTAATAACTAATTAATTGTGCGTACTTGCCTTTTAGATAGACACCCTGTAAAAATATAAAATACTTTACCATTATAACTGAAGCTATATGTGCGGTGATGACGGCGTATACGCCGCCACTGGCGCCCGCCAGTAATACATGCCGGTCCACCACTGAAGTAAATAGGCAACCAGTCACAACGCCAGATAGATACACCGTCAGGACTCTTAGGGAGCCGTGAACCATTTCCAGACTTATTCCGAGAAACGTTTGAATCAACACGTTCAAAATAATATGCATCCAACTAAAAAAACAATATTTTTACTTATTTTTTTGCAATTAATTAAGCCTTCCCTCCTTCCTCGCTTCTTCCCGTAAAAGATAAACAATACAAAAACCGTTGTGCTGTTTATAGATTCCCGTACGAGAATCTATAAATGGCTCTACGATTTTTGTTTTACAAGTTTATCTTTTACGGGAGGAAGGAAGGAAGGCAATCTATAAATCATGCTCAGCTACAGTTATGCTTGTACGAATTTTATATTGCCAGAGTAGTACCTACTACAGATATTTTATCAATTTGAAAGTATTTACCCGACATGGACAAACATGTAAGTTAAAAATCTCCAAAATTCCTCTTTTTTGTACGGGTTAAACATTAGTTGTTGGGCTATTGGGCCAGAACCATCGTTTATAGAGCCTGGATCCAGACATTCATCTGCCACAAACAATATTATTTCCAGGATGGAAAAAATTACCATTCCTAAAAAAATTTCAATACATAAAACACACAAGCAACAATTTAAGTACCTATTTGTTACGTATATGGGACTATTGAAGAAACTTTAAAGTGTTTTGCGTCAGTCGCCGGCCTCTTTATATTACTCTTTCATTACTAAGTTACGACTAAATTAATGAGTTCCAAAAAGGTAACAAATATGCCACTAGCTATAAACCCTGCTACCATTTGGAACGTAGCTGCTACGTTACTAGAACGTTCCAATATCGTTGCTAGAGCGTTATAATTACTTTTATTTATTCGTTTTTACTTCTATATTAACTGTCTTTGTCAAACTTATATTAGATTATACTATCCCTCCTTTTTTAAATGGAACCACTACGGACTTGGCTTTTCAATGTCGTCGTTTATTAAATATGTTCTGGTAGTTTATAACTTCCAGAATAACAATATAATGTTAAATTGGGCAGATAAATTTATAAACCCTTTAAATTTTACTGTTGAACTTATAAATTTAGTTTTTGTAAAATAAATGCGCTTCATCAATATTTATAGTATAAGTATAAACATATTATTTATTTAATAATGTTTAGCAGTAAAAAAAATCTTAATATTTATTTATTATTAATTTTTTTTTAATTATTAATACCAACAAAATTACTATTTATTAAAAAGTAAACAACCATTTACAAACAATTAAAATAATTTATTATTTACATTACCACGTGGTACTGTACAGTAAAAAATGGCCGATAAGAAGCATTTTTCTTTGAAGTAGTTTCCGCTACTTTAAAGTTTTTTCCACCTTAATTTAATTTACGGTAGTTTTGGTTAGTACCATAAACGTTCCAAACACTAAAATAATAACTTTTAAGTTATTACTTAACTTTGTAGTTTTTAACTCATGTTCCAGTTTCGAGATTTTAACTTGCAAAGGGACTACAAAGTAAAAATATATATACTATAATGTAATGTAGCAACCGAAAGTAACTGCTACAAATTAAATGTACTTGAAAGTTTTTTTACTTATAACATCTTTTTTAAAGTTGCAAAGTAACAATTTAAGGAAAGAATGAAGTTTCTGTTACAAAATATTGCTATTTAAAAGTTAGAATTACTTTTAAGTAGCTGTTTAGTATACTTAACTAATTTAAAGTTATCACCACTTTGGCAATGGTTTTTGGTACCAAAAATGCTGCTTGGGTAGGTACTTACCTAATGGTGGGGGACAACATTTGTATTCTTGCTCGTATCTACCGGTTCCATCTACAGAATCCACATCAGTTGAAAATCTTTGTAAATACTCTGTTTTGCGCTGTGATGGCGGTACTAAATATCGAATGTAGCTAAAATATGTTATTTTGTATAGATATTTTTGAGATGTACAACTTTTATTCCAGGAATTTTTAGTTTAAATCAATTTTAGAGCGTCAAAATATAAAAAAACTAATTTTGCCAACTTTAGCGCCCTCTATCTATTTAGAGAAAGTTTTATGTTAAAAACTTCAAGCTTTGTTCTCTTAGTTACCTACCTGTTCAAGTATCTTTTGAAGAATGGGGTCAAATTGGGATTCTCCATCATTTTAAAAAATTCGTCGAAATTAATGACGCCATCTCTGTCATCATCACCGATCGTCATTATTTTATCCACCGCTATTTGCGGAATATCGTTGTCGTAACGATCATTTTCACGTATTATTCTTTTTAGTTCTCTAACGTTAAGGACGCCATCTTTGGGGTTTCTGTCATACTAAAAGTTTTGTATTATAAATGAATAAATTGTAAATTATTTTTAAAACTTACCTTATCAAAAATGCTACGGTAAAACGCAATTTTTCTGGTATCATGCATAGGAACTGATTCACTCATATTTCTTTAATATTTTGTAATGTTTCGCCTATATTAAATAAATTTATTTAACATTTAAATATTAATTATTTTTGTAAAATAATTTAAACAAAAATTCCAATTTATTTATCCTACACAAAACTGAACCATTTCATTGAATTTATGTCTATAAAATAAACATTAGGGAAAATCTATTCAAATATTTTATCTAATCTTTTATCAATCATTAGTCATGAATTTAAAATATATTTGCCAGATTAATCGGTAATAAACCAAAAATCTATTTCTAAACTATACCAATAGCTTCACTTATGCAACCCAGTTAACACAAAATTGATATTTTCTTTAAGTTGGCAAAGTTTTGTTTATTCGTGTTGGCAACATTTGCCGCATCTTTCAGTGACATTTTGCAGAAATCGTGTTTTCCATTAGTTTTTCTTGATTTTTCCGCTTTTTGATGCAAATTTAACAAAATACCGATAATTTTATGCGAATAGAGTAAGAAATCGGACTAAAACTGCCACAAAATGACCACAGAAGAAAGGCTTCATATCGTAAGTAATGTTTTTTGTATTCAGTGCCTCGTTATTACTTTTGTTCTTGTTTTTGGTGTAAATATCTCACATTACAATAACTATGAGCATATTTTTGCAATTATAGCAGAAAATAGAAAAACATAACCCAAGTTATGGAACAATTTTTTATTTTAGGATTGGGGTAATGATAAATTACATAGAACCCAAAAACAGGTGGAAAGAAATCCTTACGACTTGGAAGCATGGTCAATTTTGCTTAGGGAATCTCAAACAAAACACATATCTGAAGTCCGAGCCCTATACGAACACTTAATAGGTATATTTCCCAGTGCTTCAAGATATTGGCGAATCTACATTGAACATGAGGTATATTTGAGTGTAATTTTTGTAAATAAAATTTTAACTTGAAATTTTTCAGATGAAATCCAGGAACTTTGAAAGAGTGGAAAAGGTATGTATTTTATTGATGTTATTTTTGCAGCTCGAGGATTAGTTATGTTTTGTATGTCATGAAAATAATAAATAATAAAAATAAGTTAATACACGGTTGGTGAATTATTTTTTCTCAAATTGCTGTGTTCAGAAACTGGGAGGGAATTTTTTTAAATGTGAGTTTTTTGAGTTTTATTAATATGTTTTTAAAGATTCCTTTCTGGTTTATTGTGAGGTTATAAGATTATTATAACCTTTTTAAACCTTTTAAATTATAGTTGTTTTTGGTAGGTACATTTTACTTTTTCAGATATTTAAGTATTTTTTGCCTTTAACATTAATTTAATTTAATGGTTTTTATTTTTTAATACTATTCTATTTTATTTATTAAAAAAGTTATGATGTTTTTAGTACAGCATTGTAAAATATGTGGTGGAATGTCAAATTTCCGTGTCCCCCCTCCAGCGCTTTCCCCCCTTTTTGAAAGAAAAAATTTTATCTCATTTTTTATTGGTTGAACAAAAAAAGTTTTAACACAGAAAATAGGGCTTGAAATTTTTAACATATTTTTTTCCATTCAAAAATTTCAAATTATCAAAATTTCAATAAAATGGAAATTTCTGAAATTTTTAAAATGTAAAGTAACAAATATAATTATAATAAGCATTTTTAAAATCTCAATAATTAGAATATTTCGTAATTTTATAAAATGTATAGTATGAAAAATTGCAATAATTTCAATAATTTTGAAAATTTCTGTTAAAATTCAAAAAAATTTGAATTAATTTCAATAATTACAATAATTGGAAAAATTTTAGTTTTAAAAATCCTTAAATTTCGAACATTTTCAAAGTTAAAAAAAGTCCAATATTTCAAAAATATTTGAAATTCCGAAGATTTTAAAAATTTAAAGACTTATCAAAATTTGCAGCATTTCAATCATTTTCAAAATTTTAATAATTAGAAAATTTCGAAAATTTTCAAAATCTATTGTATCAAAAGTTGCAATCATTTCAATAATAACAATAATTTGGAAAATTTAGTTTTTAAAATTCAAAAATCCTTAAATTTCGAACATTTTCAAATTTTTAAAAATGTCAAAAATATTAGAAATTTCAAAGATTTTTAAATTTTAAAGAATTTTCAATAATTTCAATAGTTTGGAAATTTCCAAATGTATAGTATAAAAATTGCAATAATTTTAATAATAACAATAATTTTAAAAATTTTAGTTTTCAAAAATCCTAAAATTTCGAATTTTTAAAAATGTCCAAAATTTCAAAAATATTTGAAATTCTGAAGATTTTTAAAAGTATTTTCAATATTTAAAATGTATAGTTTCAAACATTACAATAATTACATTAATTTGTAAAATTTGACAAAAATTTGTTATTTAGGTTTGACACTCGAAAAATGCAAAACAAAATAGTTGTAGATCTCGATAATCTAAAAAAAAATAAAAAGTTTTACATCAAATTGTCAACCGTTTCAGTGTTAAGTTACAACGGTTTAAAATTTAAAAAAGTGGGAAAGCGCTTCACTAAAACTAATAATTTTATTAAATGAAACTTATAATTGCCCCCTTGAAACCATAATCATTTTTTCTCTTTCCAACAGCTATTTCAGCGATGTCTCATGAAGATATTAAATATTGATTTGTGGAAGTTGTATTTAGCCTACGTAAAAGAAACGAAAGCATCTTTACCAACCTACAAGTAAGTTGAATGAAGTTGAATTTCCCAGCAATACAATTTTTCCTTCCCAGAGAAAAAATGGCGCAAGCCTACGATTTCGCCTTGGACAAAATCGGCATGGACATCCACTCTTACACGATCTGGAACGACTACGTCAACTTTCTGAAAGGCGTGGAAGCCGTCGGGTCGTATGCGGAAAATCAAAAAATTTCCGCGGTCAGAAAAGTTTATCAAAAGGGGATTATCAACCCCATGACCGGTATGGAAACTTTCTGGAAAGAGTACATAGCCTTTGAAACGGTAAGGAAAATCGTCATTACCATGACAGTCAAAAATAACACCAAAGATACTTGTGAAAGTACAGTTTATGTTAATTTCCGCAAAGTTTTTGTTTTTTTTCGGTGCTCAAGCAAAATATTAATCTGCATATAGGAAAAAACATTCTCACCAAGTTTGAGCTCTTAATATTAATTTTAAGCACTTACTATTTAAATTTAAAGTTTTACCGTTTAAAATGCATGTAAAAAATATATTTTTTTTTTCAAATTTCTAATGCTTACCCACCCTTGACAATATTGCAAATCGGTTTAATACACCTGATTCATAAAAAAAAGTTATCCAACCAATATTTAATGAATTTACTGCCATTTTTATAACTGAAAACGTAAGAAATTGATAAATACCAACCCATAATGTTATTTAGATTGATTTTTTCTATTTATTATCATTATATTTCCCTACACTAAGAACTTTTTTAAAATTATTATGATTTCTTACTCATAATGAATATGAAAACAACACATAAATTCATAAAAAAAACAACTAAACTTTAATCGGAATATACAGAAGGTTATGTAACATATTTCAAATTTCGCTTCAAAAAATTAAATAATCTTCATTTATATTTTTTTGCTATATGACAGAAATGTTGAAAAATTGCAAAATCCACGTTACAATTTTCTTATTGTTTTTTTATGAATTTATCTGTTGTTTTCATATTCATTATAAGTGAGAAATCAATAATTTTAAAAAACTTCTTAGTGTAGGGAAATATAATGATAATAAATAGAAAAAATCAATCTAAATAACATTATGAGTTGGTAATTATCAATTTCTTACGTTTTCAGTTATAAAAATGGCTGTAAATTCATTAAATATTGGTTGGATAACTTTTTTTTATGATTCAGCCCTTTTTTCGCCCTACTTTTTGCGGTTCGTTGGAAAAAATTAAAAAAAAAACGATTTTTTTCAAAAACTGTCCTTTGACGACTCCTACTGGTGAACCAATGCGAGTTACAAAAAAAACTCAAAAGCAATTTTAAAGAGCGTGAAATTCCCCATAAGGTGTATTAAACCGATTTGCAATATTGTCAAAGGTGGGTAAGCATTAGAAATTTGAAAAAATATATATATTTTTTACATGCATTTTAAACGGTAAAACTTTAAATTTAAATAGTAAGTACTTAAAATTTATATTAAGAGCTCAAACTTGTTGAGAATTTTTTTTTCTATATGCTTATACTGAAACCTGGTTGAGGATTAGAATAATTTCATTTTTTTTATCTACAAGAATTAAGTACTCTCTTTAACAGCAAAAGAGATACAACAACTATTTGACTAAAGAGCGAATATCGTTGTAGGCTATCAACCCAATAATAGCGGAAAAAATGAGCATTGAGAGGAGTAGGGACTACATGAACGCCAGAAGGGTGGCAAAAGAGTTGGAGGTGCAGATTAGGGGTATAAACAGGAACGCCCCCAGTGTCCCCCCTAACGGAACTCCAGAGGAACGCAAACAGGTGTTTAATTGACGAAAAAAAAAATTCTTGATTCAGTGGCGTATGTTGGTATTTTAGGTCGAGTTGTGGCAAAAATACATCGCATGGGAGAAAGCCAACCCCCTTAGAACAGAAGACACCGCCCTCTTGACCAAACGCGTGGTTTTCGCTTTGGAGCAGTGCCTTTTGTGTTTGGGCCACCACCCGGACATCTGGTACCAGGCGGCGCAGTTTTTGGAGTTCAGCTGCAAGATTTTGGCGGAGAAAGGGGTGAGAGGGGTGGCCGCCAAAAAGGCCGGATCTGAACGCTTTGGATTTTTGTTTTAGGACGTGAACGCTTCGAAGCTGTTCAGTGAAGAGGCGGCGAATATGTTCGAGAGAGCGACTAGCAGTCTTCTTAGCAAGAACATGCTGCTGTATTTCGCTTACGCTGATTACGAGGAGGGCAGGCTCAAGTACGAGAAAGTTCACCAGATTTATCAGAAGTATTTGGATATCAAGGATATCGACCCCACATTGGTGAGTGGAAATTAATTTAAGTAGTATTGACATATAAAAAAATTAAGTGTTTTTCATAATTTTCTATTATATCCATATTAGACTGGGTCAAAAAAATCAACTATTTTTTTTAAAGTATATCGAAAATATGGTTTGGGGCGACAAAAAAAAATATGGTGAAAGTTTGAGTCCACAATATTAATATTAAGAGGTCTATCATCGCAATTTTAATTTTTTTTCCCTCATCAAGTTTTTGTCTCAGAACTCCCAAACCATTGAGTTTTAAATAAAAGTTGCAAGTTCGTTCACAATGGCAAGCATTTTCAATAATTTGGAAATTTCGGAAATTTTTAAAATTTATAGGAAGTATCAAAAATTGCAATAATTTTAATAATTACAATAATTTGGAAAATTTTAGTTTTTAAAATCCTTAAATTTTGAACATTTTCAAATTTTTAAAAATATCCAAAATTGCAAGAATTTTTAAAATTTCATTAATTTGGAAATTTAGAAAATTTCTTAAATGTATGGTATCAAAAATTGCATTAATTTTAATAATTAAAATAATTTGGAAAATTTTAGTTTTCAAAATTCAAAAATCTTTAAATTTTGAACATTTTCAAATTTTGTCCAAAATTGCAATAATTACAATAATTTGGATTTAGTTTTCAAAATCCTTAAATTTTGAACATTATCAAATTTTTAAAATTATCTAGAATTTTTTCATTAAAAGAAACCGATTCTTGTAGACCCTATTTTATAAATCATAGGCTTTTAACAATTTATAGCCTTTTTATATATGAAGCAGTTTTGTTTGTAAAAAAGAACCTGGATCTGTTTGAAGCATTTAGGAATCTCCATTGTTATGAAACTAGATTTAAATCAAATTATTCAAATAATAAATTAAATTTCACTTATTTACAAAATAATGTTCCAAATTCTATACTTAAGGTATTTAACAAGCTGCCTGAAAAATTTAGGAATCTTTCGACTAAGAAAGTAAAAAATAAATTAAAAATTTTTTTAATGGAAAAATCCTTTTACTCAATGGAGGAATTCTTTAATGATGATCTTCCGCAACATTTATCGTAAAGTTTTTTATGCTATATATTATATTTTTAAATGTGTTTATGTATTTGTATATTTATTTTAAAGGTGTTCATATGATTATATATTTTTAAATGTGCTTATGTACTTATAATTGTGTATCTTATATTTATATTTTTAAATGTTTCCTAATTGGATCAGTATTTTTATCACATTTTTATATTTGACGTGTTTTACACCATTTGGTATTTTTTTTTAAACGAATAAAGGTTATTATTATTATTATTATTATTATTATTATTATTATTATCTAAAATTGCAAGAATTTTTAAAATTTCAATAATTTGGAAATTTAGAAAATTTCTTAAATTTCTTAAATTTATACTATTTTTAAAGTTGCAAGAATTAAACTAATTAATTTCAATAATTTCTATAATTACATAATTTGGAAAATTTTAGTTTAAAATTTAAAAATCCTTTATTTTTAATTATTTTTAAATTTTTAAAAATGACCAAAATTTCAAAAATATTTGAAATTCCGAAGATTTTTAAAATTTAAATAATTATTAATTAAAATTGCAAGCATTTTCAAAATTTCAATAATTAGGAAATTTCGAAAACTTTTAAAATGTATAGAAATCCGCAATTTTCAAATTCCGAAGATTTTAGATCAAAATTGCAAGCATTTTTAAAATTTCAATAATTTGAAAATTTTAAAATTACAATAATTTGGAAAATTTTAGTTTTCAAAATCCTTAAATTTCGAACATTATCAATTTTTAAAATTATCCAAAATTGCAAGCATTTTTAAAATTTCAATAACTGGGAAATTTCAAATTTTTTTAAAACGTATAGTATAAAAAATTTCAATAATTATAATAATTTGGAAAATGTTAGTTTTTAAAATTTAAAAATCCTTATAGTTTTAAACATTTTTATATTTTTAAAAATGACCAAAATTTTAAAAATGTTTGAAATTCCAAAGTTTTTAAAGTTGAGAGAATTTTCAAAAATTGCAATAATTTCAATAATTACAATAATTTGGAAAATTTTAGTTTTTAAAATTCAAAAATCCTTAAATTTCAATAATTACAATAATTTGGAAAATTTTAGTTTTTAAAATTCAAAAATCCTTAAATTTCAATAATTTGGAAATTTTAGTTTTTAAAATCCTTTAATTTCGAACATTATCAATTTTTAAAATTATCCAAAATTGCAAGCATTTTTAAAATTTCAATAATTGGAAAATTTCAAACTTTTTTAAAATGTATAGTATCAAAAATTTCAATAATTACAATAATTTGGAAAATGTTAGTTTTTAAAATCCTTAAATTTCGACTTTCAAATTTTTAAAAATGTCTAAATTGCAAAAATATTTGAAATTCCGAAGAATTTTAAAATTTAAAGAATTATTAATTAAAATTTCAAAAATTTGTAAAATGTATAGTTACTATCAAAAATTGCAATAATTTGAAAAATTTTAGTTTTAAAATTCAAAAATCCTAAATTTTTAAAAATGACCAAAATTTTAAAAATGTGTAAAGATTTTTCAAATTTAAAGAATTTTCAAAAATTGCAATAATTTGGAAAATTTTAGTTTTCAAAATTGAAAAATCCTTAAATTTCGATTTTAAAATTCTTAAAAATGTCAAAAATTTCAAAAATATTTGAAATTCCGAAGATTTTAAAATTTAAAAAACTATCAAAATTGCAAACAATTTCAAAATTTCAATAACAAGAAAATTTTAGTTTTCAAAATTCAAATTTTTAAAAATGTCCAAAATTGCAAACATTTTAAAAATTTCAATAATTACATTAAATACCTAAGTCAATTAAAATAATTTCATTAACTTAATTATTAATTAATTTAATTTAATAAAATCAAAAACGAACTTTCAACTTTGATACCCTGTATCTCGGTTATGACCAACTTTTGTATGGAGGTAAATTTAGTTGTATCGCATTATTTCGACTTGGCTGTAAAAAGGCGCGCGGATGACTTTTTCTATGGTTGCAGGCCTACATCCAGTACATGAAGTTCGCGCGCCGCGCCGAGGGCATAAAATCCGCGCGCGGCGTGTTCAAGGTCGCGCGCGAGGACGCGCGCTCCAAGTACCACATCTTCGTGTGCGCCGCATTGATGGAGTACTACTGCAGCAAGGACAAGAACATCGCGTTCAGGATCTTCGAGCTCGGGCTTAAGAAGTTCGGCGACATCCCCGACTACATCTCCTGCTACATCGACTACCTCTCCCATTTAAACGAGGACAACAACACCCGCGTCTTGTTCGAGAGGGTCCTGTCTTCGGGCAGCTTGGAGAACGAGAAATCCGTGTACGTTTTCGGAGCTTCGCGTGCGGCTGAAAACTTAGTTGACGGTTTTTTTTTTCAGCGATATTTGGAACAGGTTTTTGGAGTTCGAAAGCAACATCGGGGACTTGCAGAGTATCGTGAAGGTGGAGAAGAGGAGGTCGGAGGTTTTATCGAAGATTAAGGAGTTTGAGGGGAAGGAGACTGCTCAGTTGGTGGATAGGTACAGATTCATCGATTTGTTCCCGTGTTCTCCGCAAGAACTTAAAAGTATCGGGTGAGTGCCAAATGTTTTGTAAATCATAAAAATTTTGAAATTTTGTCAATTTTCAATATTATTTAAAACTTTGAAAATTTAATGGTTTTTAGATTAAATTTTATATGAATTTGATAGTTTTTTAACTTTTGGTAAAAATTGAATTTTCAAACTTTTTGAAATTTTTTAATTTTGAAAATAAATTTTTAATATAAATTATAAATTTTAAAAATAATTAATTGCAATTTTAATACCATAGTATTTTCAATTTTGATACTATACATTTTGATAAATCTTTAACGTTTAAAAATTTTTGGATTTTCATTTTTGAAATTTTCGAAATTGAAAAAAAAAACGAAATTTAAAGAGATTTAAATTATTGAAATTTTAAAAATTTTGAAAATACTTGCAATTTTGATCATTCTTTAATTTTGAATTCTTCGGAATTTCAAACATTTTTGAAATTTTGGACATTTTTAAAAATTTTAAAATGTTCGAAATTTAAGGATTTTTGAATTTTGAAAATGCTTGCAATTTTGATAATTTTTGATATTTTTGATATTTAAGGATTTTTGAAATTTGAAAACAAACTTTTTCCAAATTATTGTTTTCGAAAGTTAAGGATTTTTCCAATTTCCAAATTATTGAAATTTTGATAATTCTTTAAATTTTAAAAATCTTCGGAATTTCAAACATTTTTGTAATTTTGGACATTTTAAAATGTTCGAAATTTAAAGACTTTTAAATTTTAAAAACTGAAATTTTCCAAATTGTAATTATTGAAATTATTGCAATTTTTGATACTATACATTTTAAAATGTTCAAAATTTAAGAATTTTTTAATTTTGAAAACTAAAATTTTCCAAATTATTGTAATTATTGCAAATTTTGATACTATAAATAAAAAAAAATTGAAATTTCCAAATTTTGACAATTCTTTAAATTTTAAAAATTTCATACATTTTTGAAATTTTTAAAATTTTCAAAATTTAATACTTCGAAATTTAAGGATTTTTGAATTTTTAAAACTAAAATTTATCAAATTATTGTGATTATTGAAATTAGTTTAATTTTGAAAATGCTTGCAATTTTGATATTTCCTTAAATTTTAAAAAACTTGAATATGTTCGAAATTTAAGGTTTTTTGAATTTTGAAAATTAAAATTTTCCAAATTATTGTAATTATTGCAATTTTAATACTATACATTTTAAAACTTTTCGAAATTTACAAATTATTGAAATTTTGAAAATGTTTGAAATTGAAGTATTTTTGAATTTTGAAAGCTACAATTTCCCAAATTATTGCAATTTTGTTACTATACTTTTTAAGACTTTCAAATTGTTGAAATTATGAAAATGCTCGTTGTTTTGATAATTATTTAAATTTTAAAAATTTTCCGAATTTATACATTTTAAAAATTTAAGGATTTTTGAATTTTGAAAACTAAAATTTTCCAAATTATTGTAATTATTGCATTTTTGATACTATACATTTTAAAATTTTTGAAATTTACAAATAATTGAAATTTTCAAAATGCTTGCAATTTTAATAATTCTTTATTTTTAAATAATCTTTGGAATTTCAAACATTTTTAAATTTTGGACATTTTTAAAAATTTGAAAACCTTCGACATTTGGGGATTTTTGAAATTTAAAAACCAAAATTTCCAAATTATAACAATTTTTGATTTTTTAAATTTTAAAAAATTTCGAAATTTCCAAATGCTTGCTATTTTGATATTTCTTTAAATTGTAAAAATCGTATTTCATACATTTTTGAAATTTTGGACATTTTTAAAAATTTGAAAATGTTCGAAATTTAAGGAATATTGAATACAAAAGTTTTCCAAATAATTGCAATATTGCAATTTTTGATTCTTTATATTTTAAAAAATTTAGTAACTTCCAAATGCTTGCAATTTTGATAATCCTTTAAATTTTAAAAATTAATTTTATACGTTTTTGAAATTTTGGTGATATTTGAAAATTTAAAAATGTTCCAAATTTAAGGAATTTTAAAAACAAAAATTTTACAAATAATAAATAAATATCTTCACATTATCAAACATTTTTAAAATAAGAAGGATTTTTAAAATTTTAGCTTTTAAAGCCTTCTAAATTTTGATCGTCACCCCGCAACAATTTCAGCTACACCGAGGTGATAAACATCACCGGCGCCGCCAAAAACCACATCCTCCACTCGATGATCAACATCGACAGCGAGCAGCCGCTCCCCAACCCCGACTACTCGCAAATGATACCGTACAAGCCGAAAACGAACCCGCTGCCGGGCGAGCACCCGGTGCCCGGCGGCGCCTTCCCCATGCCGCCCGCCGCCGCCCACCTCTGCACCGTCCTCCCGCCCCCCACCTGCTTCCGCGGACCCTTCGTCCACGTCGACACCATGATGGACATCTTCAGCAGGCTGCACCTGCCGGAAACAGGTACACTACCCACCTCCTACTCTTCTTCCTTCTGTCCACAAATATTAGGAATATTTCCCAACGCCAAACAAAATCTTCTCCTATCTTCTTCTACAGGGTGTTATGTAATTAATGTTATATATTAAAATGGGTTGTTCCTTAGGGTCCATAAAGAAGCACCTGAAACTTTTTTTTTCTAAATTCCAAAGTCTAAAAATAATTTATAATAACCTTTATCCTACCAAAAAGTACGCCACTGATCGACTAGGAACTTTAGATTAATCTGGTGGATTTATTATGTTATGGTTGGTAACAACAATGTTTCCAAAATCTCTCAAAAAAGTTGACAAACATTGTTTAAATTTAGCTTAATTATAAAAATGACAAAATTAACAATGCAAATTGTCAATTTGGCGTTTTTATTAATTGTTGGTTATTTCATTTTTGTACTGAAGGTAAATTCAAACAAAATCTGACAACTTTTATGACAGAATCTAGTGCATTTCTTTTAAATTTTAGTTTATGTTTTCAAATTGTAAATATCTTAACTAAGGGAAGTGCTTTTGGATTTATTTACACAAATTAAATGTTTAAAGTTTCACCTGTGAACTGGTCCCAATTTCATCTGAGTAAACAGAGAAAAAAACTGATGAAAAAATTAATTTTGTGGTTATGGATTTCTAATTTCAAAGGTACTAAATTTTCTAATCATTGCTTAAGCTAATAGCTGGATCAGTAAATAAATACAGAAGGGTATTAGAGCTTTAAGGGCATAAAACTTTTGTATTTATTGAGTTTTTATTTATTTTTTGCAAGAAAAATTTTTAGTAACAATTTTTTACATCTGGCAACGCAAAGCTACTTTGTTGGTTGGTATCTATGTACTCATAAAATACAAGTGTGCAGAGATAAACCAAGTGTGTAACAAAAAATATAAGAAACTTCTAATGCATATTTTTTCTTTATCTTTGGAAAAATATTTTTTTAAATATTTTTCCTTTATTCCTTATGTCAAAAGGTATTCAGTATTTTAATATATAACATTAATTACATAACACCCTGTATAATATTCCCCAACACCAAAACAAAATCTTCTTCTATCTTCTTCTATATGGGGAATTCCACGTGAATTCGACACGAAAAAAACCCTTGCCATTTCGAAATTCCATGGCAATTTTTCCATGGGTAAACTGATTTAAAATTTTAATTTTAGCACGATTTTTAATTGTTTTTGGAGATAATTTTTAAATTTTCATGATTTCGCCAATATGTCATCGATCATAACTTTGGTTCCGTTGGTTGTCTTGAAACAAGCTATTTGAAATACATATTTTTGATGCTGTGGCATGATTTTTTTCTTCAAAAACTAAAAATCCATTTTGTATTTTTTTTTAATTTTGTTTTTGTTTTTAATCTTGAAGCGAATACAAGTTTTTTTATCTACCTATATTAGATCGCGGCTATCGAAAAATTAATATTTTTTTCGGAATTTTAAATTTTATTAATTTCTACTTTTTTCCACTTTCGGACATTTTGTAATATCAAAAATGATTTCTTTTTATCTAGCCCTTCTAACTATTAAAATTGTTTTAAAAAAATGAAAAAGTAGTGCCTATGAATATGTATAGTATGAATATTAGTACAGTCATCTTAGTCAAAAAAGGGGATCAACCTCGGAATCTAACGGAATAAGCTGAATTTTTGTGACAACCTTTATTTTAGCATTACAAATGTTGTCTCAAAAGTCACATATGCCAACGTGTGAGCGGCCTTAGATATTCAAGGTCAAAGGTCGCAAAAATCAGTTTTTTGAGAATATCTCGTTTTCTCTGCCTCCTATCGTATTTGCATTTATTATAAAAGTTGTAGAGAATAAAATTCTCTACAAATTTTGTTTACAAAATTTTTTTATACCTCGAACCGTTTTTGAGATATAGGGCGCAGAGTGTGGAGCGCTCAGCCATACGTACCTTTAGCGCAAGGTAAATCGTGAACCCCCTATTATACCGTTATTTAATTAATTATATAATAAATATTACTAAAAAAAATTTAATACCTACTTACTATACTTATATTTATATTTCTTTTAAATTAAATATATTTTATCTTCATATATATCTTATATTTTAATTTAATTTTAATGAAGGATAATTGGATCGGAGTAGGAAAAAATGTTTTTATTTATGTCAATATTATTATTATTATTATTATTAATCTTTATCTTCTTCATCCTCGTCTTCTTCAGGTTAGCCAGCAATTTCAGACTCATTCTCATCAACACTCTCCCCGTTATCATTGACATTAATTGTCATATCTTCAAAAACTTAAGTAATTACTTATAACGCGTTTGTACTTTGCAGATTTTTTTGCCTTTGTTGCCTCATCTGCGACTTCACCACAAAATAAGCACAATATTTTAAAATCAAACACATCATTCCCTTTTTTACGAGGTACAGTTGATGACGTTGAAGGTCCAGTCTCTTCAAGGCGACGTTTTGCTGCTGCAATTTTACTATAGTACGCTTTAGCGTACAATTTTCGACACTCAATATGAACGTTCACAGAAGTTAAAGTATTTAGATAGTTTTTGTTTATTTCTCTCAATAATTGCTTCTTTTAAAGTCTTTATACCGCGCACAAAAGTCACAGAATCACCTTCAGAAAGTAACTTATTACAAATAAAACACAAATCAGCCATGTTAACCTTTAAAATATTACGAATATTACCTGTCACAACCCTAGACCTATACCTAGGGTCACAACTTGCTTTAAATATAGGTATACCTAACCTTTTTATTTATAGCAAGCCCACTAAAGTATTTCCAGGTCTGTTATTTTAAAAGCAATATCTGGATCCAAGAGATGACCAGAGACATATTCAAGGCAAATTCATTTAATGTATTTTCTTCTTAAAATGAATTTACCATTAATAAGAATAACATTAGAATATATTTAGAATGATTCACTTCATTATTTAATTATTTGTATGTAAAAAGTAAGTAATATTTAATGAGTATTTGATTTAAAAAAATATATAAAAATAAATATAAGGTAATAAATTGTTATTTAGGTAATATTTAATAAATAATTAATTAAAAAAAACGGTATAATAGATTGGGATTCATGATTTACCTTGCGCTAAAGGCACGTATGGCTGAGCGCTCCACACTCTGCGCCCTCTATCTCAAAAACGATTAGACGTATAAAAAAATGTTTTAAACAAAATTTGTAGAGAATTTTATTCTCTACAACTTGTATAATAAATGCAAATACGATAGGAGGCAGAGAAAAGGAGATATTCTCAAAAAATTGATTTTTGCGACCTTTGACCTTGAATATCTAAGGCCGCTCACACGTTTGCATATGTGACTTTTGAGACAACATTTGCAATGCTAAAATAAAGGTTTGTACAAAAATTCAGCTTATTCCGTTAGATTCCGAGGTGAAATCCCTAGATGACTGGACTATATGTACCTATAGTAAAATGATTGAATCATTGATTTTCAATCTTAAAATAATTATTAATAATAATAATTTTTTTAAAACAATCTTAATAGTTAAAAGGGCTAAATATAAAATGAATAAATAAAAAAAAACTTTTTTGATATTACAAAATGTCCGAAAGTAAAAAAAAATCAAAATTATTCAAATTAAAAATTCCGAAAAAAATATTAATTTTTCGATAGCCACGATCTAATATAGATAAAAAAACTTGTAGTCTCTTAAAGATTAAAAACAAAAAAAATTAAAATTAAAAAAAAAAATACAGTGTAGAAAATGGAAAATTGCCGAGGAATTTCTAAAGGGTTTTTTTCGTGTCGAATTCACGTGGATTTGCCCATAAATAAAATTATTTATAATAATCTGCAAGAAACGATGCTTACGGACGAACTGTCAAAATTACAAAAAACTTCAAATATTAAACGTCGGGGACCCATCAATAATATTGTGAATGGTTTTATTTACATAATTTCGTAAAAAAAACGTTTTAAAACAGGGAAATGTTACGGTTCTTGGTAAACAATTCGCAAATAAATGATATTTTTTATGACACATCGGAATTACGACTTAAAAAAGCAAATTTCACTGCAGTAACTTTCCAATTCAAAGTTGGTAAAGCTGATGTCGCCCATGCAAATTTGGCCGCGACTATACCAAAGAACCGTCTATTTCTGTGGACGCTAAAGAAGTATCGCTAGTAGCGCCACCACTCGGCTGTTATCATCGTAACAAAAGTACAACTTTTGATAATCAGCTGTCAAACGCGTGTGCATTATTAAAAGCGTTGATTAAGAATTCTTTAAAGTCTCCACTCAACGGTAAAATACCATTATATTATGTATTATATATAATATTATGTTGCCATGAATTCGTAGGTATATTTTGTTGCTTAAAATGCAGTTGTCGGCGTTTTTTAGAGAACTCAAATATAAAAATTGCTTATTTTAAGGTTGTTTGTGCAAAAATTATTTTTTACCAATTTCTTAAAAATGTCCAAACTTAAATATAAAGTATATTAGGTAAAGTTATCATTAGTTAATTCTGCACCAACAAATGTACTTACCGAATTGGATCCTTTGGCAAAACATGAAAATGCAACGATTTAGTTCTTGAATTTTATTTACAATTAAAAACACAATAATTCACCATGATCCCTTAGATAAAATACACACACTAACGTAACTATATAAGCATTTAAGCGTTGAGTTTCTTAATCAATGATATAAAGAGTAATCAATCGAAATCGAGTACTAAACCAGTTTTTTAGTTTTTTCCTTGCAACGAAAAACACAAATAACGTGCGCGATTTAGCTGTGCAATTGAACAAAATTTGTCGAGTAAGACTTCTTTTGTGAAAAAACTACCTATTTATTTAAAAATGATGTACAGTTCGTATGCTTTAAATGTATTGTTGACAATTTTTAAATTCACGCAATTCTTTTGAAGTCCACCAGATGGCGCGCGCGTTGCGAAAACCCGATACTTCTTTAGCGTATATTAGCTTTTACCTTTTACGTAATTTCTTTAGTTCCGCTTCCGTCCGAGAGCGGCGACATCCGGTTGTTTGACCTCGCCAAATCGGTGCACTGGATAATCGAAGAAGGCGGCGGTATTAAACGCAGGAAGCGTATTGGTCTGTCGCTAGATGGCTCTGACGACGAAGATATGCCGCTACCGCCCTCCAACGACATCTACCGGCAGCGGCAGCAAAAGCGGGTCAAGTAGATTCCTATTTTTTGTGCGTGTTTTCGACTGAATCATCGGCAACGTTGCAACGTTTTTTGTTCGTGAGTTTTTTCATTGTGTTGTATATTATATACCTATTTTAAAGTTTAAATAAATAAAACCTTTTATAAAAATTTGTTTTTTATTTAAATAATGAAACATTAAGAAATTTTAAATTCTTGTTTGAACCGCCACTAAAATTAAAAAAATATATTTTTAGTTGTATTTACAATAAAATATTGCATATTGAGGTTAAACAAATTGAAACATAAATTGTATTATGTATAGGTATAGAAAAATCCAATAATTAGATTTAAATTATCACAATCTATTATTCCTTGAAAACCACAGTTGAATTTGTTGTGTTTTGTTTAATAAATAGCGTTAAACATACAAAGAAAGAAATTAAAAAATAATTTGCAAGCTGGGATTTATTTCCATAAAATATGTACATTCGATATGATTTAACGGCGCGAAAAAATGTTTTACCCTTGCAGTATATTTTTTTGGCAAATATATTGATTTTTTTTAAACTTTGACATCTCAAAAACAAGTTAATTTCCTGATTTTTTTGGCCAAAAGTTTTAAAATTTGCCAATTTTTTTCAATCGTCCGTAATTTTTTACAAAATTTATCGATTTGTAATTTTTTCGTTTTTATTGAAGTTTTCGAAAAAAAATATAGTGGTGTTTGCTTGGTAAAGTAAAAATCTAAGAACCCACACATTTTTAATAGAAAGGAAATGTAACAAACGATACAAGATTTTTTACGAAATCTGCATTAAAAATCGAAAAATTAAAAAAAAATCCAAATTGATTAATTTTTCAAAAAGTTTAATTAATCAAAATTTTATCAAGAATTAAATTTTCTGGGGATTGTAAAATATTTTTAAGGTAGAATTTTTAGGGGGTGAGAGTAATTAATAAAGCCATTTTACGTACTATAATATTTATTTTAATATGATAATATACAAATTTTAATATACTACAAGAATGGGGTAGTTAAATTTTTTCTGACCTATACTTTTTATGGTTTTATTCAAGGCGTTTTGTAATTTTAAACATTTCTGTGAAATCGGAATTTCAATTGAGTTTACCGTTTTCGAGATATTTACAAAACAAAATCTCCTAATTACGTCACTAGGCTATTGACAACGTTGCCAGCCTTTTCTATGCTTGCCAGTGTGTTTAGTTTAAGATTCTTACGATAGATGGCGCCACGTTATAATATTTTAGTTGAGAAGAAGAAGAAGAATTGATTTTTTGACGTTTCTTTTTTTCGGGTTGTTTTTTTTAAATTTAGATTATTGAAAATCAATGTTACTGTTATGTTATTTGTAATTGATATTAGATAAGTGATTTATTAATAACGGACTCCAATGCAGAGGAATCTTGTGGAATGGTTGGTTACATTGAACATTGGAGCTTTTAAACAAATAAAGTAAGTACCTATAATTATAATCATATTTTGTCGTAAATGCATTTCATTAGTATAATGCCTAGTTCTTTATATTCTTTTAGATATATTATTATTTTTTGTAAATTTATTTCATTCATTTTCAGCTTTATTTTGCCACTTTTTTCTATGAAATATATTAAACTCTGCTTTAGACAGTTATTAGGTACCTATTTATTACATTTTATTAGGTTTCACACGGTGTTTCAATGTGTAAACCTATCAATAAAACTTTTAATTTCGGAATTTTCTTTAACCTCCTCTTCTTCTTCTTTCACTCAACTGACAGTGACAGTATTTGTACATAACCTCTTCGGGTATTTTCTGACATAACCGAATGAAATCATTAACAAGACAACTTGACAACAGGGTAATTTTCAACCAATAGAAATCTTAGAATGTTGGTCACATGGCGGGGTTTGTGACGTCATAAAAATTTATATTTTTTGTAAATATCTCGAAAACGGTAAACTCAATTGAAATTCTGATTTCACAGAAATGTTTAATATTACAAAACGCCTGGAATAAAACCATAAAAAGTATAGGTCAGAAAAAATTTAACTACCCCATTTGGTTGAAAATTAAAAAACTACCAGTAATAATAAAAAGCAGTTCAATTAAGAGTAATTTTGAATGAAACATTAAGAAATTTGAAATTCTTGTTTGAACCGCCACTAAAATTAAAAAAATATATTTTTAGTTGTATTTACAATAAAATATTGCATGTTGAGGTTAAACAAATTGAAACATAAATTGTATTATGTATAGGTATAGAAAAATCCAATAATTAGATTTAAATTATCACAATCTATTATTCCTTGAAAACCACGGTTGAATTTGTTGTGTTTGTTTAATAAATAGCGTTAAACATACAAAGAAAGAAATTAAAAAATAATTTGCAAGCTGGGATTTATTTCCATAAAATATGTACATTCGTTATGATTTAACGGCGCGAAAAAATGTTTTAGCCTTGCAGTATCTTTTTTTGGCCAATATATTGATTTTTTTTTAAACTTTGACATCTCAAAAACAAGTTAATTTCCAGATTTTTTTGGCCAAAAGTTTTAAAATTTGGCAATTTTTTTCAATCGTCCGTAATTTTTTACAAAATTGATCGATTTGTAATTTTTTCGTTTTTATTGTAGTTTTCGAAAAAAAATATTGCGGTGTTTGCTTGGTAAATTAAAAATCTAAGAACCCACACATTTTTAATAGAAAGGAAATGTAACAAACAACACAAGATTTTTTCGAAATCTACATTAAAAATCGAAAAATTTAAAAAAAAATCCAAATTGATTCATTTTTCAAAAAGTTGAATCAATTAATTTTCGGAAAAATCAAAATTTTATCAAGAATGAAATTGTAAAATATTTTTAAGGGAGGATTTTTAAAGGGGGTGGGAGTAATTAATAAGGCCATTTTACGTACTATAATATTTATTTTAATATGATAATATACAAATTTTAATATACTACAAGAATTTGGTTGAAAATTAAAAAACTACCAGTAATAATAAAAAGCAGTTCAATTAAGAGCAATTTGGAATGAAACATTAAGAAATTTTAAATCTTGTTTGAACCGCCACTAAAATTAAAAAAATATATATTTTAGTTGTATTTACAATAAAATATTGCATGTTGAGGTTAAACAAATTGAAACACAAATTGTATTATGTATAGGTATAGAAAAATCCAATAATTAGATTTAAATTATCACAATCTATTATTCCAGGGCCGGCGTTAGCTTATTAGAGGCCAGGTGCAAAAGAAAAATGCGGGGCTTGAACTTAAAATAAAAATTTACTCTTGAAAATTAACATAGCGCCTAGCGGCAATAAACTAATAAATCATCAAACGATAAACCAATTGAAGGGGTTAGAGCTGAAACCGCCCAAGTGCATTTTTAAGTCAAAATTTCTTAAGCATGTAAGCGGATAGTAGAAAATTTTGGCTTAAAAATGCATTTGGGTGGTTTCAGCTCTGACCCCTTTAATTAATATGGAAATTAACGTTTAAGAAAAAATCATACATATGTTTTCCGTGCTTTGGCGGAAGCAAAGGTGTCAATGGTTTTTGAAGTCATATCCAGTTCTCTTCCTTCTCTATTGACAATATAGCCAAACCCACTAGTCGTTCTTGGCACATACTTGATCTTAAATAATTTTTTATTAATTTTAATTTTGAAAAACTTCTTTCCGCAGAGGCAACCGTGACGGGCAAGGTAAGTAAAATTCGAATTGCGACGCAGATATTTGGATAGGCCAAAAACAGCCTTGTAGTTTGAAGGTATTTTAGTATGTTTAAGAGCGAACTTTGGTTGATTTCAGGAATTATTGGAATTAAAGATGTTAGTTCTTCAAACAATTCTAAGTAATCAATATCGGAATCGGCATTTTCCGCGGATAAAACAGAATGTAGGTTTTTGCAGTTATTTTGCAATTCTTCATCGGGAAGATCATACATAAATCCAAACTTTTTCCTAATACCCTCATATAATTTAAATCTTTTCTTAAAGGATTCTATTGCTCTATCAAGGACTAATAGGAAGAATTCAACACGAAAATGTTCTTCTTTGTCCTCGAACGTTTCATCTGTACCTTCATAGTCAAAAGATTTTTTGACTCTTCTACAAAAGATATTATCTCTGGCATCGACCACATATTATGTTCAACATAATATGTTGTCGCGCGGCGCTTACCGGTTGCCAAAATGTACAATAATTTCGTCGAGACGCCTTGATGCGCGCGGGGCCTATAAAACGCGGGGCCGGGTGCACCGCACCGTGTGCACATGCCTCACGCCGGCCCTGTATTATTCCTTGAAAACCACAGTTGAATTTGTTGTGTTTCGTTTAATAAATAGCGTTAAACATACAAAGAAAGAAATTAAAAAATAATTTGCAAGCTGGGATTTATTTCCATAAAATATGTACATTCGATATGATTTAACTGCGCGAAAAAAATGTTTTAGCCTTGCAGTATCTTTTTTTGGCCAATATATTGTTTTTTTTAAACTTTGTCATCTCAAAAACAAGTTAATTTCCAGATTTTTTTGGCCAAAAGTTTTAAAATTTGCCAATTTTTTTCAATCGTCCGTAATTTTTTACAAAAATGATCGATTTGTAATTTTTTCGTTTTTAATGTACTTTTCGAAAAAAATATAATGGTGTTTGCTTGGTAAAGTAAAAATGTAAGAACCCACACATTTTTAATAGAAAGGAAATTTCCTTAATTACATTAATGTAACAAACGATACAAGATTTTTTTCGAAATCTACATTAAAAACAAAAAATTTGAAAAAAAATCCAAATTGATTAATTTTTCAAAAGTTGAATCAATTAATTTTCGGAAAAATCAAAATTTTATCAAGAATGAAATTGTAAAATATTTTTAAGGGAGGATTTTTAAAGGGGGTGGGAGTAATTAATAAAGCCATTTTACGTACTATAATATTTATTTTAATATGATAATATACAAATTTTAATATACTACAAAAATTTTAATGTACTACAAGAATTTGGTTGAAAATTAAAAAACTACCAGTAACAATAAAAAGCAGTTCAATTAAGAGTAATTTGGAATGAAACATTAAGAAATTTTAAATTCTTGTTTGAACCGCCACTAAAATTAAAAAAATATATTTTTAGTTGTATTTACAATAAAATATTGCATGTTGAGGTTAAACAAATTGAAACATAAATTGTATTATGTATAGGTATAGAAAAATCCAGTAATTAGATTTAAATTATCACAATCTATTATTCCTTGAAAACCACAGTTGAATTTGTTGTGTTTTGTTTAATGAATAGCGTTAAACATACAAAGAAAGAAATTAAAAAATAATTTGAAGCTGGGATTTATTTCCATAAAATATGTACATTCGATATGATTAACGGCGCGAAAAAATGTTTTGGCCTTGCAGTATCTTTTTTTGGCCAATATATTGATTTTTTTTAAACTTTGACATCTCAAAAACAAGTTAATTTCCTGATTTTTTTGGCCAAAACTAGTTTTAAAAATAAGCCAATTTTTACAAAATTGATCGATTTGTAATTTTTTCGTTTTTATTATAGTTTTCGAAAAAAAATATTGCGGTGTTTGCTTGGTAAAGTAAAAATCTAAAAACCCACACATTTTTAATAGAAAGGAAATGTAACAAACAATACAAGATTTTTTTCGAAATCCACATTAAAAACGAAAAATTTGAAAAAAAATCCAAATTGATTAAGTTTTCGAAAAGTTGAATCAATTAATTTTCGGAAAAATCGAAATTTTATCAAGAATGAAATTTTCTGGGGATTGTAAAATATTTTTAAGGGAGAATTTTTTAGGAGGTGAGGGGAATTAATAAAGCCATTTTACGTACTATAATATTTATTTTAATATGATAATATACAAATTTTTAATATACTACAAGAATTTGGTTGAAAATTAAAAACTACCAGTAATAATAAAAAGCAGTTCAATTAAGAGTAATTTGGAATGAAACATTAAGAAATTTTAAATTCTTGTTTGAACCGCCACTAAAATTAAAAAAATATATTTTTAGTTGTATTTACAATAAAATATTGCATGTTGAGGTTAAACAAATTGAAACATAAATTGTATTATGTATAGGTATAGAAAAATTCAATAATTAGATTTAAATTATCACAATCTATTATTCCTTGAAAACCACAGTTGAATTTGTTGTGTTTTGTTTAATAAATAGCGTTAAACATACTGAGAAAGAAATTAAAAAATAATTTGCAAGCTGGGATTTATTTCCATAAAATATGTACATTCGATATGATTTAACGGCGCGAAAAAATGTTTTAGCCTTGCAGTATATTTTTTTCGCCAATACCTATATTGATTTTTTTTAAACTTTGACATCTCAAAACAAGTTAATTTCCTGATTTTTTTGGCCATTTTAGTTTTAAAAATTTCAATTGTCCGTAATTTTTTACAAAATTGATCATTTGTAATTTTTTAGTTTTTAATGTAGTTTTCGAAAAAAAAAATATAGTGGTGTTTGCTTGGTAAAGTAAAAATCTAAGAACCCACACATTTTTAATTGAAGGGAAATGTAACATCAATACAAGATTTTTTCGAAATCTACATTAAAAACGAAAAATTTGAAAAAAAATCCAAATTGATTAAGTTTTCCAAAAGTTGAATCAATTAATTTTCGGAAAAAACAAAATTTTATTAAGAATGAAATTTTCTGAGGATTGTAAAATATTTTTAAGGGGGAATTTTTTAGGGGGTGAGAGTTATTAATAAAGCCATTTTACATACTATAATATTTATTTTAATATGATAATATACAAATTTTTAATATACTACAAGAATTTGGTTGAAAATTAAAAAACTACCAGTAATAATAAAAAGCAGTTCAATTAAGAGTAATTTGGAATGAAACATTAAGAAATTTTAAATCTTGTTTGAACCGCCACTAAAATTAAAAAAATATATTTTTAGTTGTATTTACAATAAAATATTCCATGTTGAGGTTAAACAAATTGAAACATAAATTGTATTATGTATAGGTATAGAAAAATCCAGTAATTAGATTTAAATTATCACAATCTATTATTCCTTGAAAACCACAGTTGAATTTGTTGTGTTTCGTTTAATAAATAGCGTTAAACATACAAAGAAAGAAATTAAAAAATAATTTGCAAGCTGGGATTTATTTCCATAAAATATGTACATTCGATATGATTTAACGGCGCGAAAAAATGTTTTAGCCTTGCAGTTTATTTTTTTGGCCAATATATTGATTTTTTTTAACTTTGACATCTCAAAAACAAGTTAATTTCCAGATTTTTTTGGCCAAAAGTTTTAAAATTTGCCAAATTTTATCAAGAATGAAATTTTCTGGGGATTGTAAAATATTTTTAAGGGAGAATTTTTTAGGGGGTGAGGGTAATTAATAAAGCCATTTTACATACTATAATATTTATTTTAATATAATAATATACAAATTTTTAATATACTACAAGAATTTGGTTGAAAATTAAAAAACTACCAGTAATAATAAAAAGCAGTTCAATTAAGAGTAATTTGGAATGAAACATTAAGAAATTTTAAATTCTTGTTTGAACCGCCACTAAAATTAAAAAAATATATTTTTAGTTGTATTTACAATAAAATATTGCATGTTGAGGTTAAACAAATTGAAACATAAATTGTTTTATGTATAGGTATAGAAAAATCCAATAATTAGATTTAAATTATCACAATCTATTATTCCTTGAAAACCACAGTTGAATTTGTTGTGTTTCGTTTAATAAATAGCGTTAAACATACAGAGAAAGAAATTAAAAAATAATTTGCAAGCTGGGATTTATTTCCATAAAATATGTACATTCGATATGATTTAACGGCGCGAAAAAATGTTTTAGCCTTGCAGTTTATTTTTTTGGCCAATATATTGATTTTTTTTAAACTTTGACATCTCAAAAACAAGTTAATTTCCTGATTTTTTTGGCCAAAACTATAGTTTTAAAAATAAGCCGATTTTTTTCAATCGTCCAAAATTTTTACAAAATTGATCGATTTGTAATTTTTTCGTTTTTATTGTTGTAGTTTTCGAAAAAAAATATAGTGGTGTATGCTTGGTAAAGTAAAAATCTAAAAACCCACACATTTTTAATAGAAAGGAAATGTAACAAACAATTCAAGATTTTTTTCGAAATCTACATTAAAAAACGAAAAATTTGAAAAAAAATCCAAATTGATTAAGTTTTCGAAAAGTTGAATCAATTAATTTTCGGAAAAATCGAAATTTTATCAAGAATGAAATTTTCTGGGGATTGTAAAATATTTTTAAGGGGGAATTTTTTAGGGGGTGAGAGTAATTAATAAAGCTATTTTACGTACTATAATATTTATTTTAATATGATAATATACAAATTTTTAATATACTACAAGAATTTGGTTGAAAATTAAAAAACTTCCAGTAATAATAAAAAGCAGTTCAATTAAGATTAATTTGGAATGAAACATTAAGAAATTTTAAATTCTTGTTTGAACCGCCACTAAAATTAAAAAAATATATTTTTAGATGTATTTACAATAAAATATTGCATGTTGAGGTTAAACAAATTGAAACATAAATTGTATTATGTATAGGTATAGAAAAATCCAGTAATTAGATTTAAATTATCACAATCTATTATTCCTTGAAAACCACAGTTGAATTTGTTGTGTTTCGTTTAATAAATAGCGTTAAACATACAGAGAAAGAAATTAAAAAATAATTTGCAAGCTGGGATTTATTTCCATAAAATATGTACATTCGATATGATTAACGGCGCGAAAAAAATGTTTTAGCCTTGCATTGCACCCCCTCCACCATCTCCTAGCACGCGCACGAGTCCCCGCCCCCACTCGGCTTCTGCGTATTGGTCAGCTTGATCTGGTCGGGGAACTCGTTGTACAAATCAACGGCGCTGTTTTGCTGCGCCAACGCGTTTTTGGCGATCTGCAGGAAGGCCTGCTCGACATTGAGGCCCTCTTTCGCCGAAGTTTCAAAGTAGGGGATGTTGTTCTTCGACTGGCACCACAGCTGCGCGCGCTTGGCGGATACTGCGCGCGGCTCTAGGTCCACCTTGTTGCCTAGCAAAACGAACGGGAAATTTTCGGGCTCGCGAGGCGACGCCTGAATTAAAAACTCGTCGCGCCAGCTGTCCAACGATTTGAACGTGTTTGGGGCTGTCACATCGAACACTGAAAATATACCACGCATGGCAGAAAATTATATTTTTTTGCATAATTTGGTGCCTAAGCAGTTTCAGGCAGTACATTGCTGGGAAGTGGGTAAAGGGACAGTTGCAGTGACATTTCTTTATGCAGTCTTACTTAAAATCTCAAAATTAGTTGTACTTTGTCATTTCATTCACAAAACAGACAATTTTCTAACGGATTTTATAATTATTTTTTATTTTAATACTAAAGCCACTATACACTAGGGTGTTAAAAAAAACATTATTTTTTTTCCAATGGTGTTGAAAAATTAATAGTACATTAAAAAACAAAAATGTTGGCGCCTATTTGAGCTCTTAATATTAATATTAAGGTTTGCCTCAATTCATTTGTTGTTTTTCCATTTCCTGAGACTGTAATCTTTTTTTTTATTTATAAACATATATATAATATATATTATATACATTAGGGTGATTCAAAAAAAGCCTTTTTTTAAAAATGAACCCGCACTGGCCTAAATTATAAAGATTACATTAAAACTAAAATATTGATACCAAAAAATCCAAATTCGATGAATATTTAGAGGTCGCTCAAATCAATTTTCGTATTTTTGCACATTCGAGCCGCGAAATTATTACTGCACAAAATAGTAAATAACTCCGTTAGTTTTTAATCGATATTATTAAAAATTTAAGGGTTACCTAGTTTTTTAATACCCTCTGAGACAGTGTATTGAACTTTGCAGAAAAATAATTTTTTTTCATGAAATAAAATAATTTGTTAATAAAAACGTATCATCTTATAAAATAAGCAACAATTGGAATCGCACTATGATGCTACCGTAAAAAAACTAAGAAAATAACACTTAAATTATTTAGTATACAGAAAATCTGCCGAAAGAAATATTTTATTTGGTTTATATAAAATATAACCTAAAAATAATTAAGTAATTTAGATTTTTCCCATTTTCAAACGATTTTATAAATAATTTATATCCGTTTTATTAATTATGACGTATTTTTATAATATTTCTTTATTTTTGATACCATATTTAATTAATTAAACTAGGTAGTTATTAAATTAGGTCCTTCTTACAACTAAAATAAAATAACGTTAACTACAAAATTATTCACTGCATTGATATGGCTTAAGCAGAAATTTAAATTTTATTAAAATTATTGACATCCAACAATTTTGATACCAAAATTATTTGATTCTGTCTAGATGTTGCTAAATTGACATACCACAATAATAATTATTATTCTTAAATTTTGATAGTAGCCTACCAGGTAGTTGATAAATTATATATATAATATATATATATATTATATATATATATACATTATTTACTTAATTCAAAAGCGTCTAAGTATCAAAACTAATTTGTTGAGAAATTAAAGAAAAACATCTTATACCTTGCACCATGGTGGAGATAGATAGCATGCCCGATGGATGAACAAAGCTATATACTCTCTAAAGATTTTCTTATTTCGGGATCAATTTAAACTTACTAACAATGAAAATAAGTCATTGCGTAGAATTTTTATTTTTATTATTTCGTTTACATATTTGCCTGGTTTCAAGCTCCAAATGCAACTTGCGCGCCCAAAAATGATTTGAAAACACATGAACTTCATGTTTACAAAAATATAGATTTGCAAATAGAAGAGCTAATTTGTTTGGCATTTTTTGATAAAAGAGTACCTACTAAAACAAAAGAAAAATGGTTAAAAAAATTAACATTAGAAACAATCATTGCAAAAGAAAAAGATGTAGAGCAGTGGATTTTTTTTATTTTAATTTTAAAAAGGACATAAATTAATAACTACTTAGTGTAATTAATTAAATATGGTATCAAAAATAAAATTTTTTTATAAAAATACGTCATAATTAATAAAACGGATATAAATTATTTATAAAATCGTATGAAAATGGGAAAAATTTGAATAACTTAATTATTATTAGGTTATGTTTTATATAAATCAAATAAAATATTTCTTTCGGCAGGTTTTATGTATGCTAAATAATTTAAGTGTTATTTTCTTAGTTTATTTACGGTACCATCATAGTGCGATTCCAATTGTTGCTTATTTTATAAGATGATACGTTTTTAATGACAAATTATTTTTTTTTTCGTGAAAAAATTTTTTTTTCCGTAAAGTTTAATTCACTGCCTCAGAGGGTATTAAAAAACTAGGTAACCCTTAAATTTTTAATAATATCGAATAAAAACTAACGGAGTTATTTACTATTTTGCGCAGTAATAATTTCGCGGCTCGAATGTGCAAAAATACGAAAATCGATTTGAGCGACCTCTAAATATTCATCGAATTTGGATTTTTTGGTATTAATCTTTTAGTTTTAATGTAATCTTTATAATTTAGGCCAGTGCGGGTTCATTTTTAAAAAAAGGCTTTTTTTGAATCACCCTAATATACATAATGTATATACAGGGTGTTTCAAATATGTATATATAAATAAAAAAAAGTTTACAGTCTCAGGTTAACAGAATTAAAGCGATTTTACATAAAAAATAATATAAATATGGCATATGATATTTTTTTGTATTTTATTTGAAAATATTTGAAATTTTTTATTAGTGTTTTTTTGATCGCTGATATCTTTGAAACGGTTGATCTGAAGAACTTTGACCTTCAGATGTTTTTTGTAGAGCGTGAAATTGTCTACAACTCCTCTCGCTTGGGTGTTGCGAAAACAAACCATTCCAAAGTTATAAGAATTCAAAATTAAAAAAATAAAAATTCCCGTGTTATTGAAATAGAAAAACAACAAATGAATTGAGGCAAACCTTAATATTAATATTAAAGGCTCAAATAGACGCCAACATTTTTGTTTTTTAATGCACTATTAATTTTTCAACACCATTGGAAAAAAAATAATTGTTTTTTTTAAACACCCTACTATACACATATATATTGTAACACAAGAACGTGCTTAAAAAACGTAAAAAACAAGGTGGTAAACGCGGCAACATTGCGAGTTGTTGATAGTTGGTTTCTACGACAACGCTTTTTACTTTTGACAGTTGCAGTGACATTTCTTTATGCAGTTTTACTTAAAATCTCAAAATAAGTTTTACTTTGGCATTTTATTTAAAAAAACAGACAATTTTCCAACTGATTTTATAATTATTTTTTATTTTAATACTAAAGTCACTATACACATAAATGGAGTAACACAGAAACGTGATAAAAAACGTAAAAAACAGGATGTAAACGCGGCAACATTGCGAGTTGTTAATAGTTGGTTTCTACGGCAACGCTTTTCACTTTTGACAGTTGCAGTGACATTTCTTTATGCAGTTTTACTTAAAATCTCAAAATGAGTTGTACTTTGTCATTTCATAAAATTTGATTAAAAAAACAGACAATTTTTCAACTGATTTTATAATTATTTTTTATTTTAATACTAAAGTCACTATACACATAAATAGAGTAACACAGGAACGTGATAAAAAACGTAAAAAACAGGATGTAAACGCGGCAACATTGCGAGTTGTTGATGGTTGGTTTCTAAGGCAACGTTTTTCGCTTTTGACAGTTGCAGTGACATTTCTTTATGCAGTGTTATATAAAATCTTAAATATTTATATAGCACACTTAATTAGCATTAATTAAGGACCAAATTATGCAAAAAAATATAAATATTCTGCCAACTCAAGGAACAAGAATAAACAATTTAAAGAACATACCTATTCAAATATTCAAAAAACGTTTTATATTTTTTTGTAGATATACAACTTTTTTATTTGGCATTTTTAGTTTTGATAAATTTTAGAGGGTCAAATTATGAAAAAACTAATTTTTGTCACCTATCATTTTAAGAAGTAAATACAGAAAGTTTTGCTTGAAAACAAATAGGTTCAAAATTTCAGCCTCTACATTTTTTGTTATAAATTTATTTACTTCCGACCAATAGGAAGCGAGATAACAGTTCAAAAATTATTATCAGTTATAATAGATAATTTCTACGTTTTTTTGATAACGAAAAATACAAACAATAATAATGATTCATGCACTTATATATCACAGGAAGTGGACCTTAATTTGAAATAATACCTCAACAATTTATTTAAGACATTTTATTTTCTATCCTGTCATTTAAAGGCTTTGTTATCTATGATTTAAATTATCAAAAATTGACTTTTGTCCTGGACAACTTGGCAACTCTGTATGTAACAAATGTTACATCACAATAATATGTGAAACAAAAACTGTTTGGTTTTTAAAAAAAAAACATAATTCTTACCTAATACGCAACAATCAGCTCCTCTGTAAAAGGCAACTCCCAAACTTTGGAACCGTTCCTGTCCAGCAGTATCCCAGATTTGCATTGTGACATTTTTATCGTCGACAGTAACTTCCTTTGTCAAGAAATCTGCACCGATTGTTGCCTTGTATTGGTTCGAGAACTTCCTGTTCACATACTGATTCATCAACGACGTTTTGCCAACGCTAGAGTCCCCCAAAATTATCACTTTCAATAGAACCTTTTTGCGGTGGGCCATTTCTAAAAAAAAAGTCTTAATAGAACAAAGAAAACTGACAGTTGTGAAAATAATTGCAACAACCGTCAAATTCTGTCGTTTTAATTGGCTAAAAACGAGAAACAAATGACTAACAACGTTCCTGATTTATCGCTAAAAAAAAGAACAACAACGTCTATGACATCATTTCATTATAAAAACATTCGCCCCGAGCAATCGAATTAATATTTGTCGTAAATTGGGGGCGTATATTACACTGTGTAATTTACACACAACAATACAAAACAATGAACCCCTACTTGCATGACGTAAAAATCGAATTAACAACATTAATAAACAGAACAAAAAGATCATCTGTGTCAGCTGATTTAGCGTTTTTTTTTTGTTTTTGACGTTTTAAAGGTGGACATCGACGATAATAACGATATTTTGGCAAATTTACTTACTTTACGAACTGAAGTCGATCAGAAAACTAACAAATAAACACCTTAAACGTTGAAAGTTCCACACCAAAAAATTTACTGCGTATGATTAGGAAAAATGGCGATTATTTGATCTAGGGAATTTTATTTTGACATGTGTTACCGTTGGCCATCTATGAATTACCAGCCGAAGCTTCTGCTTCGAATGACTGTCAATAGAGGGCTTTTATAAAAATATATATTTAAACATCTTTTTTTTACTTATTATAGTGTTTTGTGTAATTTTTTTAGCTTTCCCTCTTGTTTATATTATTAACGCATGTTTTCTTTGTCTTCTTTTGCCTTCAAAATTTGTTTTTCCTATATTTTTGCTTATTTGGTTGGCAACGCTTCTCCGAAGTGTTATCAGCTGTCATTCAACATATGACATTTGTCGATATATTTACAAACAAATAATTGTTCAAATTACGCGTTAAAAAGTTTGTCAGTGAAAAATGTCTTCTGCGGAAGATGAAAATGACAACTACGAAGAAATAGAGAACGGGCACATATCGTCCGAATCGAATTTCACCGATGAAGAAGACACTTCAGGTATTCCTATAAACAACGTTGTGTGTTTATTATATTTTAATTTAATTGCAGATGAGCCTAATGAGAACAGTGAGGGTTATTTTAACACGGACCTGCCTGTAGCGCACAGGGTAAGTTATCATATAAATAATATTAGTAGTATTTTTATGGGGATTATACTTAATAAATGTCAAGTTAAGGTAACCCAATTTTTTTGTATTCTAATGTTAAGGTGGGAATACCTATATAAAATTTAATAAAATAAAACTTTTAATCACAGTATTTGGGCAAATTAAACAACACAAGCAAATACACAGTGTATGATGATGGAGAAATATTGGAAATATTGGCAATACACACCAATACATTGGTTTTTCCTGGTTTCACTCTACCTTTAATCATGAATAATCACTTTGAGAACACTGTCATTCTCTCCTACATACAAAAAAGCAAATCAATTGCCTTAATTGCTGCAGAGTAAGTATATACCATACAAAGAAACTACAGAAGTATTACTAAGTACTTTTAAGTGCTTACTATAAGAAAATCTACACTCATGGTACCATATTGGAGATTTTTGAGCACAATACAAAAAATGGGGTTTTAAATTTGAAGGCCAGGGGTAGGCAAAGGTTCCGTTTGGTACCCGGCAGTGAAATCAAGAATTTGGCCGGTAGATTGCAAATGATACAAGTGCAAGCTTTGGGGGAAAGACCGATAAACTCGCCCCTCATGGATACACAGATGTTGACTTTAAAGTCCAAAAGAGGTTACACATCGCAGAATTTTAGGTACTTTACTAAATTGGATAAATATCGAAGGTAAGTTTTTTAACATTTTATTTAAAATGTTTAATAATATTTTTTAGTTTTCACCTGGCCCAATATCCATTTCCAAAGTATGTGTATGACAATTACGAAATTGCCAGACCTGTTGAGATAGTTTTAAGCGCACTGTCTAATTATGGTAATTAAGGGAAAAAAAACCTTTTACTTTATCTTATAAATAAATTTCATTTTTGTTTGTTTCTTAATTTGTAAACATTAGTGAGAGTGGCGCAAAAAATTGGTGGCTAAAAGGGTTTAAAACAGTAAAAAGTGGGTAAAAATATTAAATTATTTTGAATTTTTCAGTGTTTCTCAAACTTTCAAGATTTCCAAATTTTAAAATGTCTTATATTTTGGAAATTTAAAAAAATAATAAAAATTTTCATAAAATTCAAAATTTTTCCAAAAATCCTAAAATTTTTAAATATTCCTTTCAACATTCTAAAAAATTTCGAAACTTTACAAATCTAATAAAAAATGTATTATTTTTAAAAATTTTATGTTTTCAAAAATTATATTATCAAATTTTACAAATTTCCAATATTTTCAGATTTTATAAAATTTTGGAAAATTTGCAAAATTTAAAGATTTTATAAAATATATGAAATCTAAAAATTACAAAATATTTTCAAATTTTTATAAAATTTAATTTTTTTAATTACAAAATTTAAAATATTTACAAATTTTTCCATTTTAAAATTTTTAAGTTTTCAAAAATTACACAATAAACAAAATCAAATTATACCATTTTACAAATTTCCAAAATTTTCAGATTTTATAAAATTTTGGAAAATTTGCAAAATTTAAAGATTTCATAAAATTTACGAAATTTGAAAATTACAAAATTTTCAAAATTCCCAATATTTTCAAATTTTTCTAAAATTTCATTGTTTTTTTATTTACAAAGTTTAAAATATTCACAAAATTATACAATAAATAAAATGAAATTAGGTATACCACTTTACAAATTACCAATATTTCCAGGTTTTATAAAATTTTGTAATTTTTTATAAAATATTTTTTATAAAATATACGAAATCTAAAAATTATATAGTTTGCAATATTTTCAGATTTTTACAAAATTTATTTTTTTTTTTAATAAAAACACGAAATAATTTCAAACTTATAAAATTTACGAAATCTAAAAATTATAAAATTTCCAATATTTAATAAAAAAATTTTTTATACAAAATTTAAAATATTTACAAAATTTTCCCGTTTTAAAAAATTTTAAGTTTTCAAAAATTACACAATAAACAAAATCAAATTATACCATTTTACAAATTTCCAATATTTTCAGATTTTATAAAATTTACGAAATTAAAAATTATAAAATTTGCAATATTTTCAAATTTTTATAAAATTTCATTTTTTTTAATACAAAGGTTCAATTTGTTTAAATTTCTAGAATGTTGTAAAACTTCCAAAACTTAAAATCGATTTTTTTTTAATTTGCAAGAAATATTGAACATTTTTAAAATTCACAAACATCAAGTTTAAAATTTTCAAAATTATTAAAATTTCAAAAATATTCAAAAACTCGTACCAGCCAAGATGTACAACGACATTAAACTGTTTAAACTTTTTTTAGAATATCTACCCAAAGATCCAGTACAGTTGTCCTATTGGTTCCCACAAAACTATCAGCTGAATCACGAGGAAAGACTGTATTTCATGAGTGCTGACTCCACATTGGAAAGACTGAAATTAGCTTGTAAACTGCTGAAAAGGGTAAGTTTTTCTATGATGTATAAAAAAATATTTCATCAAATTTTAGGATAGAAGTCCAAGGTCTATAATATATAGATTTTACAGAAGATAACTTCATATTTTTAAATGTACATACCTACTTAATTATAATAAAATAAAAATGTGTTATGTTGTGGTTTTTATTAAAAAAACAGGTTTTTCTTTATTTTAGTTGAGACACATTTGTTGTAAAAAGTGTGGAGAAACAATAAGTAATCCTTCTAAAGTTTTCTCTATGTCTAAAGATGGCATACAGAGTAACTATGTTAACCCAGGTAAGGCGAAAATACGAAAACTAAAAGGGTATTTTTATTTGTTATTTTTCAAAAATGTTATGATTTATATATTGTTTTTAAGGTGGACATGTTTATGAAACTGTTACTGTTTCCGAGGCAGAACATTTTTCGCTTATAGGCTCTCCTTCAAAGCAGTTTTCATGGTTTCCAGGGTAGGTAATTTTGTTTTGTCATCAGTTTTTTTAACTATAAATTCATAATTATTCTAATAAAATTCGATTTTTGGATCTCATCAGGGCCGGGTAGAATCAGACCAAAATTAACATTTTAAAAATTTCAAAATCTACAAAATCAAATTATACGATTTTACAAATTTCCAATATTTTCAGATTTTATAAAATTTTTGGAAAATTTGCAAAATTTAAAGATTTTATAAAATTTACGAAATCTAAAAATTGCAAATTTTATAATATTTTCAAATTTTAATAATCATTTTTTTTATTACAAAATGTAAAATATTTACTAAATATTCCCATTTTAAAATTTTTCAAAAGTTACACAATAAACAAAATCAAATTATACCATTTTACAAATTTCCAATATTTTCAGTTTTTATAAAATATTTTCGGATTTTATAAAATTTTGGAAAATTTAAAGATGTTATAAAATTAACGAAATCTAAAAATTACAAAATTTGCAAAATTTTCAAATTTTTACAAAATTATTTTTTTAATTACAAAATTTAATATTTGCAAAATTTTCCCATTTTAAAAATTTTCAAAAATTACACAATAAACAAAATCAAATTACCATTTTACAAATTTTCAGATTTTATAAAATTTTGGAAAATTTATAAAATTTAATTTTCTTTAATTACAAAATTTAAAATATTTACAAACTTTTTCCATTTTAAAATTTTTATGTTTTCAAAAATTACACAATAAACAAAATCAAATTACCATTTCACAAATTTCCAATATTTTCAGATTTTGGAAAATTAGTTAAATTTAAAGATTTTATAAAATTTACGAAATTACAAAATTTGCAAATTTTCCAATATTTTCAAATTTTAATAAAATTTCATTTTTTTTACCACAAAAATTATAAAAATCTTTTCAAATTTTTACAAAATTTTCCCATTTTAAAATTTTCAAGTTTTCAAAAATTACACAATAAATAAAATCAAATTATACCATTTTACAAATTTCCAATATTTTTAGACTTAAGATTACAAAAAAAAATTAAAAAATTGTAAACTTCACATTTTTTTAAATATTTCTGAAATCTAAAATTTTTAGTTTACAAAACTCAAAATTTTTAAAATATTGTAACGTTTTTACTGTTCGTAGTGTGAATTAAAACACGCACTGGTTTATTAACGAACTAAACTATTTATTTAATAACTTAACTACACTTAAAACACTATAAAACTAACTAAACACTTAACTACTAATTATTTATATCACTACTAGTTTATTTATTTGCACTTATATTTATTTATTTCTTCGCGAGTACCAAAGCTCAAGTGCCTGCTTTATGCTGCTCCGTTCCTTATATATTCAGCGCCTACGTCTTCTGGAACATTCCAGCGAGCTCCACACTCTCGATTATTCGAGCGATGACTCACCGGCGATTACTCATCGGCGATGAGTCATCATTCCGAGATACAGAGCCGTACTCGCTACAATATACAAGAATTTTCAAATTTAAAATATGAAAAATTTCCGAAATTTTTGAAATATTATTTTTTTTTAAATTCCCGCTCGTCAGATACGCCTGGACCATAATGCAGTGCTCGCACTGCTGCGGCCATTTGGGCTGGAAGTTCAGCAGCTCGCACCTGAAGCCGAAGGTGTTCTACGGGCTCGCGAACAACGGCTACAAGATCGAGGTGGCCGAGCACCCGGACGACTTCGCGCACTTCGAGCACGAGGAACTTCACGGCGACCTCGGCGACGACTCGATCACCTACACCGACGGCTTCTACTGGCGCCGGCACAACTACGTGTGAGGCGCGGCGGGCGGCGCGCCGGCCCGGCGCCCAAGGCGCTCCGCCCGCCGCTGGCGCACGGAGTTCGCTAAGATGATGAGGTAAGGAAGTTCGAGATAAAATTAATGGTAAAAATAGTAGTAGGAAATCATACATACATACATTTGTGTTCGTGGCGTGAGAAAAGGGGTAGTTAAATTTTTTCTGACCTATACTTTTTATGGTTTTATTCAAGGCGTTTTGTAATATCAAACATTTCTGTGAAATCAGAATTTCAATTGAGTTTACCGTTTTCGAGATATTTACAAAAAATATAAATTTTTATGACGTCACAAACCTCGCCATGTGACCAACATTCTAAGATTTCTATTGGTTGAAAATTACCCTGTTGTCAAGTTGTCTTGTTAATGATTTCATTCGGTTATGTCAGAAAATACCCGAAGAGGTTATGTACAAATACTGTCACTGTCAGTTGAGCGAAAGATGGTCACCAAATTCATTAAGTACCTATCTTCCCTATTACGAGGTATTTTAGAGTCCAAGATATATCTAAAAGAATATAAAGCATTATACTAATGAAATGCATTTACGACAAAATATGATTATAATTATAGGTAGGTACAGTTGTATTCAATAAAAAAGCGTACAAGAATTAGAATGAGAGAAAACTGTCAAAATAATAGTATTGCTTAAAACCGGCTTATCACTGACATAAGTCATTAAAATAATTACTATAGAGCATAAAGAGCATTGACGTCGTAAGTTAATTAAATAATATTACAAAAATTATTACCCTTTATAAATGAAAAAAAACAAACAATAAAAAAAATTTAATATTTAGTCATGCATCCGTGTTTTTTAATTACTTGAGCCAATCTATTTGGGATGAACTGAATTAAATTTAATACAATATTTGGATTAATATCCTCCCAGCAGTATAGTAGGTATAGTATAGTTGTATAGTTTCCCATAAATCCTCGGATATCCCAAAAAAGCAGCATCCTGTTCAGGGGTGGACATTTTGGGACGACCTGAACCAACTTTTTGGTTTAGTAAATCTTTCTGTTCCCAGCGTTGCTTAATTTTTAATAAAGATTTTTTATTTTTATTATACCACGGTACGAATTGACCATTCTTCTTCGATTCTTGATACTATTTGAGCCTTTTTAACTGACGAAGCATTTTTATTTTCTCCTGTCAGTTATAGTGACAAGTCAATGGAAAGCCGGTTTTACGCAATAATGTTGACAGGTTTCTCTCATTCTAATTCTTGTACGCTTTTTTAATGAATACAACTGTACTTACTTTATTTGTTTAAAAGCTCCAATGTTCAATGTAACCAACCATTCCACAAGATTCCTCTGCTTTGGAGTCCGTTATTAATAAATCACTTATCTAATATCAATTACAAATAACATAACAATAACATTGATTTTCAATAATCTAAATTTAAAAAAAACATAACCCGAAAAAAAGAAACGTCAAAAAATCAATTCTTCTTCTTCTTCTCAACTAAAATTATAGATCAAGTGGTTTTAAAACTAAAATATTATAACGTGGCGCCATCTATCGTAAGAATCTTAAACTAAACACACTGGCAACCATAGAAAAAGCTGGCAACGTTGTCAATAGCCTAGTGACGTAATTAGGAGATTTTTTTTTGTAAATATCTCGAAAACGGTAAACTCAATTGAAATTCCGATTTCACAGAAATGTTTAAAATTACAAAACGCCTTGAATAAACCATAAAGTATAGGTCAGAAAAAATCCCATTTGTGCAAAAACGTTTATTTTTTCCAAATTTATTTAATAAAATCCAAAACGAAGTTTCAACTTGGTTACTATCAACTTTTAGTACAATATTCTAAGGAATATGTGGTATTATTTTGTACAGGCATTTCAGGAACACCTTATATAAAATTGTAGGTAGAACGTATTTTCAAATTTTATAAAATTTTCCCATTTAAAACATTTTAAGTTTTCAAAATCTTCCAAAATTAACAAAATCAAATTATATAATTTTACAAATTTCCAATATAGTCCAGTCATCTTAGTCAAAATAAGGTAAGAATCTCGGAATTTGAGATACCAAGCTGTATATTTGTATAAACTTTTATTTTGACATCCTAAAACTTGCCTCAAAACCTACATACTGTAAGGTGTCCGCATCTGTCAAAAATTAAGGTCAAAGGTTACAAAAATCGATTTTTTTAACATTTTCTGCAAATATCTCGTTTCCTATGGGGTTTACGCGATTTGTATTTATTATCAATATTATAGAAGATAAAATTCTCTACAACTTTTGTTTAAAAAGTTTTTTTATACGTCAAATCGTTTTTGAGATAGAGGGCAGTGAGCGCGCAGTGTTTAACTATATAGAGTACCTCTCAATCGTGTATACTATCAAGTTCAAACTTGGTTAGGGCATGACTTGGAACCCCAGAATTGGGGCTGGACAATGCGTGGCGAATTCCAATCACGACAATTCTCCCACCTGCTCCAGAAGAATTGCTAAATACAATATTCTGCAACTGCAAGAATGGTTGTGGTTCGCGATGTGGTTGCAGGAAGTCGGGGTTGCAGTGCTCTTTAGCTTGTGTCCAATGTAACGGGCAAGCTGGTCTCAATGCTTTGCCATACCAGAATGATGCCCAAGAAGATGGGACCTTTGATCCTGACATCATGGAAGACCTAGAAACAAATGTCGTTGAAGGCGAAGATGAAGAAGAAGTTGAAATTCAACTGGAAGACAATGATAATGAGGAAGAAGAAGAGAATTAAAATCAGAGTTTGTCGTTGTTTGAATAATTATTCTTTTTTTTTAGTTTTTACTGATAAATGTAAGGATTGAAAATTTTTTAATAAAAAAGTTAATTAGAAATTTATTTCATTTCTTCATTTTTACTTAATAATTAGTATAGCATTGATTAACATTAAAAAAAATTTAGGTATTTCTCTTAGTAATTTTTAAGTACACAACCAGGTAAGTGCGATTAAATACACTGATACTTAATTAACAGGGGTCCCTCAAGGTTCAATTTTAGGTCCATTCCTGTTCCTACTTTATATTAATGATTTGCCTTCCAATGTTTCAACCGCATCAACAACCATGTTTGCAGATGATACCTTTTTCTTGACTCAAAAACATCTAATTAATAATACAATTGACAAAATACAAACTTGGTGCACTCTAAATAAAATAAAAATAAATTTTGAAAAAACCAAATGTATATACTTTCAACAAAGAAATACCAACGCAGAACACCCCATTCTAAATTATAATATCAACTACGAAAGTAAAATTAAATCTCTAGGTATAATTATTGACTCGGCACTGAACTGGAAAGACAACGTTAACTCCTTGTGTAACTCTTTAAGATCAGCGTGTTATTGTCTAAGAGTATTAAAACTTAAGGGAATTAGTATGGATACGCTGAAAATGGTTTATTTTAGTTATTTTGAAAGTAGATTAAGATATGGCTTAATATACTGGGGCTCCTCAATAGTCTCATCTAAAGTATTTATTTTGCAAAAATTCGCCTTAAGAATAATTTTAGGTTTAAAAAAAAGGGAAAGTTGTAAAGAATATTTTAATTTAAACAACATTTTGACGTTTCCCTCCTTGTTTATTTTTGAATGTTTAGTTTTTCTTTATAAGAATAAAAGTGATTTTAGTTTTTTTAACTCAAACACGAGACAAAATGGTTTAATCATATACGAGGCAAATAACACCAGTTTATTCCAAAAGAGTATTCTGTATTTAGGCCCAAAATTTTACAATAAGTTGCCTGTTCACATTAGATCTCAAAATTTAAGAAATTTCAAATCTTCATTAAAACAACTTCTTATTACCAAATCGTATTACTCATATCATGAATTCTTGAATGATGATTTTTAGTGTGGATTAGGTAACTAGTGTTTCATAAGAAATTTTCATAAATTCTTAGCTAATTAATATTTAATTTGCACTTATTTTACTTTATTTTATTTATAAGGTTATAAGCATATTCTTTTATTAATATTGTAAGGAATTGCCTATTTTTCTGTACAACCTTAGTTGTTTTTGAAAATAAACTTATTATTATTATTATTATTATTATTAATAGATACATCATGAAAAAAGTTATTAACTATAATGTAATATTTAAAAAAATTAAAATTATTTATAATTATATATTTCTCAACATTTTATAAACATGTTTTTGATCGGGCCTTCCGGTTGACCTTAAATGGTACTCTATATAGTTAAACACTGCGCGCTCACTGCCCTCTATCTCAAAAACGATTCGAGGTATAAAAAAACTTTTTAAACAAAAGTTGTAGAGAATTTTATCTTCTATAATATTGATAATAAATACAAATCGCGTAAACCCCATAGGAAACGAGATATTTGCAGAAAATGTTAAAAAAATCGATTTTTGTGACCTTTGACCTTAATTTTTGACAGATGCGGACACATTACAGTATGTAGGTTTTGAGGCAAGTTTTAGGATGTCAAAATAAAAGTTTATACAAATATACAGCTTGGTATCTCATATTCCGAGGTGAAACTACTAAGATGACTGGACTAAATATATTCAGATTTTATAAAAGAAATGTAAATAAATCATAAAATTTTGCAAAATCTTCAAAAATTACAAAATTTTCATTTTAGAAATTGGTGAAATTTTGGGATTTTATAAAATCTAATATAAAATAAAAAAATTTTAATTACAAAATTTAAAATGTTTACAAAATTTTCCCATTTTAAACATTGTAAGTTTTGAAAATCTTCAAAAATTAACAAAATCAAATTATAATATAAATATAATTTTACAAATTTTCAATATTTTCAGATTTTATAAAATTTAAATCATAAAATATAATCTTCAAAAATAAAAAAACGCATTTTAGAAATTGGCAAAATTTTAGGATTTCATAAATCTAATATAAAATTTAATTTTTTTAATTACAAAATTTTAAATGTTGACAAAATTTTCCCATTTTAAACATTTTAAGTTTTGAAAATTTTCAAAAATTAACAAAATCAAATTATATAATTTTACAAATTTCCAATATTTTCTGATTTTATAAAATTTTGAAAAATTTTAAATCATAAAACTTTACAAAATCTCCAAAAATTAAAAATTTTTAAGAAAATGGCAAATTTTCTCATTTTAAAAACTTCAAAAATTAACGAAATCAAATTATATAATTTTACAAATTTCCAATATTTTCAGAATTTATAAAATTTTGAAAAATTTTAAAACAAAATCTTCAAAAATTACATTTTCTTTTTAGAAATTGGCAAAATTTTAGGATTTTATAAAATCTTGTATAAGTTTTCAAAATCTTCAAAAATTAACAAAATCAAATTATGTATATAATTTTACAAATTTTCAATATTTTCAGAATTGCAAAATTGTCTTTTTAGAAATTGGAAAAAATTGAAGAATTTTATAAAATCTATCTATAAATTTTCAAAATCTTCAAAAATTAACAAAATCAAATTATAAAATTTTACAACTTTCCAATATTTTCAGATTTAATGTTTTTAGAAATTGGCAAAATTTTTGAATTTTATAAAGTTTACGAAATCTTTAAAAATTACAAAAATTTACATAATCCAATAATTTTAAATTTTATAAATTTTTTATCCTTATTAAAAAATTATTAAAAAAATAATTAAATGTTTTTTGTCAAGGTTTTTCGCAACATGGACCCGCCGCTAAGGAACCAGCCAGTGGGGCACGTTTTAAAACCGGTTGGATAAAATATTTTGCCTTCATGGAAGTGTTCGTTCTAAGGCAATATAAATTTAAAAAAATTATTTTGTAACTTGCGCATGCGTTTCATTATTTTAGACAGTGCTTTAATGGGCAGATTAACAAGTTAATACTTTTTTTTTTTTGATGTTTATTATTTTATTTTGACGTAACGGTTGATAGGTTTTCAGTACAGTCGATCTGTATTTCGAACTGGCTGGATTTTGGTCTGAAAGGTGGACCCTGCTCGGGCGCCTATTTTTTTTAGTTTTTTTGTATTTTGACCCGCTAAAATTGATCTAAACTGAAAATGCTAGATAAAAAAGTTGTAGATCTCGAAAATATCTACAAAAAATGTTTTGACCCTTTTTTCGCTCGACCAATAGGAAACGAGATATAACCATTTTTTGATTCGTAATTTTTAAAAATTTGACATTTACCACCAGCCAGTTCGGATTTTTTTTGACAGATTAACTGTACTACCTTCTTTGTGATAAAAATAGTTTTTTTATAGAATTTTCTAGATCCTACCGCCATCTATTACTACGTAGTTAAAATGCATATTATTGTAGACGTGTTTTTTTTTATTTAAATGTGCACAATAACAATTTATTATAAAAAATATATACCTATGTAAATAAAAAATAGTTTTAGTATCATTGAAATAAAACTACTGGAACCAATAGAAAAGTAAATATTTATTATTAACCTAAAAATACAAAAATATTTCAACATTGCATAACTAAAACTACAAAATCGTTCTTCTCGTCCTGGACTGGTCAACATTATTAACTGGGGAGCCATTGCGGTCGTTTGAGGTTATGGCCTTTCGTTTACCCCTTCCCCTGTTGGAAAGCGTTTTGGTGTTTTTCATTATCTCCCCGCTTTTGTCCAGGTTGCTGCTTTGATTCTCAGTCCACAATTCCTTGGCTTTTTTGGCTTGAGACAGCTGTTGGACTTCGGTTTCCAATTCATATAAGCGTTTTTCAGCTGCAGTCAGTTCCTTTACAACCGAATCTGTGTGGTCTTGTAGGGCTTGGTGTATTTTATTTATAACATCCAAACCCTGACTTTTATTGATGTCCACCTTCAAACCACTCAACAATCTACTAAAAGTCTCTGAAGACGCCTCGGAACATTTGTAAGTGTTATTATTCTCACTTAAGTTGGTAATATGTACTGGCACTCTATCGTACATGTAATTGTTGAACCTGAAGAAGGCTTGCTGATAGGAATGCGTGGAACAATTCTCGGAGGCTTCAGTTATCAAAAGGCAGGTAGTAAACAGTTCAGGCGATATATTGAAAACTTCGCTTAACTGTTTGTGGATGATTTTGTGCCGCAGCGACAGCTGGAAGTTGGCGACCTTTTTGTACTGATACCACGCCACCACTCTCTCGAACTGCGCCCCCAAAAACTCCTCTATCTTACGACGATCAACTTTACCCACACTATCGTAAAAGTAGTGGTTCATGGGGCAAGGCACCACGGAGTTCACTTTAATCGTGGTCGAACTCATTATTTGCTGCTGATCGTTGTCGGTTATCGTTCTTTTCTCCTTGTGCACCACCTCTCCTAGCAGAAATCCCTCCTAAAATTTTCGAGGTTATGTTGCGTGATTTTTGCATTTTTTGATGGGGCTCACCTGCATAAACGACGCCTTGGTGTTCTCGTACAGCAAGAAGGAGAACGCCGGACCCGACAGCAACATAGAAGTTGGTTTGTACATGATTTAATTGCGGTTTTATTTACATTTGTGACATTTTTCTACTAACAACAAATGAATCACGATTGCCGGTAAAGAGGGTCTCTTTACCTTGACAAATCAGAATGCCGGTAAAGAAGGATGCAAGGCATAATATTCGTTATTTTGATGTTTTTAATAAATACTAGGTATTTATTGAACGATATAAAGAGAAATATTATGTACACAGTACAAATAATTGAGTAATATCAACACTACAAGTCAAAATAAACGAATGCCGGTAAAGAAGGGTGCTTTTCTCTTGATAAATGCCGGTAAAGAAGGATACTTTGGTATTGACAAAGCAGAAATTCAAAATAATTGTTTTAATTTAATGTATTTATTAAATAAGAACGATATATAAAGAAATATTATATACACAATGTACAGATAATTGACCAATATCAACACTACAAATCATATAACAAAAATAATTTACAATTGTCAAAATAAACATCGTACAATTCCAGTGGGTACCTATTTATAAAAAATAAATTATTTTACGCAATATATACACTAACTGATCGTCTTTTGGGGGAATGAGAATTTCTAATTAAATTCACTGATTAATCCAGTCTCCAGTCTCAATGTACAATATTATTATTATTAATTCCTTTCATATAATTATTACAATATTAAAAACAAGATTAATACGTAAAAATGTCAACATTTTGTATTAATTCCACCTAAATTCTAAATACCAAAGTTTTATTGCTAAAACCGTATAAAAAGTTATTGCTCAGATGGTTTGACACACTAACTAATAAAAGTCGGGGGTTTTCAAGTTATTTGTGTTGTTTGATGTTAAATTTGCGATTTTAATTTCCATAGAAATTTCTGAGTGTCGTGGAATACAAATTGGAAGTCTCAAATTAAAAGTAGTTTAATTTAATTTGACAATACGCTAAAGATTCTCTTCGGCGTAAAATAAGTAAAAAACCACCTTAAACATTAAATTTGTATTTATTTAAAAACCCTTGCGTGTATTTTTAAATTTTATTATATATAACGATAAAAACAATAAAAACAAGATTGTTTTTGTTCAATACTTTTTCGCGGCACCAAAACTTGAAAAACTGCAACTGCTATTCAAAAATAGTCCTTACGTCAAAATCAGTCGGTAAAGCAGCGCGCTGCGTGATCGGCGTTGCCAACTTAAATGGCGTTGCCAACTTAGGGGGGCGTGTGGCTTCTGTTGGCCCTGTTCTGCCTGTTCTGCCTGAAATTCCGCGCGTTCCTGTTAAAGTTGCTTCTGCCGCGCCTTCGGTCCCTGTTGAACCCCCTGTTGGAGGGGTTGGGGTTGCAGTGGCGGGGCGGCGGCCCCTCCATGTACCCGCCATTATCTTGCGGCGGGTAAAAATCGTCCGGGGGCGGGAAATTGGGCGGGAAGTTTGACGGGAACTGCTGCGGCGCGTTGCCTAGCAACCCGCCGTTGCGGGGGTCGAAATTGATGGGGAACTCGTGCGACATGTTGGGGACGCCGGGGGCGGCCCCGAGCAGCCCCGGCTGCGGCCCCATCATGGGGTTGGCGATTTTCGATATGCTGGCCAAAATCCCCAACGCGACTCTCACGCTGGGATTGGCCTGAAGATTGGCGTTGGGGATGATGTTCAGGTTGCCTAACATGCTGTTCAAAACCGGGTCGTGCATGTTCTGGTCATTCCTCGACGCCAACTCCTGGTTTAGCAGCAGTTTCTGGTTGCTTGTAAGGCTTTGGTAGAAGTTCGAGTTCTGCAGCATGTTCAACTGTTGATTGAAGTTCATCTGTTGATCGTTGTTGACGACCGCTTTGTTCTCCTCTTGTTTACGCAAAAGACGCGGATCGATGCGCGCTTGTTTGGTGCTCTCTTGCCGCGTCGGCGACATCGGACTGTCTTTTTCCTCAATCGATAATCTATAGAGTAATAAATCGTTTCCTATTGGTCGCACGAAAAAAATTTTCAAACAAAAAATGTAGACCTTTAAATCCTCGACATATTTGTTCTCGGCTAAAACTTTCCGCACCTAGTTTCTAAAGAGATAGAGGGCGCCAAAGTAGGCATGCGCTATGCACGGGTGTTACTACGATTTCTTTTGAGTTTTTTCCGAAACTATTGCGTTTTTCAAAAATGTTTTCTGTTTAAAAGCTAAATTTAAAAAGTGTTTACGTTTGTCATTTTGACAGATGTCATTATGACGGCCAACATTTTGGCAAACGTCATCTTGACAGTTTTGTTGATAGCAAGAAATGTTTGACATTTAATGCAGTGTTGTTTTTTTTGAACATTCGGATGTTTTTCGGATTTTGTAATTCGGAGGATTTTTTACGGATTTTTTTAGATAAAATGCTGAGCGTTTTTTAAAATGTTATTTATGTTGTGTTCTGTTTAAAAGCTAAATTTCAAAAGTGTTTACGTTTGTTTTATCTACGTATATTTATTTTGTTGTGAAATACAGGAAAAAGAAAGTGTTTAAGGTTTTATTTTTATTTTCCGCCCTAATTAGACACTTTGAAAATTGCAATAGACACTTATAACCTATCGAACGTGGTTTTTTCTGGTCATTGCTATCCATAAAAAGCATTTTTACTTTCTGTTCACACCTCGTATGTAAATCGGATTTTTGTTGGATATTTTCGGATTTTTTGACAGGTTGGAGCGGATTATCTGGTTATAACTTATAAGGCGTTGGCAACACTGATTTAATGTCAAAACATCAGAATGTTTGTAATAAATAAAAAAGATAAATGTTCGGTATCGGTAATTTGAGGAAAATTTGTAAAAAAACTTTTTAGTAGAAGGATGTAATTGCATTTAAAACATAGTTTTTTATTTCGAACAACTTTTCATATTTACAGTTTTCGATATTGTCACAAATAAAGGTACTTTACTCTTGTACCAAATTCATATTTTTCGTCAAACCTCGTATATGACTGAAAAAATCTGATTTTATTTTGTATTTTAGAACATGCACAACTTTTTATAAAGAATAATTTTTCTTCGTAAATGTTGCCAACTTAAGTAGACCCAAATTTTCGTTGTAACTGTTTACATAAAAAAACAACATTTGTTGTACAATTATTATTATTATTGTTTGTATACGTCAGGAACAGTGTAAAGACAATATAAAACATAAAACATTTCGTGTAGGTAATTGTCGTATAAAACTGCAAAGGATAAAATATTATTTAAATAATATAAGGTTCAAATTTCAGCAGCATTTTTTTTGTAGGTATAATCGTGTCACCTTTGACAGCCACCGCGCATGCCCGGACGGCGATTCGCTTTTGTCACTTTGTCAGCCATCATTGCAAAACAATCGGTAATTTGACATGTTTAGCGTCCTTTTGATAAAAATGCCGATATTATTGCAGTTTTTTGTGTTTCGGTGCGATATTTTAGTGCGTGAGTGATCTTTTTTTTGTCTGGAGATGCAATAACAACGATGGTGACAGGGAAAGGGCTTTAAAGGTAAAAATTGTGATTTTGCTTGTTTGAGTTGTTTTTCAATGTTTTTTTCTTTGTTACAGGTAGGTCCAGTACGAGACTGATTAACTAGGCAATCGGCAACAAAGTAGTAAGTGATTTTTGATTATTTTTTAGTAATGAGCATTTTTAAGTGATTTTATGTTTTAATACTTACATACCTACACTCAGATAAATACAATCTTAATTTAAGTATTTACAGATTGTCAACATAAAAACAATTGTTTTAAATATTTAAATACGTAAACAAAAACAGCATAAACATTTAAATAAACTAAAAACAAAGTGTAAAATAGTATTGTTTTGACATTTCCAATATTCTCATTAAAATTTTTCTTACTTTTTTGAACTAATAATCAAAAACCCTTCAAATAACAATGTAAACTGTAAAACAAAACATTTCAATTCTTGGAACAAACGCTTGTCAAAGATTGTAGTAACCAACGGTTTATTTGTTTAAATTTTAAGCCAATTAAAATGCTTTTCAGTCAGCTGATTACACAATGTTGTCCATATAAATTGTTAGTTTTTTTTGAAAATACCGGTATTGGTAACATTTTTAAAATAAATTGTATATTATTATAATTATCTACCTTAACATTTAAATTATTAACATACTTTGTGACCCATTTCTTTGCGACTCACCCCTGTAAAATCTTTATTTATTGTGCGATTTTAACCGGATTTGTTTTAAAGTGTAGATCTTGATAAACTGAATTTTTTGGGCAAAAGACGCCATAATACAAAATACAACGCCTACTATGTCAGTTTTTAAGAGTAGGTACATTTTTTAAGAATTCATATTAGCGATTTTTTTAAACAAAATCTAAGCTCGGCACTGGATTCACCACCCCTCAAAACGACCCTATACTAAATTTTATTGAAAATTTTTAAGTAGAACTGCAAACATTTATTTTGTCAAGTTATCCATGAAAAAAACATTGAAATAAAATTAACATGGTAGGTATTATTACTATAAGTTTAATTTTATTTCAATGTTTTTTCATGGATAACTTGACAAAATAAATTTTTGTAGCTATTATTCTGCATGTTTTTCTTAAAATTTTTTAATACAATTTAGTTTAGGGTAGTTTTGAGGGGTGGTGAATCCAGTGCCGTGCTTAGATTTTGTTTAAAAAAATCGCTAATATGAATTCTTAAAAAATTACTCTTAAAAACTGACATAGTAGGCCTTGTATTTTGTACAAATATGGCGTTTTTTGCTCAAAAATACAGTTTATCAAGATCTACACTTTAAAACAAACCCGTTTAAAATCGCACAATAAATAAAGATTTTACAGGGGTGAGTCTCAAACAAATGGGTCACACTGTAGAAAAAAAACAGTACGAATAATGTATTTAGCGTCACCAAAGTCATATTTTTAATAAAAAACAAAAACCAAAGTCATATTTTTAATAAAAAACAGTATTTTGCATTTTACGGCACAACGGTGAAAGTTACAGGTAAAAAGTAAAGAAAACATTTATAGGAAATTTAATTTCCTACAAAAATGGTTTTATGCATTTACGCAATCAAATGCATAGTTTAGAAGATATAAAGCATTTAATAAATTTTACGTTCAACTTTTGATAAAGTTATTAATTATTAAATGCTTTATATCTTTTAAAGTATGCATTTTATTGGATAAATACATAGAATATGTATTTTAGGAAATTAAATTTTCTATAAAAACTTTTTACCTGTAACTTTAACCGTTTTGCCTTAAAAGGTGATGGTTATTTTTTTTTTTTTAATTTTTACTTTTTAATACCTATTGGCCCATTGGCCATTGTTTGCACAATTTAAACTTTCTAAAATGAGATTTTTGTAATTGAAATTTTAATGTTTTTGATATGCTAAATGTATTTTTAACATTTTTAAATTTGTTGTAACATTTGTAAATAGCTCTTCATATTTTTGGACCAAAAAATCCTTAAAACATCTTAAAATCATCAAACTTTAAATTTCGGAAATTTAGATTTTTTTTAAATTTTCAATATTTCCACAATTTTTTTAAATTTGTGCAAGTGTGCGCGCCGTTTCCGTTTAATTTTTTATAACGCCAAGTTTACTACAATTAATAAATTTAGACCTGAATGCGTCACCAAATTCATATTTTTAATAAAAAACAGTATTTTGTATTTTAAGGCAAAACGGTTAAAGTTACAGGTAAAAAGTAAATAAAACATTTATAGAAAATTTAATTTCCTACAAAAATGGTTTTATGTATTAATGCAATAAAATGTGTAGTTTGGAAGATATAGAGCATTTAATAAATTTTACCTTTCAAGTAATTGATTATAAAATGCTTTATATCTTTTAAAGTATGCATTTTATTGGATAAATGCATGGAATATTTTTTATAGGAAATTAAATTTTCTATAAAAAACTTTTTTACTTTGTACCTGTAACTTTAGTGGTTTTGCCGTAAAGGGCGAAAAATACTGTTGGTGACGTTTTTTATTTTTACTGTAAAGGAAAATTGAACCTGAGATCGACTTTGGCGCCCTCTATCTTTTTCGGTGGTGAATACAGAAAGTTTTGCATGTAAACGAAGATGTTCAAAATTTCGAGCTCTACGATTTCCGTCCTGAAACTTTTTTTGTTTGACCAATTTAACGTTCAAAATTGGCGCCCGAGCAGGAACCCTGAATTTGTATTTCACCCTTGGCGTAGCTAGAGAAAAAAAAATGCAAATCACGAACCTGAATATTTTTCTCAGTCGGGGATCCCCGGACTTTTCGGCCTCGTTGACGGACAACTTCAGTCCGGTGTAATCCGGGCGCGGGATCTCCACTATCCCAACCTTCCAGATTATGACCGGATGCGAGTTGACGCTGGCGTCGATCTCAGTGGCGGGGGTGTAATTTTCCATCGCTTTGAAGGGGAGCGGCATGTTCCTCAAGTCCACGTCCGACCTCGACACTAAAAAAAAAAAAAAAATATATTTAACATTTTCGTTGAATTTTTAAGGTTTTTAAGGTTATATCTTACTTCTGTCGACATCGGGTGATTTGATTTCGTTATCCGACACGTTGATGCTACCCTGCTCGTAGATGCTGATTTTCTCCGATTTCTGGTTTTCCGTCGAGCTTTGTCGCGACGATCTCTGCCTGGGATCGTTCGTGGCCACTCTGGGATCGCTGCTGGCCGTTCTAGGATCGTTCGCGGCCACTTTTGGATCTAAAAAAAAAAATTTTTTTTTTTGTCCCATGGCAAGTCACACTTACTGTTCAACTTACTGTCTGCTTTCGGTTCGCTGGGCTCGTTGGGCTGGCTCCTGGGGTCCCTGCGCGGGGCGGGCTCCTTTTTTTCCGCGGGAGCGGCCGCGGGGGCGGTAACGGCGGCCACCTGTTTGGCTTGCGACATCGACGTCAGAAGTTTCGTCACTTCGGCGGAGATGTCGATTTTCGACAGGTCGCCCAGCTTTTCCACCACGTCTTGCGGTTTTATGCTGAAGGAAATGCATTTTTTTCACCAAAGTCATATTTTTAATACAAAACTGTATTTTGCATTTTACTGCAAAACGGTTGAAGTTACAGGTAAAAAGTAAATAAAACATTTATAGGAAATTTAATTTCCTTTAAAAATGGTTTTATACATTAATGCAATAAAATGTATAGTTTAGAAGATATAGAGCATTTAATAAATTTTACCTTTCTAGTAATTAATTATTAAATGCTTTATATCTTTTAAAGTATGCATTTTATTGGATAAATGCATATAATATTTTTTATAGAAAATTAAATTTTCTATAAAAAACTTTTTCACTTTTTACCTGTAACTTTAACCGTTTTGCCGTAAAAGGCAAAAAATACTGTTGGTGACGTTTTTATTTTATTTATTTTGATATTTTTGGACCAAAAAATGCTTAAACCATCTTAAAATCATCAAACTTTAAATTTCGGAAATTTAGATTTTTTTTTAATTTTAAATATTTTCACATTTTTTTTTAAATTTGTGCACCCTTTCCGTTCAATTTTTATAAAGTCAAGTTTACTACAATTTTACTACAATTAATATATTTAGATGTGAATGCGTCACCAAAGTCATATTTTTAATAAAAAACAGTATTTTGCATTTTACGGCAAAACAGTTAAAGTTACGGGTAAAAAGTAAATAAAACATTTATAGGAAATTTAATTTCCTACAAAAATGGTTTTATGCGTTAATGCAATAAAATGTGTAGTTTAGAAGACATTTAATAAATTTTACCTTTCAAGTAATTAATTATTAAATACTTTATATCTTTTAAAGTATGCATTTTATTGAATAAATGCATAGAATATTTTTTATAGGAAATTAAATTTTCTATAAAAAACTTTTTCACTTTTTACCTGTAACTTTAACCGTTTTGCCGTAAAAGGCGAAAAACACTGTTGGTGACGTTTTTATTTTATTTTTAAATTTGATATTTTTGGACCAAAAAATGCTTAAACCATCTTAATCATCAAACTTTAAATTTCAGAAATTTAGATTTTTTTTAAATTTTAAATATTTTCACATTTTTTTTTTAATTTGTGCAAGTGTGCGCGCCGTTTCCGTTTAATTTTTATAACGTCAAGTTTGCTACAATTTTACTACAATTAATATATTTAGATGTGAATGCGTCACCAAAGTCATATTTTTAATAAAAAACAGTATTTTGCATTTTACGGCAAAACGGTTAAAGTTACGGGTAAAAAGTAAAGAAAACATTTATAGGAAATTTAATTTTCCACAAAAATGGTTTTGTGCATTAATGTAATAAAATGTATAGTTTAGAAGATATAGAGCATTTAATAAATTTTACCTTTTAAGTGATTAATTATTAAATGCTTTATATCTTTTAAAGAATGCATTTTATTGGATAAATGCATAGAATATTTTTTATGGGAAATTAAATTTTCTATAAAAAACGTTTTCACTTTTTACCTGTACCTTTAACCGTTTTGCCGTAAAAGGCGAAAAATACTGTTGGTGACGTTTTTATTTTATTTATTTATTTTGATATTTTTGGACCAAAAAATGCTTAAACCATCTTAAAATCATCAAACTTTAAATTTCGGAAATTTAGATTTTTTTTAAATTTTAAATATTTTCACATTTTTTTTTAAATTTGTGCAAGTGTGCGCGCCGTTTTCGTTTAATTTTTATAACGCCAAGTTTACTACAATTAATATATTTAGATGTGAATGCGTCACCAAAGTCATATTTTTAATAAAAAACAGTATTTTGCACTTTACGGCACAACGGTTAAAGTTACGGGTAAAAAGTAAAAAAAACATTTATAGGAAATTTAATTTCCTACAAAAATGGTTTTATGCGTTAATGCAATAAAATGTGTAGTTTAGAAGATATAGAGCATTTAATAAATTTTACCTTTCAAGTAATTAATTATTAAATGCTTTATATCTTTTAAAGTATGCATTTTATTGGATAAATGCATAGAATATTTTTTATGGGAAATTAAATTTTCTATAAAAAACTTTCTTACTTTTTACCTGTAACTTTAACCGTTTTGCCGTGAAAGGCAAAAAACACTGTTGGTGACGTTTTTTATTTTGACCACTGACCTCGTCAAATCACTTTTGGCCTCCTCCTTCTCCTTGACGTCCTCGTTGTCGTCCTTAATCGTCAAGCGGTTCTCGTCGTCGCTCTCGTCATCCGAATACCAATTAATGTTGTCGTCTTCGCGTTCGAGAGTTTCCTCTTTGGCTACGCTCCGCACGTTCTTCGACTGCTGCGCCTGTATGCGCAGGAACAGCTCGCGCTGCGCCTTCGGCATCTCCGGCGGATTGATGTCGATGTCCTTGGTGAAATCCTCCCCCGCTTCCCCCTCCTCCCCCTTCTCCTGCTTGCCGACGCCGCCGAAGAACGCCATCTGCCGGATGTCGACGTCTTTCGTCGCCATAGAGCGGATGTCGACGTCACTGTTGCCTTGGAAACCGCGCAGCATGCTCGACCTGATGTCGACGTCCATGTTGGCTGTCGCCTCGCGTTTGTACTGCTCCAGGTCGATAAAGTCCTGCTTTTTAGCGAGAGGCGGCGCTACTGCAAGAGTGCGCATGTCCACGTCGCCGTTGCTGTCAATTAACATTAATGTGAGGTTAGAAAACCAAATCACCAAACTGGTGATAACTTTAAATAGCAATATTTTGTAACAGAAACTTCATTCTCTCCTTAAATGGTTGCCATAAAGTATTAAACATTTAAGTAAAACTTGGTTGCCCCCAAGAAGACTTTGCAACTTTAAAAAAGGTGTTATATAAGTAAAAAAAACTTTCAAGTAAATTTAATTCGTAGCAGTTACTTTCGGTTGCTACCCAAAGATTACATTATAATTATCTTTATTTTGTAGTCCCTTTGCAAGTTAAAATCTCGAAACTGGAACATGAGTTAAAAACTACAAAGTTAATAACTTAAAAGTTATTATTTTAGTATTTGGAACGTTTATGGTAGTAACCAAAACTACCGTAATGTAAATTAAGGTGGAAAAAACTTTAAAGTAGCGAAAACTACTTCAAAGGAAAATGCTTCTTATCGGCCATTTTTTACTGTACAGTACCACGTGGTAATGTAAATACTAAATTATTTTAATTGTTTGTAAATGGTTGTTTACTTTTTAATAACGAGTAATTTTATTTATAATAGACGGTATTAATAATTAAATAAAAAATTAATAATAAATATTAAGATTTTTTTATTTATAAACCTTAAATAAATAATTTGTTTATACTTAATTATTGATAAAGCGCATTTATTTTACAAAAACTCAACAGTAAAATTTAAAGGATTTACCTGCCTAATTAAACATTATATTGTTATTCTGGAAGTTATAAACTACCAGTACATATTTAATAAACGACGACATTGAAAAGCCAAGTCCGTAGTGGTTCCATTTAAAAAAGGAGGGATAGTATAATCTAATATAAGTTTGACAAAGACAGTTAATATAGAAGTAAAAACAAATAAATAAAAGTAATTATAACGCTCTAGCAACGATATTGGAACGTTCTAGTAACGTAGCAGCTACGTTCCAAATAGTAGCAGGGTTTATGGCTAGTGACATATTTGTCACCTTTTTGGAACTCAATAATTGTTCCCCACTTTAGTCGTAACTTAGTAATGAAAGAGTAATATAAAGAGACCGGCGACTGTCGCAAAACACTTTTAAGTTTCTTCAATAGTCCCATATACGTAACAAATACTTAAATTGTTGCTTGAGAAGACAATATAAAACTCCTAGCAGTATTTAATGGTTAAGAAAAATTCTATGGATGATTCTAAAAGTGGAAGAATATTGTTGTGTGTGATGATAAGTACACTTTTTAATTATAAATTTGGACAATGTTAAATGTATTGAAAAGAAATGAAGAAAGAAAATAAACATATAAATAAATAAACAAGAATATATCGAAAAACCAACTCTGGAAAAAAAATTGAAGTGTTACCTACAGTGAAAATGGAGAAAAACATAAAATAATATTAAAACGAACTATGAACAATAATAATATAAAATAAATGATTCAAGGGATGAGTTGTACTAAGATTCTCTTAAATGAGACCCTTGATCATACTAAATTTTTAAAAAACATAATGAGCTAGCCAAATAGCTTTAAATTAAGCTAAAGGTCACTACCCCTGAACACAGTGCTTCTGTGTTCAGATTGAAGAAGAATATAGCTTGTAGAGGGCGCTGTTACTAACTTAAAAGTAACTTCAGCCCGTGACTAAAAACCTGTTGCCAACTTCAGCCCGTGAAATGGAAACGTGTATGAAAAATTATGAAAAAAAAAACATATTTTACCTGTTGATTCTCATATCTTGGTCGTGTCCGAAATCGAACGGTTTTTTGGGGTTATTTCCATCGGAATCTTGCCATCTACTCCTCCTGTTCCTCCTTTCTTTCTCCTTCTCCTTGCCGCCCCCACTCTGACCGCCCCCGCCCATGGGATCGTCCCCCTGCAGTTCTGGCGGCACGGGTACATCTAAAATGTAATATTTTTTAAACCGCAGTATTTAATTTGTTTTTAACTAATAAGCATGCTTAATTAAAATAGTATCTGCATTTGAAGAGTTTGATAAATAATATCAGTAGGCCACCCTTACAGCATATTCAGGGGTGCCAATGTAGTAAAAATAAAACTTTGTATTTTAATTAACAAATTACTACTTTATAACGAACTTAAAACTTTAAACAGAATAAAAAGTAAACAAGTAGCAATATAAGTTGTTAAATTGTTGTTATAACTGTCATATTTTTGTGTTTCTTAAGTTGGTAGCACAGACTTCTATAAAAAATAGACTAATAATTAATCATTCTTCTTCAAATGAAGATACTACCTTTGCAGGTGAATTCAATGAGGAACAAATATCTAAACTGCAGCGTTACTTTCAGAGCGCAGTTTTTCTTGAAAACTGGTTTTGATTAACTACCTACGGTTTTGCGAAAGGATCGAACGGTCGATTTGCAAGGTTTCAAGAAATCGATTGAAACTTTTTTATTTCTACATCTACATGCAGTACTTTTTTCAAAAAAAACTCTTTTTATTTTTTTCTTTACTGTGATAATTTAATTTAAAATTTAACAAATTTTAAAGGGTAAATAATTGAAGAAGCAACTTTGTTTTATAAATTTGAGTATAACACGTTAAAGTATTAATATTTAACTATTAACTTTTTTATGCAAATGATGTTTCTTTGGCCAGGATCAGTTTTGAAATGTTTAGTTTATTTATTAATAATTAAGTATAGCATAACACATAAATGACGTTTAATATACAGGGTGTTTCACGTACGTAGTCCGTTAGAAGTTTCTAGGGAATCGCGAAAAACATCGATTTAAAATTTTAATATAGTAAATTATTCGATTTAGATTTTTTTCGTGAATTATTTTGAACAAAATAATACTTCCTGTTTTACCGGAAATGTCTTTAACTTTGGTATTTTAAACAGGACACCTAATATATTTTTACATTTTTTAATTCTACATAAAATGGCTATACCATATCCTATACCTAAAGTAAATATTTTTCGAGTTATTAATTTTTCAATAAAATATTTTAATTAATTTTAAACAATGACAGATTAAGTGGTAACCATGGATACTGTCACATTAACCCACATGTAGAATTTTACAGGTTTGATGATAACAAATAGTTTTGAAAATATTAGAAATTGTTAAATGTCTCTGAAATTTTAACTTTAGGAAACAGTTATTATAATCCCAATCGAAAGATTCTTTAATTTTCTATTTGATTATGTTAAAACATACAGGGTTTTACATATATAATAAAAACGTTATTATTGTTTGAAGTTTGCCTAATTTCAAGTAGTTTTTCTCAAGCTATTTGTTGAAAAACCTTTAAAAAATTAAATAATTTAAACAATGTTTTTATATTCCAAAAATTCCAAGCCCATGTCAGCAAACATAATAACAAAAAAATTAAAGGCTATTTTTGATTAACGTGCATTTAGCAAAATTTTAACGAAAAAAAATAATATCTTGAAAACTATTGACTTTAGGTATAGTCTAAATAAAATTGTATATGCTATTAAAATTTCAAATCCATATCGTTTGCGTTTCTCCAGAAACACCCTGTATAGCACTATATTAAATATAAAAAAATGCAAAATAACTTATTACAAAAAAGCGAAAAACAACTAAAAATAAGAATATATATATATATAGCCGATCGCAACATAAAAAATAATGTCGTTATTCTAATATTACTTTCCTCAGTTTGGAATTAAAATTGAAGCTTGCTTATCGAGTAAAAAATAAATTGAAGCTTGGTTGTGGAGCAAAAAATAAAATTAAAGTAGGTTATAATTTCTAACTTGCTGACACAGTCTATAATTATTATTTAGTTTATTCATTTTAATAAATTAATGTTTTGAGACTTGCAAACAAATGTCCAAAATTTGTTCGATTTTTACGCAAAACCATAGTTAAATAGTATTTAATAAATACTGCATCTAACACCTATTTAATACCAACCTAAATTTCTAGGTGGCAAGAACAAATTCCCTAGGGGTGCATGTAAATAAAAAGCATGTAAGCTATAAAAACATGTAAAAACAATTTATTTACTCACCAATGTCAAAAAGGGAGGGTATTCCCCCACCACCGCCGCCCCCTACAGCACCGACATCTGACGGCGTTATACCGTACTCGTTTTGTAAATTTATCTGCGTCACGTTGATTTTCGTCAGAGCTTCTTCCCTCGACATCCTCGGAAAACCGCCCAGAATGTCTCTGGGGGCGGTTTCTATGTGTTTGAACAAAATCTGCTTCAACTCTGCAAAAAAGTCATTGGTAACGTAAATCGCCGTTTAAATTGCAACTCTTACCGTCACTTAAAGGTTTCCCGTGCGCAAACTTGCAGTTTTCGCCCTGCGTGCAATTTAAACCCGTGTGGTAAAATTTACACGGGAAATTGTGGTGCATGTACGAACACTTTTCGCCTTTCGCGCAACAACCCATCAAATAGAACTTGCAGAGTTCCAGCTTCATAGGCGGGGAGGCCTCGTGCGAGAAGGGACAGTTTGTCTGAAAAAAAAAATTCATAAAATTGTTTTTTTTACCAGTTATGTAAAAAGTTACCTTTTGGCATTTTCCCTGCAAATAATATACGCAAACACCCTGGGAATCAGACATCTGGGGTTCAGTCCTATTATTTCTCTCCCTGTCCCTGTGCTTATTCCTATCCCTGTTTTTTCTATTGTTTTTTCTATCCCGTTTTCTGGACTTCTCTTCACCTAAAACATTTGTAATGAATAATTATGATGGTAGATGGTAATTTTGGAGGAAAAGGATGCGAAAGTGATGCGGAAGTAATGCGGAAGTCATGCTAAAGTGATGCGGAAGTGATGAGAACATACTTTTATCTGAAGAGTAATCTTGAGAAGACATTGAATCGTCCATATTTGGGGTGAGCGATCGATCCCTCCTTTCTTCATTTCTCAGCGGACTCCCCCCTCTAACATTAAGCATCTCATTTTCGTCAAACTCCTCCATTTTGGGGGACTCGGTACGTCTTTGTTTGTTCTGCTAATAAAAAATATCAAAAAAGTCGTTTTTTTCATGAAACCACAAACCTTTTGCTTCTTGTTTTGCTTTTTCCTCTTCCTCCCCCTTTTGGGCACGACTTCCACCTCCTTCTCCTCTTTGTCTTCGTTCGACTCCCCTAGCTGCGCCTCCTTCTCCTTCTTGCTCAAAATGGTCGCCAGAGTCTTCTCGATGTTTTTGGCGAAATCATCATCTGAAATAACCGACAATATATATTATATTGAAAGATTGTAATTGTAGGTGTTGGCTACCCATTGTATCGGCAGCATTCGGCACCTCCCTCTTGTACTTCTCCCACTTCTCCCGCTGCATTTTCTCCCGCTTCCTCAGATGCAGGATGCTTTTCTCCGCTTCGGTCATGTGTTTTTTCCCCAACTTCTCCTCGTGCTTCCTCCTGTCCCTGTCGGGGGGGGATTTCAGCACCGGCGATGCCAGCAAGTTGGGGATTTGGGGCGGGGGAGCTTCGAGGATTTGGGGGGCGACGTCGACGGGGACCTCGTCGTCGTCGTCTTCTATTTCGCCGTCCTCCAAGTCTTCTCCTTCCTCCTCCCCGCCCGCAAGAGCGGGGGGAGGCTCCGCTGCCGGGGAGGCATCCTCAGAGGGTCCGTTATTGCTAATAAAGAATGATAATATTTGATAACAAACATTTTATCATTGTTTTACATTGTAATAAAGGTTAAAACGTGATGAAGAATGATTAAATTATATACAATGGTTTTGTTGGCCCCTCGTATATCAAATTTCACTATTTACGTATTGATTTTGAATTTCCCGCGCAAGTTTCTCTTTCATAACATCGATGCGGGTTGAATCGATATGTTTCAAGGTCGACCTCTTCTGCGTCGTAAACGACTGACGTCATCGAAAATGATTTTTATTTACGAATGTTTTCGATACTCGAAAACTTTGTTTATTTTTATTGTTTTTTTACTCAAACAAAGTAAATAAACTTGAATATAACGATAAATTTTACACCCAGCACCATAAAATAAACAATATCATGCAATATGTCGAGATTTTCGAAAAAGAACAAAGAAAAAGTCGTAGATAATTATTGCAAATATCTATCTAGGTATAGCATATATAAATATTAATTTCATGCTTCTAGATTGACAAATTCATGTTAATTTCTCTATAAAATTATGACTAAACAAGTGGGTGACATTTTATAAAATTGGAACACGGCCATTTTCAAGGAGGCCATGATGATCATGGCCATGATGATCATGGCATGATCGATTATAATAAATCATACATCCTAGAAATATGCTAATATTAGGTTTCGGAGCGATAATTTTTTCGATAACTTGTAAATTTTTAACGTAAGCGATTTTGGCAGAAAAACGCCACGTAGGTAATCTGTAAATTGTGTGTTTTGTGTGCCGTTTTCGGTAGATTTTCCCTGGTAAAAAATCGACCAAAAAGTGGGCGTGGAGCAAAACCTAGACGACGACGCTCAATTGTTTCAGGTTTTCGGCTAGAAACCGCGCAAATATCGTTTCCAAAACGTAATTTTAACATACTTCGGGCTTGTACGGCCGTCGTTGGGCGTAAAAATTAATTCAAACCTTGTATCACATACGAGCGCCATTTTCGACCTAAATGTATTCACTAGGCAGGCAATAAATTAATAGAAATGGCATGTAAAAGACACTCATTCACTATTTCATCTGTCCTGTTTGGTGTTGGGACAGGTTTTTGAGTAGTTACGCATAGTAAACCGACTGTTCTCTTTGACGATGTGCTCACAAATGATTTTCTATTTCGGAGAAATTTAATATCGGGCCCCGTTACCAGGCAACCGGCCAATAGCGAGCCGACTTGTGTCACCGTCGGCCAATCACGGGCCGGCTTTCGAAAGGTTGCCGACCTTGGTTGCAGGCATCAATAACTGGCGACGCACAATGAACACGATTAAAAATAAGCTTTTTCAAATTAGTTACCTAAACTTTGCTAAATTATCCTGCATTAGTTTAATCCCCGATAGAGAATTAAAAACGACCTCCTGCAAAACGTCAATGATTATATTCTGATTAGGACCCAAAATGTCAGTTCATTGACAACCCATTGTTTAAAGTGACATGAAACTTTAACTCATTATTAAATTCGCATTATAAACTATGAGAAAAACACTCAAAATCTAAAAATATTGACATTTATACTGCTGGCGACACCTACCGCGGCATAGCCGAACTTCACTTTTTAAATTACAGTTTCCTGTAGTTGACTTTAAGGATTATTTGAATTATGGCGCCATTATTAAGGTCAGTGCTGGAAATCCCGTGTGATTCTTGGTCTATGCATGCATTTAGTAAACAGGTTTACAAAATCGCTTTTTATTTATCTATGTTATCCGCAAAAGAAGAAGATTCGAAGTGTTTATGAATATTTTGGTTTGTTTTCGTGTTTTTAAGAGTGGAGTGCGGACTAATGAATGTTTCGTTGGTTTAATTAATCTTCAAAGGTTTGTTTTTGTGAATGTATTCTTAATATACTTAATTAATTCGTAATTTATGTATAAAAATGATAATTAAAATTCATTTATCTATAATAATACCAATAATTTATTTATAACCTATCTATTTTGTTGGTATTATCCTAATTTAATAATTTTGAAGGTATTACAGATGATAAATTAAATTAACAATGTGTATTACCTGGGAGTGTAATTATTAATAATTATATCAATCCTTATTAAATAATTTGTGGTTTTTCTTATAAGCAGGTACCTACCTATATGCATAAACAATTCTATTTTTATACTAATAAGTAAAGTTTTTTTTAATTAAGTACATATTTATTTATGTCTGTAAAATTATGTTAATGAGTTAGTTTTTAAGTTTGAAAATAATAATATTTAGAAATACAATGTCAAAGTTCATCACGACAAGATCATATTTATTATTACAATTGCAAATAAGATATTAATTAAATGAATATATAAATAATTTTAAGCCCATCAAGTAATAAAACCATTTCATAAATTCCTTGCTTATTAGTTGATTAATTCAAAGAATTTCCTACCTAATTAAATTCTATAGGTAATTTAAATAAATCTATGGAATAATTTTACATTACTATAGCTACCATTCTATTAATATTTGGCAGTAAAACAAAATACAGTGTGTCTAAAAAATACTGTAGAGACTGTGTTTTGGGAGTAAATGCGTTCCAGAGGTCGGAGTGCTCTGGATTGCTGGCCAGATACCCAGATTTGACTCCTTTAGACTTTTTTTTATCGTAAATTTATTTTTTTGGCATAACTTTAAATTTATTAATAAAAAACAAGTGATGCCAGAATTGAATATAAAATCAAAACATTAATTTATTAAAATAAATAAACTAAATTATAATTATGTCAGCAAGTTAGAAATTATAACTTACTTTAATTTTATTTTTTGCTCCACAACCAAGCTTCAATTTATTTTTTACTAGATAAGCAAGCTTCAATTTTAATTCCAAACTGAGGAAAGTAATATTTACCCAATAAATAAATTAGAATAAAGACTTTATTTTTTATGTTGCGATCGGCTATTTAGATACATATATGTATATTTTTTATTCAGTTGTTTTTGGCTTTTTTGTAATTAGTTATTTTGTATTTTTTTATATTTCATATAATGCTATACAGGGCGTTTCTGGAGAAAAGCAAACGATATGGATTTGAAATTTTAATAGCGTATACAATTTGATTTAGACTATACCTACCTAAAGTCAATAGTTTACAAGATTCGTTAAAATTTTGCTGAATGCAGTTAATCAAAAATAGCCTCTAATTTTTTTGTTATTAGGTTTGCTGACATGGGGTTGGAATTTTTGGAATATTAAAACATTGTTTAAATAATTGAATTTTTTAAAGGTTTTTCAACAAATACCTTGAGAAAAACTACTTGAAATTAGGCAAACTTCAAACAATAATAACTTTTTTATTATAAATGTAAAACCCTGTATGTTTTAACATAATCAAATAGAAAATTAAAGAATCTTTCGATTGGTATTATATTAATGGTTTTCTAAAGTTAAAATTTCAGAGACATTTAACAATTTCTAATACTTTCAATACTATTTTGTATCAACAAACCTGTGAAATTCTACATGTGGGTTAATGTGACAGTATCCATGGTTACCACTAAATCTGTCATTGTTTAAAATTAATTAAAATATTTGATTGGAAAATCAATAACTCGAAAAATGTTGACTTTAGGTGTAGGATTCAAAAATGTAAAAATTTATAAGGTGTCCTGTTTAAAATAACAAAGATATTTTTGTTGAAAATAATTTAGAAAAAAAGTCTAAATCGAATAATTTACGCTAAACTAAAACTGTTTTGGTTCCTATGAATGTTGTTTGTTATTTATTCTTGGAATACCTAGTTTGATTAGTATAAATATTTTGTGTTTTCATAGCTTAAGCTTAAGTTTTTTTTGTTTTTTTAGAAAATGATAATACGATGTCTTGTGATAGTGACTTGGTTAGTGCATTTAGTGTTAAGTCAAAAACAATCGCCTTGCCCGGAGATTTTAAATTACGAAGAAAGAAATCGTAATCAGGAGGTAATTAAGACGTTCTATTTTCTCGAATAACTGTAACCATATTTAAACCTGCGCACTATATAATGTCTCGAAAATATTATAAAACCCACTTTTAGGATAGGTGGAACGCAACTTTAAGTCTTTCGACAAATGAAGATCTACAAGGAATATGGATTCACGTGATCCTGGACAGACCAGTAGAATTATTAGGAGTAAGTACCAATGAGCTACAATTATTTTGTTTTAATGCGTTTAAGAAATAATTTGTTATTTGAAACCAATTCGGTTTTTAAATTTATTTTTTTAATGTACCAAAACAAAATAATTTAGTAGCTTTTTGGTATACAGTTGTGTCGTAATGTTTAAGAATTGGTTTGGAGAAGCAACGTCCTCAGATAACCAGGAATTTACCATACGCAACCCCAAATACAGGTTGGAAGCTGGTCCGCCAGTTTCAGTGAGGTTTTTCGTAAAATACAACTCGGCAACTACAGTCCCTAGCGTCGAGGAAATCCGATTGAATGGAAGAACTATTTGTGGAAAGCATAGACCAAACACGGTCAGTAGCACCACTGTCTTTTTGAGTTACCAGGTAAATTAAACACGAAATTTGCGAATTATACAAGGTGCCCGACAAACTGTTAGTACAAATACTACGAGGTGTGTTCAGAAAATAACGGGAATTGTTAAATTTCGCGGGTTCGGAGGGTCCGGTTGTCATAAAATTTTCTTTATTATGTTGGTATACATGCCCCCGAAGTATGATAAAAACTTTAGCTGTTTTCGTTGTTTACTTCGTCTGTGGCAGCCGCTAAGGTTAGACGTGTTTTATGAGCTCGGCGATTTTTCGTTCGTTAAAAGAAATGGATCAAAGAATTTGCATCCAATTTTGCTTAAAAAATGAAATAAATTCTGTGAAATGTTAACAAAGGCCTATATTGAGTCTGCTATGAGTAAAACACGAGTTTACAAGTGGTATAAGAGATAGCGAACGCCCCGAACGTACAAGCACATTAACAACCGATAAAAATATGGAAAAAGTGGAAGACATGGTTATAAACCATCAGAGAAGTCGCTGATGATGTTGGTATATCGATTGGCTCATCCCATGAAATTTTTTCGAATGTTTTGGGTATGAAACGCGTGGCAGCAAAATTTGTTCTAAAATTGTTAAATTTTTAGCCAAAAACAATTCTGTAATGATTCCCCAGCCTCCATATTCGCCAGACATGCCTCTGTCTGACTTTTTCCTATTCCCAAAAATAAAGAGAACCTTAAAGGGCCGTCGTTTGGCAAGCATGGACGACATTAAAAGCGCATCGCTGAAAGAACTAAAGGCTATCCCAAAGATCGAGTTTTAGAAGTGTTTCGAGTATTGGAAGAAGAGCTGGCACATGTGCATAATATCCAATGGGGACTATTTTGAAGGCGACAACATTAATGTAGACGAATATATAAATATTTGTTTCAAAAAACGAAAATTCCCGATATTTTCTGAACACACCTCGTACCTACCTACATATTCGGAAAAATAATATTCAATAATTACTCACCGGAAATGTGGTACTAACCTCACAACGATACTCTTTCTAACACTAACTAAAAGTTTTAGTTAGTTTTAGTCTAAAACTGCAAACTGATGATGCAGATTGCAGTTGAGCGACCGGCCGGCGTCTTATTTCGAGCGGGAAATCATTTCATTGGGTATCTTAGGTGGTGTGATGCTTAACACCCGAACAAATTGTCCAATATTGTAAAATTTATATTCTAACTCAAAGTTATACTATATTTATTATTTAAAAAATTGTACAAAAGAGTAACATTTATTTTTGAAATATTTTTAACAACAGATTTTAACTATTATATCATTACCGATAATTTCACAGTTACAAACCAAATTAATTAATTAATCTTAAGTGTTATAGTTAATTGATAAATTCTAGCCTACAACTACGACTCGTAGAACTACGACAACGCGTAGAAGATCCACTACAACGGAAGATTACAGCAATAGCAACGATGATAGGTGAGAAAATCGAATATATTACCTATTTATTTTAAATATTCTTTTTCAAATGTGATTTGCTATAATACATATTTTTCGCTTATTCTTGTTCTTGTAATGTTTTGTGGAATGACGAAATTATAAGTGAGAATATTTTTTACAGGAACCCTTCACTCATCAACAATCAGTAAGAGTAAAAAATAGTACATTTCTTAACATAAAATATACCTAAATCATTCCATTTACTTTTTAGAGAGGACTACAATGATAGACAAACAACTAGAAGAACCACCACCACTAATAGGTAATCTTAATATTATAAAAAACATGTAAAAACAAAACGTTACAATTACAGAAACGACTATTATTATGACAGAGAGACTAGAAGACCCACCACTAGAGTTACGACTTACAGGTAGGTAAAACAATCAAATAGACCCCAGCGTCTATTTTTTTATATATATATATTTAGACCCTCACTTGAGGTGTTCTGGACCGATCACCCTGCAAACAGCGAAGCCAACGAAAACTTACCAAACAGCAGACCACCCATTCTGGACGCAGAGCCAACCTGCGGCAAAATTAATAGGTTACCTGTGGGTCTCATTTTTAACGGACAAAACACCTCGCACGGTAAAATGGAAACAAAAATCGATTCTTCACCATTCACTTTTAACGATTTTAGGGCAGTGGCCTTGGCACGTAGCCCTGTACTACTCCAGTGGAGTGCAGAACATGTATATTTGCGGAGGGACGCTTGTTTCTCTTAAACACGTGATCTCGGCTGCTCACTGCGTGACGGTGCAAAAGACCAAGAGGCCCGTCAATTTGGATAACTTGATTTTGTATCTAGGTAACATTTGCAGGGATCATTGTTGTAATTTTTTGTATGTGCATACCTACTGTTCTTAGGAAAGTATAATCTGATCAAATTCGGATCGGAAGTGCAGGGTGTGGAGCCGCTGGAAATAAAAATCCACCCCGACTTCGACCCACAAAGCTTTTACAACGACCTTGCCGTTGTCATCTTGTCCAAGCAGGCCAAGATAACCCCGTACGTGAGGCCTTGTTGCTTGTGGAGCGGAACCTCCGAATTAAACGATGTTGTAAACAGAGTGGGTCAGTTTTTACGATTCTTAGATCTAACTTGAGTTATAAACTTGTGTTTAATTTTTTTTTTTTTTAAACATGTGGTTTCAGGGACCGTGGTGGGCTGGGGAGCTGACGAAAATAGAAAATTATCAAACACCCTTATGCAAGCAAAAATGCCGGTGGTGGCTTACGATACGTGCATTTTTTCCAATCGCGATTTCTTCGGGCAATTTCTGTTCGATAAAAATTATTGCGCAGGTTTTAGAAACGGTAAAATATAATTTTTTAATTCCCAATAAATATTGAACAATACTTTTTTAGGAACAAGCGTTTGCAACGGCGACTCCGGAGGCGGGATGGTGTTCCCCAAGGAGGGTACCAGAGGCGACAACACCATTTGGGAGTTGAGAGGTCTAGTCTCCATCGGGGTACCCCAGCAAAACCAGGCATTCTGCGATCCAAAGCATTACGTTATTTTCACCGACATTGCCAAACATTTGACCTGGATAAGACGGATTATGAACAGAGATTAAATAGGGAACACCCAACTAAGTGAACAGAGACTTTACATTTTTGTTTCGGGTTTTTAAGAAGATTTGTAATGTATGAAAAGCAAATGTCAAATAAACAGAAATTTAACAAAACAATTTAATCTATATTTTATATTTTCCCTTATAGCAGGCTGTGTAAGTGACGTCACAGCTTACACCGTTCCGGGAAAAATATGAAACGCCTTTAATGCCTTTAAAGAACATAAAGTTCATAAATATTAAATGTACAATTAGATATATTTTGGGATGAAGTTCCATTTGTAGCCCTGTGTAGCTATTGGAATCAGGAAGCTTCAAATATTCAGCAATTTTTCTCGGCAAACTATAAAATGTGTTGATCCCCACCGGTTGCACAGTGCATTTACCATTCCGGTAACAAACGAAAAATCGGGAATGATTCGAGTTTTGTGGCCTTAATTTGCGATACTTCCGATACAACTCAATTCCGTTCGCTTCCGAAGTTATGCTTCTTTTTCGTTTTTGTATTACGTAGTGTTACGATAATAACTGATTCATTCTCTTCTATATCGTTAATTGTTAGTGTTCGTAATTCTTCCCCTCGCATTGTTCCATTTAAAGCAAAAATTAATGCCACTTTCAAGCGTTATTTGGAAACTTTATAATTTGTTCAATTGATTTTTAGGTTCATATCCTTCATTCTGTTTTTTCAAAAATGCAATAAATTGCTTGCATTTGAAATGTCACTGCCTTCATATATTTGCAACGTACTCTTCAGCATCGAATATGTTGACCACAGTGACGATGCCTTCAGATTTTTGGACTAAAAATACAAGAAAAATGATTCTTAACTTTCCCAAAAAAACGCTAGCATAACATTTTCACTGACACCTTGTACCCCTTGATTGTTTCTCCATTGACAGAATTGTTCAAAAGTTTTATCATATTGTTCTTTTGACTTAGATGCAAGCAGATTTTAAGTCGCTTCTCTCGCGGCTTCCAAAATACCCTTATTTTTTAAAAAACACCCATCTTCCGACAAAATTCTGTTTTTATTTAATTTGTTGTCATGCGTTGCTACGGTTTTCTTTTTACAAGCAACTATGTTAAAGACTGTAAAAAAACAATTTTTCCATTAAGGATACAAAATAAAACTCTTTTAGAGTTGATTATAATATAATTAATCCCAAAGAGCAACTAAAATATAATTATATTTATTCTGCTGCAAGTATATTTTGGCCTGATCTGCTTTATGATAATCTTATAAAGATCATTTGGTTTAATTTGAAATTATCATTAAAGAAAGTGATAAATTATAGTAAAAATTTTATTAATTAAAAAATTATTAAAACAACAAGTTCTTATTGTACGTATTTATTTTACATATAAATAAAAATATTTAATACTTATTACTTTACAGTGAAATTACAAAAATATCAACCGAATATAAATATAAAAAAAAACAAAAATAGAAAGTCTATTTTTCACATTCTGACGATCTAAAAGGCCAAAAAAAAATCACCGCAAAGTGGTCTTGATCCAGTCGGTATATTTGGCAACATCGGTGAAAACCACGTAGTGATTCGAATCGCATTTAAAGGTGTTTTGAAGGGCCACGCTGATCGAAACGAGGCCCCTTATTTGCCAAATCGGGTTGTTACCTGCGGTTTTCGGGATCACCATCCCACCCCCAGAATCACCGTTGCAAACAGAAGTCCCTATAAAAATAATGTGAGGTTAGAAAAATCGGATGATAACATAAAAAGGCGGTAGAGAGAATTACCGTTTCTAAAGCCGGCACAGAAGGTCTTGCTGTTGGTAAACCTGGAGAAAAAGTCCGGGAAAGAATAAATACAAGTTTCTTGCGACACAACTGGCATGTTTGCTTTCATTAGTTGATCGGTTACGATGCCGCTTTCATTGTAACCCCACCCAACAACTGTCCCTATTAAAAAGAAATAACTAGTCATGAAAATATAAGGCAAATTTACTTTAGGTTCCACTACTTGTCATACAAAAGAAACAAAACATTTTATCTTATTAAAATGGTTTGTTTCTCTTGTAGGCCTCACCCTGTAAAAAGGCAGATGTGATGGGTATTTTACCTAGGTTGCTGACGATCTTTTGAAGGTGGGAATCGCCTTCCCAAAGGCAAACTGGTCGCACGTAGTCGGTTATATCAGCAGGAGAATTCAGTTTTATAACTGCTATGTCGTCGCTGTATGTGTGGGAGTTGTAGTTGGGATGAGGGAAAATCTGGGAAACGTGCCTGTCCTGAATGCCTGGGTTGCTCCATTTTTTTAGATAGAATTTACCTAAAAATGTGTAAAGTATTACAATGGTACATTGTTTTGGTGTTTTGGGTGGTATATTCTATTCGCAGAGTTCAGCACTGACAACAAATTATTGCAATTTTATTGAAAGGACTTAGATTAAAGAAATTAATTTAACAAGTAAAGCATGAAATGTTTCACTAACAATAAAAATGTAAACAATGCAAACAGGACGAATCCAAAAACCGCATTAACCATATAGTTAATGCCGTTTTTGGGTAATATATACACATGTTTACATGTTGATGTAAGAACATTTTTCGATTTATTAATTTTTCAATAAAATATTTTAATTAATATTAAACAATGATAGATTAAGTGGTAACCATGGATACTGTCACATTTACCCACATGTAGAATTTCACAGGTGTGTTGATACAAAATAGTATTGAAAACAATGTCTGAATGAAATTTTAACTTTGGGAAACAGTTATAATATATTATAATGCCAATCGAAAGATTCTTTAATTTTCTATTTGATTATGTTAAAACATACAGGGTTTAACATTTATAATAAAACCGTTATTATTGTTTGAATTTTGCCTAATTTCAAGTGGTTTTTCTCAAGCTATTTGTTGAAAAACCTTTAAAAAATTAAATTACTTAAACAATGTTTAATATTAAAATATTTAATATTAAAATATTCCAAAAATTCCAACCCCATGTCAGCAAACCTAATAACAAAAAAATTAGAGGCTATTTTGGATTTAGGAAAATTTTATCGAAAAAAATTAATATCTTGAAAACTATTGACTATAGGTACAGTCTAAATCAAATTGTATACGCTATTAAAATTTCAAATCCATATCGTTTGCGTTTCTCCAGAAACACCCTGTATAGCATTATATTAAATATAAAAAAATGCAAAATAACTAATAACAAAAAAGCGAAAAATATACATATATATATCTAAATAGCCGATCGCAACATAAAAAATAAAGTCTTTATTATTATTTATTTAGTGGGTAAATATTAATTTCCTCAGTTTGGAATTAAATTTGAAGCAAAAAATAATATAAGTAGCTTGAAAAACCAAAGAGAAGCAGATAATGTAAATACCTACCGAGATAGACCACCAAGCTATCTGGATTTAGTGTGTATGAACTTCCTCGTTTAGTAACACAGTGGGCCACTGTAAGTAAATGCTGTCTCGTAATCAGGGAGGCCCCGCATATATAAGTGAGATCAATGCCTGAAAAAAATTATATCATCATTTTAACCTAATGTTTTTTAGGTATATTGATGTACAAAATGAGCCTTACCTCTGGGTAAGTTCTTGTCTTTACCTGCGGCATGGTAGAGAGCAGCGTGCCATGGAAATTCGCCTTCATGACTAAGTTGGCCGTGGGTTATTAGAGGTTTGGGAGGTTGCTATAAAGAAAAAAACATTTTTTTTTATAAAGAAGTAAGCGTTTTTTATGAAGAAACAATTTTTTTCGTAAAACTCATATTAAAAAAGTTAAGCGAAAGAAAAAAAAAAATTCAAAAAAAAAAAATTGTTACTTACAACAATGGTTCCACATGCAGCTCTATCCAGTAAATTACTGGTAGGCCTGTTTATAATACTGAAATCCCCAGGAAAAATTTCCTCATTTTCGCTGGGCAAAGAAGGCCTATTACTACAAAAAAAAAAAAAAAAAAACATGATCGTTTCATTCGTTTATTTTACTCACAAATCGCCCCCACCTGCGTTTCCTTTGTTACCACTCCAGTTTGAGTTACCCCCACCCCCGTTTCCCCCCCAATTTGAGTTACCGCCCCCGTTGTTCCAATTACCGCCGCCACCGCCGCCGCCGCTACTGGCTTGTGTGGTTTCGTCGCTGTTTGTGAAAAGTTGTTCCTGGGTCAGTGGCGGGACCGTAGTGGCTGAGTTTTCGGGACAGTAAGTTTTCGCATTTAACCTAAAAAAATTTTTTTTTCAAATTCTTAACTTTCACGAAAAACTTTTAGTTGATTAGTTACCTGAATCCTGTAAATTTCGGAGCAGGTTCCGCTGTGTTATATTTTATGAAGAACCTAATTGTCATTGGTTGATTGACGAATACTTTTTGTTTTGGATTTTTTATCAAGTACTCGTTACTCTCTCTCCTAACTACCTCTCCAAACCAATTCTGAAAAATATATAACGATCATGAAAATTTACTTAATTCTTCTTAGGCAATTGATGGGCAGCCACTGGTTTCATTGCGTCAGCAAGTTGGTTTAAAACAAGTTGGTAGCTTATGCAGTTTGATTTAGTATTTAAAAAATGCTATTTCTCCTGAAGACCTTAATTAAATACTCTAAGCTTCTTGAATTTTATTTACAATTACTTTGAAGTACGGGAAAAATTACTACTACTAAAATTTTGTTTTATCTTAATTTCACCCATTTGAATTTTTATTATGTTAAATAAAGGTCGTTTTTTTATTATGTACATAACTTTAATTCTACATTTTTGTATATATTAAAAGGCCAATAGCAAATATTTCATTGAATAAATAAGAATAAAAATTAATTTGGACATTTTATTTGAAACAAAAAATAAAATGGTAAAAAAAAAATTATTTCTGTTGTTTTAATTTTTAATCAGTCCTATTTTAAATTGTTAAACAAAAATTGCGCGCATTACTTTGTTTTTTTTAATAAAACTATATTATAGGTACCTACATGTATTTTGTATTAAAATTATCATTCTACATAATTTTAATAAATTTATTTTATGATTACACATAATATAAATTAAACTTTAAAGTTTTATTCATATTTTAAGTTAAAATATTTATTTAAAATTATTATTTTACAATCTTGCTATTAAAAAGTAAAACGGCATGCCATATATGGCATCTTATAGGATTGTGAAAAGTGAAAAAGCAGCCACTAATAACTATTAAATTGGTCATTTTTGACTAATTAATTTTTAGAGAGTAGCGTATAATATTTTGTTTGGACTACTTACTCCTAATTGTAAGGAGGGCCTATCAAACTGAACCCTCAACCAGACGCCGGAAAGTTCAGAATCGCTGTTCAAAATGATTTGTCCGTACCATTTGTCTGGTTCGTTGGGATTTCTGGGTTCATAGGTGAAGAGCCTGGGACAAGGCGACACCATTTGCGAGGAGACAGCCGCAATGCCCGTTAAAATTAAAGCTGCCAGTTTCAACATTTTGTATTAGTTCAATATAGGCCGCCTGAAAAAAAGAATAATATATAATATCCATAAATGTTAGGTATATCATCCAAACCAAATTATAAAACTTAAATTTCTTGATTTGGTTACATAAATATTTATATCACTCTTATATACCCCTTAAAGAGCTTACTTGGGGAGTTTATGAAGGTTATCGGTACCTATTTTAGTAACACTATAAAACCCAAGTTTTATAACTAGAAATACCTAACAGGAATATTATGGAAACCACTATATAACTTACTTACGGCTTTAAATATGTTTTTTTTGCTTACATTAAAGTAGTGAATTTTTTAGCTTGGTTTGGTCAATTAAGTTGTTTTTTTAATACAATTCGATAAACATTTATTTTATGTAAAAAACAATATTGCTCATGGTAATTTTATATAACCTAAGGTACTAGTTCAGTTTTATACGACTATCTATGTTACTTAAAGTTTTATTATATAATTTTGAAACTCTTTTATACATTGTAGTAACTGTCGTTACTACAAGTGATGTTATAAAACTTTTGATAGGCAACCATCTCCTTAATAAACCTACTGGTAACGGTTACTAAAGGTTATAGGTATAAAATGTTTGTAGAAACAATTATATAACCTAATTATATACCTAGAGTTTACAGTAACCTTATATGACCATTATAAAACTAGTAAACTAAATGGCGATTTTATAAAACTCTTATATAATTTATCGTTACCATAAGTAGTACAAATTGGGGCGATATTAAAAAATATTCATAAAAGATTTTTTCTCCACATTTAAATAAAATGAAGTGTACTTCAAAAAACTGTGGAAAACACTTAATTCAAGATCATTAATAAACTTGTTTTAAAAAATAAATAATAAAAACTTCTGAGAAAAAATATTAACTAAATATTGTTAATTCGTAATTAGTGTTGTCCAGATTTATTTATGACTTTATAATTACTCATTCAAAATAATTTTTAATATTTTTAACATTTTGTATCTAAATTAGGTAGCTATATATATATAACCGTTATAAAATATATGATTTAAATTAGGACTGGTTTTATAAATTTCTATAGAAATGAAAAAATATATATTTTATTTTATTTGGGCCGAAAAAACACTGGGAAATTTATGATTATACATATTATTATAATATCGATATAAAAAGATAACTATGCCAAAAATAATATCAGATTCTAAAGTAACGTTTTTGGTTTTACAAATATTAAATCGCACATTATTTTCAGCCAAGCAAATAAAATTTTTTTGAAATTTAAAAAAATAATGGAGAAATGTTAAAATCAAAAAATAAAAATTACTTGCTGGTAGGAAACCTTTTTGTGAAAAATCTAGCAGTTAATTTTCCTGTCTTTTTCTTTTTTTAATTGGCATTTTGTTAAAATATTTTAGAAAGATAGACTTAAATGGATTAAATGGACCACGAATGTAAAACACCCTGTATATTTAAATTTATTTTTTTTCATAAAAATATACTCAGTGTTTTATTAAAAAACAACGAATATTTTCAAGGATTAATTATTGATCACCGTCAAAATAATAATACAATACAGTAGGTAAACATTTATTGTTTTTTTATTTTCGTAATTTAAGTTTCGTGATTTATTATTGCATATAAAAAAAACATTGTTATAATAAGTAATTTGTTTATGCCCTACGGTATACAACGCCTTTGAGAAGAGACTAATTAAGAAATAAATAATTATTGTTTGAAAAAAAATGTTTTGCATAAAATATTCCAATAACTGTATTAAAAAAATAAACAATAATTGCAAAAATTACATTAAATTATACGTCTGGACTTCATTAAATCGTTTTAAATTAATAAAATAACAAAAAATATTTCTTACCTTCAAATTATTTTGATTTTTTTATAAGATAAATAATTTACCGTTAACTCTTAAAAATCCCATACAACTCCAACAAAAACAAATCACACCACGGCTACTAACATAAAATATTTTCAAAACTCATCTCCTTCAAGTAACATCAAACTTAAACAACTAACTTAAAGCAAACATTTGAGTTCTTTTTCTTTCACGAACCTGCTTGGAGCGGTATTTTGCGAATTTCCTGCGCTCTTGCCATCAAAAACAAACGTCAAGGTCACAAGGATTCCCCAAGAAAGAGGTCGCGATACGTTCGATAAACCCGCGAATAAAAAATATTAATCGAGATGCATAAATTCAAATTTCGCGCCCTAACCTTGATGCACGTCTCTAATTTGAGGTTAAGCTACTTATTTAGTGTCAAAAGTTGTTAATAAAACAAGCAAAATTATTAAATATTGGATCATAGCACACTGTAATTATGGCTAATTTAATAAAATATATACCTGGATTATTCTCCAACGTACAGTAAGTCCTACCAAAACAAACATTAAGGTTATGTTGTTAATAATATAACAATTTTTAGCAAATTTCTACCGACAACATCTAAATTTCATTCTCTGACACAACAGGCAACTTCCGCTGTAAATCCCGGCGGTTTGTTTAGTCTGGCAACTAGAAATATCATAAGAATTCACTTTCCGAGACCTTCGGAGAATAAAAGAGTCAAAAGACATGGGTATAAGCATAGGATGTCCACCAAGGAGGGACGAAGAGTTATAATGAATAGGATTTTGAAAGGGAGATACGTCATAACGCATTAGTATAGTGTTTTGTAAATAATATTAGGGATTGTGTAAAGTGAGAAATAAATATTTATTAATACATGTTTTAGTTGTTATTAGATTTATTTCTCGTTAAGAACATCTTTAATCCACTTAAGGTACTTGGCAACGTCAGTAAAAACAATATATTGTTTGTTATCGCAGATATACTGCCCTTGTAATGCGACTCCTATAGAAACCAGGCCTCTTATATGCCATATTGTGTCGGCACCTGAGGTACCCTGCTTTGGGAATACCATACCACCCCCAGAGTCCCCATTACAAGCAGAAGATCCTAAAAAATGCAAACAAGTAGTTTGTAAAGGATTAAGTAAGAATAATAATGAAATTACATATGTAGGCAACCAAGAATACGTCATAGGCAACTATATGAAAATTTGTTTTTCTTGCAGTGATTTAATTTGAAATAAAGCATTAATTTTATATGTTTTCCGGTAAACAATTTGTACTACTTATGGTAACGATAAATTATGTAAAGGTTATATAAAAGTTGTCAAATTATATAAGAGTTTAACAAGGTCTTATAGAATCGCCTTTAGTTTACTAGTTTTATAATGGTCTTATAAGGTTACTGTAAACTCTAGGTATATAATTAGGTTATATAATTGTTTGTTGTTACCAGTAGGTTTATAAAGGAGTTTTATACAGTTTGCGGTATAGTGGTTTCCATAATATTCCTGTTATCTCTAGTTATATATATATATATATATATAGTTTTATAGTGTTACTAAATAGGCACCGATAACCTTCATAAACTCCCCAAATAGGCTCTTTAAGGGGTATATAAGAGTGATATAAATATTTTTGAAACCTCTATAAGAACAAAAATGTTTATTGGGTTGTTTACAATGGGATGCATTTTCTTAAGCGATTCTCTTGTTTCTTACCGTTTCTAAACCCAGCGCAATAGTTATTTTTCGTCATTACTTTGGAGAAAAATTCGTTGTTCGATAAAATGCAGTCTGTGTGAGTTTTGACGGGCATTTCCACCTTTTTTAGCGTGTTCGATATTTGCTGGTTTTCGTCGAAACCCCATCCCACTACAGTGCCTAAAAGTAATGGTATATTAAAGAACTAAAGGTCTTAAGACATGAGTTCTTTATGCTATTTTATCTATTTTGCATTATTTATACCTTAAATTTAATTTGGACGAATTTTACTTTAGATAGTTGGTATCACAGTCACTGGTTTGACAGTTAATGTCAAAATCGATTCGCTATGCCGTCCTTAATTTACTTATTTACAATAAGCGGCTGTTAATGTTTAAGAAGAAAAAAAGGATTTTCTTTGGTGCTAAACAAAATTTATTGCCAGAAAAGTCTCGTAAGTACTAGAAAAATCATAAAAATATAACCAATATGCAAAATATTATGCTGTTTAAAGTATAGCCAACCTACAAAAAATCACTGCAACACTGCACAATTTAACGGCGGCCATTTTTGTTGTTTACAATTTTTGTGCTTTGGGTTTGTGCTCTGTTTATACAGATTAATAATCGTTTTAAAAGTTGTGTTTCTCATAGTAAGCCTTAAAAGAGCCCTTTAAGTGCTAAGAACAACCATTTTACTCCTCTATTGTAAAAAATAAACTTTATTCTATCAGGGCTGTGATAAAACTGTCAAATGTCAATTTTAAGGTTAAATTATAACCCACAAATTAACCTTCAAATTGTCATTTGACAGCCCTGATAGAATAAGATATATTTATTATAAAAGAGGAGTAAAATGGTTGTCCTTGGCACTTAAAGGCCTTATTTGAGGCTTACAAGTGCCTCTGTAAGAAACACAACGTTTAAAACAATTATTAAACAGCACAAACCCAAAGCACAAGAATTGTAAACAACAAAAATGGCCGCCGTTAAACTCTGTGCAGTGTTGCAGTGATTTTTAGTATTTTTAGCATGAGATAGAACAGACCTTGTTGTGTGGAAAGCGGAGTTATAATGAAGTCATTATGAACGCAAAACAGATAAAGTAGTTTTCAAAACTGTATTTTTGAAATTATTCAAATAATAAACAGCGTTGCCAAGCGTACTCTCACCTAAACGATCGAAAACGATATCCAAGGCGATGTAGTCATCCCAAATGCAAACTGGCCGAACAAAGTCTGTAAATTTGACGGGCTCCGATAACGTCAAAATGGCTATGTCGTTGTAGAGAACGTTGTAGCTGAACTGCGGGTGCAACGTTATCTTGGACACTTTTCTTTCCTGCACTTCCTGCCCGAAATTGTTCAGATTGTGTTTTCCTGCAATAACGATCGTAAAAGTCGATGGGGTTCGTGTCGGGTGCGTTTGGCGGTCGTCGTTCGTTTTTACCTAGGTATACCGTTAGGATGTCGATTTTGACGGGGTTTGTAGTCCTCGCTTTCGTCAGGCAATGGGCTGCCGTCAGAACGTGCTTTTTCGATATTAGGCTGCCTCCGCAGGTGTACCTCATTTGTGCTTCGATGAAATTGTAGATGGCGACATGCCAAGGCCATTGTCCTAAAAAACAAAAAATAATAGTTATTTATGTCTACAATTGAGCGAAGCACAAAAAGGCACTTCTTGGCCGAATGGCATACAACATTTTATCTTCAAAACACTTTATATAGGTCAATTTAATTCAACATCAAACCGGCCTAACCTCACTTTTTCAGAATCTCATTTATTTATTAGCCAAAGATTACATTAAATGTACAATAATTATTATTGCTTTTAGAAGCAGTAATAGTTTGACAATACCTAGCAACATGATTTAAGTAGAAATGGATTTTTGCTATTACATTGAATTCAATTAATTGTTTAATAAATAGGTATGTGTCTAATTTCAATTTGTTTGGATTTTTATATAAAAAATAGGTAGTTTAGAATGTTTAAGCGGTGTTTAACATTTAATTTCACTGAAAACTTAAAGCCAATTAAAACTTAAATCGTAGAAAAAGAATCGTGCGTTTTCTTGGTTGCCTAACCTAACTTTTTGTTTTATTATTCATATTTAATTTTACAATAATTTAATGAAAAATATTAAACATTAACACTAAAACAAACAAATTAGTGCTTATTATAAATAAATTAAACCAGTTTAGTACGTTAATTTCTTAGAAAAGGATTAATTTGTCAAAACAATACCCCTAGCGAGAAAAAATCGAACTAATTACTTGCCTCATAAAAGTTTTTATCGGCCTAGGCCTTAACAAGGTATTTCTTTATCGAATGTTGACAACAATAAAGTTTAAATTATAGACCGCGTGGAGATAAATATTTAGTAGTCTTTGGTTTGAAAAAGGTAAGCAATAATCACAAAACTTTTTTTTCTTTCAATTTGCAAGTTACTGATCATTAATAGTCCAGCTGGACAATAACAGGGTGTTATGTAATTAATGTTATATATTAAAATGGGTTGTTCCTTAGGGTCCATAAAGAAGCACCTGAAATTCCAAAGTCTAAAAATAATTTATAATAACCTTTATCCTACCAAAAAGTACGCCACTGATCGACTAGGAACTTTAGGTTAATCTGGTGGATTTATTATGTTATGGTTGGTAACAACTGTTTCCAAAATCTTTCAAAAAAGTTGCCAAGCATTGTTTAAATTTAGCTTAATTACAAAAATGACAAAATTAACAATGCAAATTGTCAATTTGGCGTTTTTATTAATTGTTGGTTATTTCATTTTTGTACTGAAGGTAAATTCAAACAAAATCTGACAACTTTTATGACAGAATCTAGTGCATTTCTTTTAAATTTTAGGTTATGTGTTCAAATTGTAAATATCTTAACTAAGGGAAGTGCTTTTGGATTTATTTACACAAATTAAATGTTTAAAGTTTAACCTGTGAACTGGTCCCAATTTCATCTGAGTAAACAGAGAAAAAAACTGATGAAAAAATTAATTTTGTGGGTATGGATTTCAAATTTCAAAGGTACTAAATTTTCTAATCATTGCTTAAGCTAATAGCTGGATCAGTAAATAAATACAGAAGGGTATTAGAGCTTTAAGGGCATAAAACTTTTGTATTTATTGAGTTTTTATTTATTTTTTGCAAGAAAAATTTTTTGTAACAATTTTTTACATCTGGCAACGCATAGCTACTTTGTTGGTTGGTATCTATGTACTCACAAAATACAGGTGTGCAGAGATAAAGTGTGTAACCAGTAGCGTATCACAAAAAATATAAAAAATTTCTAATGCATATTTTTTCTTTATCTTTGAAAAAATGCTTTTTAAAATATTTTTCCTTTATTCCTTATGTCAAAAGGTATTCAGTATTTTAATATATAACATTAATTACATAACACCCTGTATACATTATAATTATTATTAAGCCACTACAAGTATTAACGTCCAGTGGCTATAAAAAATACCCTTTCACCATTGGAGTCCAATGATTGGACAACATTCACATAAAATTTTAATTTATTTTATATAAATTCTTTTCAAAGCGAAGATATATCCGCTAGGAATACTTTGTAGTCACCTATATTTAACTACTTTTCATATGATTTTACTCATCTACGCACCACCAAAGCCAGATAAAAAAGAACTTTACCTGGGATTGTATTTTCTCCAAAAGCGATAAGCCCGATGGGCGTTTCAGCCACTTTCCCGCAAGGTATATCGGGCAACTCCAAAACGGGACGGTCTATATAAATGCTGCTCATTGCTTGAATGTTGCCTCCCTCAGGTTTTTTCCTAAAGTATTGATACAAATAAATTACAATGTTGTCAATGTAAGTGAGTATTCTTACTTATTTGTTTTGTTGCTGAATATCGAATTGACATTTTCCAAAACGATTCCACTAGAAGGTGGTCTATGAGAGGGCGCTTCAGGACATGCAATTCTGGAATTTATCCTACAAATGATAAAAAAATAGTTTTTCAACAAAAGCTACCATTGAATTAATTACCTGAACTCCGTTAATTTCGGTGGTACCTCTCCCCTGGTGTACTTTACGAAAAACCTCACTGGTACAGGTGTATCTGCATACAGAGTATAACCCAAATTTTGGACCAAGAACTCCGTAGGTTTGAGCCTTAATATCTTTTGCCCAAATTTAGTCTAAAACAACAGGTTCTATAATATAGTAGTATGTAGGTACCTAATTAGTTAACTCACCCCCAATTGAAGTACAGGTTTATCAAAAATGATGAGCAACCAAACGGCACCAATCAAATCGGTGTCGGTTGTTAAAGTGATTTTTCCAAACCACTTGTCGAGTTCGTTAGGGTTTTTCGCTTCGTATTGAAACAGTTTCGGACATGGTGAAGTCTGTTGCTTTTGGCCATTTAGAAACGCACAAAATAAAGTCAACCAAGAAACCACCAAAAAATGTATTGCCTTAAACATAAACAAAAAAATTGAAGCATGAATGTTTATGTGAACGTATATGTATACTTACCACCATAATGAGTTTGTTTCACTGAATCACAATATCAACACTGCAACAGTCGAGTAGGTCGTATAGTAAAGAAAAAAAACAAAAGAAGCGCACCCAGACAGGTGACTGTCGAGTGGAACCGGCTTCAAGTTCAATGGCATTAATTTTTTTTTTGCAAATATTTAGGTTTTGTTTTGCGATTTCAATGTCGAGCAGCATCTTAACCTTGATCGGTGGTAACATTTATTGGGTTTAAAAAGAGGAAGTAATTGTGTTTTTTTATTCATCAGTAATATTTATAATACATCTGTTTGTTAAATTCTTTTGAGGATCGTCAAAATCCAGTCAAGATACTTGGCAACATCGGTAAAAACGACGTACTTCATGTCGTTGCACACGAAATGACCTTGAAGTGCGACCCCTATCGATACAACACCGCGAATCTGCCAAATTGGTTGAGAGTCGAAGACCTGCTCCTTGGGGAACACCATGCCTCCGCCTGAGTCTCCGTTACATGTCACCACATCTGAAAATGGTTTATTTAATGTGATGATTGGTGATATATATATTTTTTTACCTTCTTCAAAGCCAGCACAGTAGTTTTTATCAAACAAAACTTTAGGGAAAAGTGGACTTTTCTGGTAACATTCCTTCTGTGGTAGCACTGGCATTGCCACCCCTCTGAGCTCTGTGGATACCTGTTTTTTCATGTCAAAGCCGTAACCTACTGTGACTCCTGTTTTTCTTAAAATGTCGCTGTCCGCCGTATTGTCCCACAGGCAGACTGGTCTCACGAATTCGGTGAACATCACAGGCAAGGAGAGTGTAACCACGGCTATGTCGTTGTACAAAACGTTGAAGTTGTAATCTGGGTGAACGAAAATGTCGGAAACTTCCCGGACTTGAACCTCTGGACCAAAAGATTTTAGGTTTTGTTTGCCCAAAAATACAGAGAGTATGTCCAAGTCGACGGGGGTTTTCGTTTTTGGTTTTGTGACGCAGTGAGCTGCCGTCAGCACGTGTCTATCGGATATCAAACTCCCCCCACACGTGTACATTATTTGGGGTCCGATGAAGTTGAAGAGAATCGCGTGCCACGGCCAATGTGCTAAAATTAAAAAAATCGTAGGTACACATCCTAAAGGTTTGTTAACATTTGTTCTTCACCTGTTTTGGCGCTTCCGTATTTTGGGTTTCTCACTACAGTTCCGCATTGAATGTTTTGGTTCTCGTTGAAATTCGACAGTAAGGTGGCTGCTCCTTGCGAGGGGGCGAAGGCAATGTCTCCAGGGTAATAACTAGCGTTGATTAGAGAGTTGAAAATAAACTCCATTTCCCCATTTGAGAGATCTCCGTTTGAAGTAACCACACTCCTATACATATACATATATACATATATATGTATATACAATAGTTTACTTTGAATTAAAAAAAATATATTGCAACTTACTCTACGTTGTTGGTAATCAAACTTCCATCTTGGGGACTTTCTGAGACCGGCAGCTCCTCGCTAGTCACAAATTCGTCGTAATTTGGCGGAAACGTGGTTCTTAACGTGGTTGTGGTTGTAGTTGAGGTGGTAAGTGGTGATGTCACTGTAGAGCTGGTTGTTGGTCTATGTGTAGAGGTGGTTTGGATGTTTGGTTCAGGGCATGAAGGTCTTGTGTTGATCCTAAACATATTTAAGTTGAAACCAAATGGTAATGTGGGCAGAAATATATTACCTAAATCCTTTAAAAAACGGTATACCATCATCGGGATCATACTTTATAGAAAACCTCACAGTAAGGGGATTGTTGGGCATCAACCTTATACCAAGCGTTCTCAAGAGATATTCCGTTTCTTTTAATTTGTAGTTTTTTTGCCCAAAAGTGCTCTTAAACATAACGTATTAATATATACCATTAAAAAAAGAGAAATAAAACAAATTGGCGCCCTACCTCCACCAGTATTGATGGTTTATCGAACACCAAAATTAACCATATCCCATCGTGGAGTTCCACATCTGTTGTCAAGGTAACTTGCCCATACCATCTATCTGTTTCATTTGCTGCCAAGTATTGGAAAAGTTTTGGGCAAGGCGACACATAATCTTGTTCTAAGTTTTTCTGCGCAAATATTTGGTTCAGTTGAAGGTGCAGACAAAGCTAGAAATGGAATTTAAATTTATATTATATTAACCTGATCTTTTACTTACGAAAAATATGACACTTGGCACCATTTTCGTATAACACCACAAAGGAAATAGCATACGATTGAAAAGGAATCAATAAAACTAAGCAGGCAACTTTGGTCAAGGTGGGCAATTTCGTTGTTTTGTTTTTTTTTTTAAACCTGATGCAGATTGTTCCCAAACCGTCGACTAATAATAGCACACCACACGGTCAACTTCATAAAAAGGCTAATTAATGGTTTAACCAGTAACAATTAATTGATATTTAAGTTGTTGTTTTTATTTTTATTCTTTTATTATTTAGTGAAACGAAAGGTTTAATTAATTTAGCAAATTTGTTTTTGTATTTTATTTAATAAATGATTCAAATCGTTTAAACGATTGAAACGGCTACCGATATGACAGTGACAGTGACATTTCTTTATGCAAACGAGTTGTAAAAACGAATCAATTAAAAATTTCCTTGTAACTTTATTAAAAAATGTACATCGCAAAACAAACACATAATCATTTTTCTAAAGTCCGCTCGATCCAGTCTTGGTACTGAGCCACGTCGGTGAACACAGTGTACTCCTGACTGTCGCACACGCTTCTGTAACCTTGGTTGCCTACTCCAATGGAGACTAGACCTCGTATCCGCCAAACGGTTTGGGCACCCCTGGTTCCCGGCTTCGCGAAAAACATGCCGCCTCCGCTGTCGCCATTACAGATCATGGTACCTAAGTTTCGAGTAGTGAGATCAATTAAGCTTGTATTGACTTTTATTTACCGTTTTTGTACCCAGCACAGAAGTTTTTCTCCCATAAAACGCTGGGGAAGAATTTTGGGTTGGAGTAGATGCACTCTGAACGCTCTATCACAGGGATGTCCACTTTCCTCAGGGTCGTGGAGATTCTTTTGTGCTCATCGTAACCCCAACCAACAACGGAACCTACCAAAAATATAAAAAAACATTTTGACAGCTGGGTGTTTGTGATTGATTACCTTTTCTATTGACCACTTCATTTTGGTTGGTGCTCCCACTCCACAAGCATACGGGCCTTACGTAATCATTTAACGTTGCTGGAGACGACAATTTAAGAACGGCAACATCGTTTTTAAGACCCGTTTGGCTGAAATCAGGATGAACGTAAATCTCGCTTACGTCTCTTTGTTGGTCTGTTGTTGCGGTGTATCTCAAATTATTTTTGCCTTAAATATCAAAATTGTTGATGGTTCAGTTAGTTTAGTATTTTTCTGTATACATACCTAAAAATACGGTCAGCGATTCAGTGTTTAGTTTCGAATTCGATGGTCTGCCGGTAACGCAGTGAGCTGCTGTTAAAACGTGCCTCTTTGTTATTAAGGTTCCTCCGCATATGTAATTTGACGCGGCCCCTTCGAACTTCATCAACGCTACATGCCAAGGCCATTCGCCTAAAATGATTTAACGTGATGTTACTAAACGTTACGTAACGCTATGTTACTCACCTGGAGCTGACTCTTGGCCATTTACGATTAACCCAACAGGTTTGGCCGGTACCGTACCGCATTGGACGTTTTCCTCGCCTCTAAAGTGACCTTCAGGCTGTGAGTCAGCGCCGCCTTTGTTCTCTGAAAGAAGCAACGTTTAAAGCTTGACCCCTTTATCGAGTTCTCTAAAATTGCTAATGTTTGCACCAATTCTATTGTGTTCCCCCAAAGTTACCTAATTTTTGCAGTAATGTTTTTAAAGTGGATAGCAGATTCTGATCTTCCGAGTTTGGCTGTGTATCCTGTAACCTAGTCACGAGTGGATCTCCCTTAGCGATATTGTAATTACCTTGATTCCTATTCTGATTGGTGGGCTTGGTTTCGTGATGGTTATTGTATGGTGAAGGGTCTGGGTGATCTCTCCTGAAATGTACTATTCGTTTAAAAAATTATTCTAGTAGCTTCACAAAAAATATAGAAGTGTATAGGATGACTCCCTGTTTGAATACTAAATCTTAAAAGATACATTATTTTGATTGTCTATATTCAAGAGAGAGGTAGAAACTCGACCCTGTCGAATGGCGCAGTCCCTCTTTACTCTACCAAGTTATAGAAACTGGAGTCTCTCTAATACTGTTCTAGTCGATATTTCTGAGAGCATAAAAAGAGGGTGTAATTCAATATTGCAAGAAGTTTTGATCTTTTGATGGATGCAAGTATTTTGAATATTCTCATTTCTGGATATGATTTTGATGAAAACAGTTCCTTTCTTTGGTTCCTTTGTCTAATTTTTATTTACCTTAACAACTCAGGTATGTAAAGCACAGAGGATATGATGTATATTAAAAATTTCAGAGTTGAAAAACCGATCGATATGCTATTATAAACTTTAATAAATTAGTAATGAGGTCTGTTGGTAGACCCTGCACTATCTCCACTGGTATATGCTAGTACAGCAATATTTAAATCTGGTACACACCAGTGTAGGTTATTGTAGCATCTACGAACAAATGAATTAATGCCCCATTGGCAATTATTCCTATAGGAAAAATATTCAAATGTTTTAACGTGGCGTCATCCTAGACACTTCCATAATTTTCCGTTTGCTGTGTTGTTACTTCAATTCAATAATTAACTCACAGATCGTAGTTTAACTCCTCATCCTGTGCTGGAGGATTGTTATTGTAAACTAAGGCAGGTTTGCTAGTAACAAACTGATCGTTACTTATACCTCGTTCAGGACAAACTGGTCGGGCATTCACCCTAAAACATTCAGAAAATTACGTCAAGTTGTTAGCAAAATTTGATGCTCGAACATCTGGTATACGCCAAATGAGAATAGACCGTGTTTACGTATACAACATGCAACATAATGCTCACCTAAACCCTGTTAATCGTGGAGCATCGTCATATTGGTTGTATCTTATATAAAATTTTACCAATAAAGGTGTGTTAGCTGCAAGCTTGTAGCCAAGATTCCTCAAGGTATATTCAGTTTCGGATTTTCTTAATATTTGTTGTCCAAAGGAAGACTGAAAATATGCAAACAAAATAATAGAATCAAACACAGTCCCCTGGCGATTATCAAAAACAGTCCCCTGGCAATCATCAAAAACAGTCCCCTGGCAATTATCAAAAGCAGTCCCCTGGTAATTTTCAAAAACAGTTCCCTGGTAATAACCAAAAACTGTCCCCTGACAATCATCAAAAACAGGCCCCTGACAATTATCAAAAACAGTCCCCTGGTAATCATTAAAAACAGTACCCTGGCAATCATCAAAATCAGTCCCCTGACAATTATCAAAAACAGTTCCCTGGCAATAATCAAAAACAGTCCCCTGGCAATTATCAAAAACAGTCCCCTGACAATCATCAAAAACAGCCCCCTGACAATTATCAAAAACAGTCCCCTGGCAATCATCAAAAACAGTCCCCTGGCAATCATCAAAACAGTCCCCTGGCAAATAATCGAGTCTGATTTCGACATATTTATTTATTCTTACCCCAAGCTGGATGGAGGGCTTATCGAAGACCAGCACTATGAAAACTCCATCCACAAGCTCCACGTCCGATTGTACTAGCACCTCGCCGTACCATCGGTCTTGCTCGTTTGGGTTCCTGGGTAGGTATCTAAAGAGACGCGGGCAAGGGGACACAAATTGGGATTGCGTGGTGGCCAATGCAATGAGGAGCGTCAGTATGGTGACTAGGTATTGGGGTTTCGTCATTTTTACTTTATGTTAAATCTAAAAAAAAAATATTAATATTTGTTTATACAATGAAATAAACAATTTATCTAATTTGTAAGGAGTGTTTATATATTTAACTTAATATTCATAAGATGTTGTCTGTTAGGATTTAAGCAATTACCAATAAATTTCGCATTTATTCTAATACTTGGAATTATATATTTTTTATAGGTAGGTGTGCACAAACAATCATTTAAAACAAACTTGGAGGACTTGTTGAGTAAACAAATTAAATTTAAAATAAATATTAAAAAATATAATTATCATTTAGGAACAATGTTTTACCTAACTCTTTATCTACAAAATATTTATAATTTTTGGTATTTTTTTGACGTTTAGGATCAGAAAAAAATAGTCACCCGGTATAATATTAAAAATAAAAATAATTTATGTATTTTTTAAAGAAATATCTAGAATCTAGTACAGTACTAAGTAAAAAACTTAGACTGTGGTGGGGAAGGAATCCTCTACTTTGTCAATGAAATATATTTTATTGTAAAAATGACGTTTATTTTAAATAAACCTCATTTTTGTCTAATTAATATTTCATTGTTCAGCAAGAACCACGTGAAGGTCAACAATATCTGTACAATTTCTCAGCGTAATATCCATAATGACTAAATTCACATAAATCACCAAGTTCAATTAACTAAACCCACAGAATAAACCTCTTACAAAAGAATCATAAAATAGACAAACTCATAGAAAAAGAATAAACAAAATATTGCGTAAATAACCACAGATTTGTTCTTTAAACAGTTCAGAATTTTATAACCAAAACAAACCTAAAGAAGGAATCTGTATTTATTTTATTGGTTGGCGATAGTGTTAAAATATGTTTATTTTAGAATAGAAATATAATTTCGATTAAATCGATTTATTATAAGAAAAATAATACCATTTATTATTGAATTTTGAAAAACGCGTGAAGTATAATTTATCTAAAATTCCGCAACAGTGTTGCCACAACACCTGCTTATTTCCTTGGATGTAGGCGTGCCTGCCTCGCGTATGCTAATACGAGAGAAGGAGACAACTATGATATCGCATTGTAATAGAACGAGACAACAAGGCTAACGCCAATCGTGAGTCTAAATTAGTTCAAACATGCTTCTAATTGGCATTACCTGCCAGCATTAAAGGATTTAATGCTGGCAGGTAAAAAGTGACCATGGTGCGCAATTGATAATTATCACCGAATGAAAAAATGTATAAAACTTAAACCTAAGGAAACTTAAATATTAGTTAAAAAATCGCGGGTACTTAAAAAAATCAGATTTAATTTAATAAGATAATTATTTCCAAAAAAAGTGAAATTTTTATAGAAAAATTATTGCAGAATCGTATACAGAAGAAAAATCGAACAAAATTTTCGTAATATGCTTATTAACTGATGTTAAAGCTATTTTTGCAAAACATTTTTCATATTTTATTTGAATTATGGAAAGGATTTTTTTTTATTCTTAAAATAACCATATTACAGCGATACAAGAATGCAACTAAAAAGGTCAATTTTTTTTGTAATAGCTGATGTAGTTTATATAGACAACTTTAGCAATGAATTGCCGATAAATAAAGTTATTGACACAATAAAGTTTATCTCAAATCAATATTGTAATCAATAATTTCTCGGACATTAATTTACGACCTAAATATTTAAATGTAAGTAAATATAAACAAACCTAAATCAATTTCTTTAACCTTGATATCCACAATATAAATAACACTGAAATTTACTTTACATTCACGATTTTTTTAATAGCATCTGTAATTATGTCGAAAACACAAAACAAAATATTGCAGAAACATTTAGCCAGGTAAACCCAATAATAATTATAATTGAACAAAACAACTTCAAAATACTTAATACATTAAAATAATATTTAGCTTACCCTATTAAAAATAAATTAATCTATTCATTACACAGCTCACTAAATTTTGATGAAAACGTCAAAAACAATTAAAAATCTTCAACGTGCGCCACTGTAACCGAAGACTGTCATCGCAATAATAAAGAAACGAACAAAAATTAAAAATGTTGCACACTAGATTGTCTGAAGACGGGATTTAAATTACTACTGTACTATCCAGTGGTATTGTATTTTAGAAGAATTTAAACAAAACTTGATTCTCGACAGAGGCGTGCGATAATTTCTTATATTCATTATAAAATCAACAAAAATAATCGACTTGATATCTTGCGGTTTTTATTAATTTATAGTTAGTTAATTATAATTATTGTGTGTATTTCTTGTGCGGTTTTTTTATGCCGCATTCTTCTCTGTTTAGTTTCTTTATTTATGGTTCCGGATCGGCAAATTTACAGATATTTTTATAGGTAGTCAACAGAAATATAGTATAGCAAATTATGTTAATAATTTCAGGGATATTTAACAATTTCAAACATTTTAAGAAGATATGATCCGGAATAAAGAAATATTCTTAGAACCTTCCCTTATTGCTAAGAATGTTCTTAGGGACTAAAAATTTAAGTTTTTTGACTTTGCACGTTTTTTCCTATACTCCTCAAAATGTTTTTTAGTATATATAGCCAATTTAACATAAAACCTAAATGGCAGACACGAGGAAAATGACTTAGGCTAGGTATTCTTTTTACAATTTTAAAAATTATTTGCTGCAAAAAGCAGAGACATACATGTCTGGCATTATTATTTTTTTATTTAGGGGACACAAATGAACAATTAAAAAAAATAAGATAAAGACGAGCAAATCACTTAATGGAGCATTTGTTTTTTGCATATTTAAAATTATTAAAAAAAAAAAACGCAGCGTCCTAGACGTCTGGCAAATGTTATTTTAGTATCAATATGGTCAATATAAAAATGTTAAAGAATCATATTTTATATAGTTTATTTTTAAAATGTAAATTATAAAACATGTATTCTTCAAAATTTGTTCATCCTGTTAATAATCCAGCTGGTGTATTTGGCAACGTCTGTAAAAATTAAGCTGCTGGAATGTGAACAATTGCGGAAATCTTTTTCTGATGTGAACAATAATACGCCCTTTAGCTCCCAAACGTAAAAGTTATCGGATATTTTTCTTCTGAATACCAAACCGTCGCCAGCGTCATTGTTGCAGGCATTCGTGTCTAAAATAAATAAAATTAATGCGGTAGTTAAATTTTTTCTGACCTATACTTTTTATGGTTTTATTCAAGGCGTTTTGTAATTTTAAACATTTCTGTGAAATCGGAATTGCAATTGAGTTTACCGTTTTCGAGATATTTACAAAAAAAATCTCCTAATTATGTCGCTAGGCTATTGACAACGTTGCCAGCTTTTTCTATGGTTGCCAGTGTGTTTAGTTTAAGATTCTTACGATAGATGGCGCCACGTTATAATATTTTAGTTTTAAAACCACTTGATCTATCATTTTAGTTGAGAAGAAGAAGAAGAATTGATTTTTTGACGTTTCTTTTTTTCGGGTTATGTTTTTTTTAAATTTAGATTATCGAAAATCAATGTTATTGTTATGTTATTTGTAATTGATATTAGATAAGTGATTTATTAATAACGGACTCCAAAGCAGAGGAATCTTGTGGAATGGTTGGTTACATTGAACATTGGAGCTTTTAAACAAATAAAGTAAGTACCTATAATTATAATCATATTTTGTCGTAAATGCATTTCATTAGTATAATGCCTAGTTCTTTATATTCTTTTAGATATATCTTGGACTCTAAAATATCAAACAGTAATATGATACCTCGTAATAAGGAAGATAGGTATTTAATGAATTTGGTGACCATCTTTCACTCAACTGACAGTGACAGTATTTGTACATAACCTCTTCGGGTATTTTCTGACATAACCGAATGAAATCATTAACAAGACAACTTGACAACAGGGTAATTGTTAACCAATAGAAATCTTAGAATGTTGGTCACATGGCGAGGTTTGTGTCGTCATAAACATTTATATTTTTTGTAAATATCTCGAAAACGGTAAACTCAATTGAAATTCTGATTTCACAGAAATGTTTAATATTACAAAACGCCTTGAATAAAACCATAAAAAGTATAGGTCAGAAAAAATTTAACTACCCCATTGGGTAATTTGGAAAAAAGAAAAAAATTTTTTTACCGTCTTTGTATTTGCCGCAAAACATTTGTCCATTATAAAAGCTGGGGTCATTGAAATACCAACTCAGGCAATTTTTATTGGCTTCTACAGCGACTTCTGATTTTAATAAATTTGAAGAAATATTGTTTAGATTCAATAAGCCATATCCAGGGAGAACACCTAAAAATTTTTTTTTAAACAAGTAATTTACATAATGGATATATCATTTCTTACCCATTTTATTTTCAACGATACGTATATCCGAGGACTGACTCCAAAGACAAATGGGCTTCACATTCTTCCCAATTTGTACCGGCCTTGTAAGGGTTAAAATTGCTATATTGTTTGCCAAATTACCGCCAGTATTGTAGTCTTCATGAACGTCGATTTTTTCAACAAATCTGTTTTGAACGTCCTCGTTTTGTTCAAAAAGCATGACAGAACCTAAAAAATTTGTCAAGTTATATAAGAGTTTTATATAATCGCCATTTAGTTTTATAATGGTCATATAAGGTTACTGTAAACTCTAGGTTATATAATTGTTTCTACAAACATTTTATATAACCTTTAGTAACCGTTACCAGTAGGTTTATAAAGTAGGTTTATAAAGTTTGCGGTTACCTGTTTTATAAAACTATTGTGTCTTTAATTTTTTTAAATAAAAATTGTGAGATATTAATTATTTATGTGCTTAATAAACCAAAAATGTTTAATAATTAAAACAGAAATTAAGCATAGTATCAGCCATCAAGGCAATGCTTTTTCATAATTTTAATTAAAAATTGGTTGAAAAGAAAATATTTTATATTAACAAAAATATTTTAAAAGTGGATTAAATCGAATGTTTAGTGAAATAATTTGATTCCATGAGCAGTTCTTTAGGAAGTTTTATAGTGGTTTCCATAATATTCCTGTTATCTCTAGGTTTTATAGTGTTACTAAAATAGGTACCGATAACCTTCATAAACTCCCCAAATAAGCTCTTTAAGGGGTATATAAGAGTGATATAAATAATTCTGCAACCAAATTAAGAAATTTAGGTTTTATAATATGCTTTTAATGGTTTTATAACGAGTTTATAACGATAATACTTACCTAATGACACGATTAAATTGCCTTCTACCACATCATCCACGCAATGAGCTGAGGTCAAAACGTGCCTTTCGGAAATAAGGGTGCCTCCACATATAAAATATTCTCGAGGCGTGTCGGCTGATGTTCGTAATATATTGGCATGCCATGGTAACTCACCTTGGAAAAAATATTTTGTATTCAACATTTTTTTTCCAATTAGATTTATTTACCTACCTTTTTGGGCCGGTCTTCGATTATAATTGATATTTTCAGCTTGCCCGCATTGATTTTCGTTTCCTTTTCGATTTTCCTTCTTGGTGGGCTTGTTTTTCGGTATCACGAACCCAACTTCTTTTATTAATGTGTCCAATAGTTCTTTTTTTGCGAGGTCATTTTCTCTATCACCAAATCGGTTGCTGTTGAAGATTGGTTTATCATTGTTACTGTTGCTTGGGGTCAAGTTTATATTTTGGTTTTGTTGGGGAATATTAAGGCTGAAAACCAAAATTAAAATAATATAATTATAGATTGCCTTCCTTCCTTCCTCCCGTAGAAGATGAACATTACGTAATTGTCACCATTAACATTTCCCGTGTAGGAATTTTTAATACTTAGTGATAATATTTTGCAATTATAGTAATAAAAAAAATCAAAGAATAAAATATTTTCTTAACAAAATAATATTTTGAAGTATCAATAATTGTTAAGTTTAATTAAATTTAATAACGGACAATGTTAATGGTGACAATTACGTCAAAATTGTTTATTTTAATCGTAGTGCCAGTTATAGATTCCCGTACCGTAAGGACGGCATGCCTTCCTCCCGTAGAAATTTTTAAGTTTTATCTTTCACCGTAAAGATCTTTGACATGACCAATCACAGTGCTTGTTATGGACATGCGCTGTAGGGTGACAGCGCGTAGACACAAAATATTTAAAATACATGATTGTTTAGTATTATTTAAGATAGGTGTTCAGTTTATTAAATAATTTGTGTCTCTAAATAGGATATTTAGATATTGTTTATGATCAATGTCTTTAATTTTTAGAAACGTTGCTTTGTAAAACCCCGTAGTTTCCCGGTCTTGGTAAAGTGGGCGAGTCTTCCAACGTCTTGTTCGATGTTTTTTTTTCATTATACTGCCCTACTATGGAGAAAGGCAGTAACTACAAATGCGTTTTCTTATGCTATGAAAAAGCTTTGGCCATTTTGTATCTTAATTCAACAAAGAAATGCAGTAAACTATCTTATAAGTTAAATAAATCAGTTAAATACCTACTGCTTTTTATAAAAATGTAGTTTATGCTAATTTCCCACAAATTTCTTGATTTGCAGTTACTGCCTTTCTCCATAGTTGGGCAGTAAACAACAAGCTGCCTGGGCAATTAAAATTGTGATCACTGCACTAATATATAAATGTTCATCTTTCATATTTACACAATGGGTAAAACGCAGAATATAAACAAAAATAAATGTCAACCATTTTAGGTGTCATCGCGCATGGTTACGGAATTTTACACGGAAATCTATAAATCGATTTTTTACAAGACGCACAAATCGTACGGGCACGACTACGGGAGGAAGGAAGGAAGGCAATCTATAATTCAGGCTTAAATTAATTTATTAATACTTAGGGGTAAAATCTTCGCTTAGTTTAAAAGTAATTGGAGTCGTGGTTTTTGGTAGTGAAGGACACCAGGGTACAGCATTTAACCTAAAATAAAATTGACAGAATTACTTTAAAATTTCCAATGGAACACCATATTTTTTATTGCAGATTCGGATCATTCAACTAAAAATAGGTGGATTTTGTCTAAAACATTTTTTTCATATTTGTAATAGATGGCGCTGTAATGAAAAAAAAATCAATTTGTTCGATTTTTCTTCTGTATACGATTCTGCAATAATTTTTCCATAAAAATATCACTTTTTTGGTAATAATTATCTTATTAAATTAAATCTGATTTTTTAAGTTATATTTAAGATTTTTTAAATAATATTTAAGTTTCCTTTGGTTTAAGTTTTATACATTATTTTATTCGCTGATAATCAGTTATAATGATTGAGAATGTTCAACGTAAATTTTTAAAACTATTATCATTCAGGCTAGATAATATCTACCCAACCAGAGGTATTGAACATCAGTTACTGCTTGATCGATTTAATGTTGATTCACTTCAGTTTAGAAGAGTTTGTTCTGGTTTAAAATTCTTATACAAAATTTTTCACAATGAAATTGACTGCTGTAATATTTTATTAATGTTTAATCTATATGTTCCTAGACTAAATTCTCGTAATAACTATATGTTCTACTGCGATAATGCTCGTACTGTAATATTAGCTAACTCACCAGTGCATGTTATATCTAATAACTATAACCAGATAAGCCATGTATGTGATATGTTTTTTTCTAATTTATCTTATATATTAGTCGTTGCTAAAGAAATGTTTTGATATAACCTTTAACATTTATTATTTTGTCCTTTTATTGGAAATGTATTTTCTGTTGGGCAAATAAATTATTATTATTATTATTATTATTAATTGCGCACCATGGCCACTTTTTACCTGCCAGCATTAATTCCTTTAATTTAAAGGATTATTTTACTATTTTTATTAAAAATACCTCCTTTAAGGTAAAAAAACATTATTTTGTTAATTAATTAATTTAATCCTAATTGAGGTATAAAAAAATGGTATTTAGTTATAAATAATAATTATTATTGAGTTTAGCATTATTTAATCAATTTAGTTCGAAGATTAATTTGCAAACAAAAAGACCTTCTTTCGTTAAGCAGTTATTCATAACGGATTTTTTTAACAGCGGAAGATAAAATAGAAATGATTTTGATTTATGGAGAAGCAGGCAGGAATCTTGATGATGCTGTTAATATCTACGCTCAGCGTTTTCCGGATAAAATTCGATCGCGTACTTCATTTCACCGCACAGTCAAGCAGTTTACTACAAACGGGAGTGTTCAACCGAAAAAAAAGAGTTCGTCGAGCGACAGTCACAGGTGGAAATAATGAAATTAATGTGTTAGCAGCAACGGCCGCTAATCCTCATGCAAGCACACTAGAATTATCTAGAGATTTGGGAATATCCCAAATTGATTTTTTTTCATTACAGCGCCATATATTACAAATATAAAAAAATGTTTTAAACAAAATTTACATATTTTTAGTCGAATGATCCGAATCCGCAATTAATTTTTATTTTAAACATTTTTTCGTAAAATTCATACTAACTGAGATATTTCAGTTTCAAGTTACATAAATGTCTCCCCCTGTATATTGCTAACCTACCTAAATCCTTCAAAGTTCGGTGGTTCACCGAACTCATTATAGTCTACGAATATTTGTATTTTCAAAGGCTTGCCAGCATCAAGTTGGAATCCAAAGTTTCTTAGAAGGTATTCCTTTGCGCCTTTTTTAATAACTTCATTACCAAAAGAGGACTAAAATATAATAAAACCTTTATCTATTCTATTATAAAACCAAATGATTTGCATAAAGCCCTTTCTAGCCAAAAAGGTCTACAAAGCCAATGTCAAGAGTATTATAAAACCATTATAAGATCAGCAGATAGAGCACTTTTTGTTCTACAATATATGTTTCAGATCTCGCCGAAATTCTGATATAATATAACTTCTAAAACATGAGTATACTCACCCCCAATTGTATGCTAGGTTTATCCAAGATAAGAACCATGAAAACACCATCGATAAGATCGACATCTGAAACAACGTTCAGTTCACCATACCAACGGTTCGTTTCCGAAGGATTTTTCGGTAAATATCTGAACATATCCGGGCATGGTGAAGGTTTTAATTGACAGGTAATTCCACTCAAAACGCAGAAGGTTATTAACACAAAATAGATGGAATGTTTTGGGCATAAAGACACCTAAAACACAACACTTTAACAATGAGTACTTGGAATGCATAAAAAAGTTTGTTTACCATTTTACACAGAACCTGCTATACGAAAATTAGATTTAGAGAGTCAGAAACGATTAAGTAAGAAACAATTGGTTTTTAATTATTCATATTTTTCCAATTCACGATTTCTTTGTCTAAAAATACGTATGATTAACAAACTTGTATTAATATTAATAAATATTTTTTAATTTTAATTCAAAGTACCTACCTACTTATAAAAAATAAAAAAAAATTATAGAACAGACAAATAATTTTATTGACTTACCATTATAAAACCAAAACAAGAATGTCCAATAACACGTTTAGAGGAAGAAATATCATGGTAAAATTTATTTATAAATAATTATGCAAAAACAATAGATCCAGTGGCGTAGATTTTGTATATTTCTTACCTTATTAAATCGTTATTAATGTTCTTCAAATTCAGAATTATATTTATGAGGCATTTTTACTTTAAAAAATGCCGCAGGTAAAACCACATAATAAATTTAACAATAAATATATGTATGTAGGTATAAATAATACGGTAAAAATTTAGAATGTAACTGTTAACTGTAAAAAATTAAAAAATATATATGCATATATTTTTTGTGAATACGTTTAAATTAATATACAAGGTGTGCGCGAAATGTCTGTACAAAATATCACATTTTTTGGGTGAAAATGATTATTTTTTATTTTTGGTTGTTTTACTGTTAGTCTAGAATAGGGTTTTTGGGAAGCCACCAGGTCTTGTAATAACTTTTTTGAATGACTGGTCATTTTTTTCCAAAAAGTATTTTTTCTACGCCCTTTATCGTACATGTTTCCATGACACTAAGTGACCCTTTAAATACACATTGATAAGTTGTGGCTTTATGGCGCTTTAGTCACGGGCTGAAGTTAGCAACAGGTTTTTAGTCACGGGCTGAAGTTAGTTGTAAGTTAGTTGACAGTTGTCAAATGTCATACAATCGTTAAAATAAATTGCCTTTCCTGTCAAATAATACTAAATGTGGAAATTTTTTATTATCTCAATACAAAAATACAAAAGTATTAAATAGTTTCTCAACGCCAATATTTGAAAAGTTTATACACTGAGAAAAAAGTGGGACAAATAAACTGTGTTGCTAATACTTTTTATTAATAGTGAATATATTGTTTATTACCTCTAAATAGTCGAAATAATAACGATAAATATACTTAAGTAAAAATATATTTAGGATAAATAAACAATGCTTTTGTTCCATATTTAAATATTCTTTTTATTTGGGAACAATAAACTTTTTTTTCAGTGTATGAACATTGTACTGACCTTTTAATTTCGCCGGCAGTAAACTATAACCTAAATTCGGGCACGGAATCCACTGTAAAGTGCTTATAAAACATTTTCTTTACTTTCACTGTGAAAAACTGTCAATTTTCAAGAAATACATTTCGATTAATAACCTTTATAATCTGTGTTTATAAAATGTAAAAATTTGACATTTGACGGTGACACACAGATTCCCCTATTGTTTCATAGATGGCGCTCTATACAAATTTTTGATTTAAATCATTTTAAGATAATAATAAGTATTTGTCGTAGAAAAAGTATAGTATGCACCTCGTTTATAAACTTTTCTATACACTTAATTTAAATTAAATTCGTGTATAAAATGGCGTTTATCAAACTTGATACATAATATACTATTTTTTTGATTAATTTGGTTAACTTTGGTTTTTCATAGTTTTTACACATTTTATTGTTTTTTGTAATGTCCTAAACGAATTGATGAAAAACCCCTTTTTTAAGTACAATTCACAAATAAAAAAACTTCAAATTTATAAAATTACCCAAGAACATCACTTGTTTTCAAACTACACCCAGGAACAACGATTCGAATGACTCACGCGTCAAACGAGGTAAGCAGTGTTGCCAATGTTTGAGTAATTTCTCACATCTGGGATATTTATGGTAGTACTTCCGCTGAATACCTTAATTAATACTCGGACACTGTCAAATTGACAGTAATATTTATTATTGATTATTTCCCTCATTATAATATGAACCAATCAAAAGCCTTGAATTTTGGATTAAATCACTAGAACTATTTAACAGCGATTAAATTTTAGCCTCCATATTGGATTTTTGTTTACGATTTTATGGTGTTATTTACTAGTTTTAACAAACATTTTTTAAAAAACAATAAAAAATAAGTTATCTAGTTTTCGAAATATCAATTATTACTTATTACATACCTTAAATTAATGGAATTTTCTTTAAAAAAATATTTATAAATTTTGACACATACGTCAGATTTTATGAATTGTCAAATAGTTTCCTTTAATTCGAGAAATAATCTAGACGTATATTACTCAACCTATAAATTTAATCTGTCAAACTATGCTCAGTAAGTTTTTTATTTGATTTTTCTTTTTGGAAAATAGTTTCATGCAAAATAATTAAAAATAAAACCCCTCGACCGCTACGCGGTCTCGTGATTTTATTAAATTATTTTGCATTCAACATTTTCCAAGAAAAACCAAACAAAAAACTACTGAGCCAAGTTTAACCGATTAAATTCATGATATAATATATGATAAATTACTTGTTAATTATTGTATAATATCGATATAAAAAGATAACTATGCCAAAAATAATATAAGATTCTTCTACGCGCCAGCAAAGCCAAATTAATTGCATTTTTAAATACGAATTTTGACAAGTCAACTTGACTTTGATTGGCAACACTGGGCGCAGGAAGAAGAAGAAGAAGAAGAGCGCTTTCATCTGTCACAACACGATAGGGGAGGTGTGGTAGTTCCGCTGACAAATCGAGTGAAAAGTGAGTGAAATGTCGGCGACTTTGAAACCTTACCTCGCGGCGGTGAGACACACGCTAACGGCCGCAATGTGCCTGGACAATTTCTCATCGCAAGTCGTCGAAAGGCACAACAAACCCGAAGTTGAGGTTAACACCAGCAAAGAGCTTCTCCTCACTCCTGTGACGATTTCCCGGAACGAGAAGGAAAAAGTGTACATCGAGACGTCTGTGAATTCGGTGCGGATCAGCATTTCGGTGAAGCAGGCGGATGAAATCGAGAAAATCCTTTGCAAGAAGTTTATGCGTTTTATGATGATGCGAGCGGAGAATTACATTATTCTACGAAGAAAACCTATCGAAGGTTACGATATAAGTTTCCTAATCACGAATTTCCACACTGAGCAGATGTATAAACACAAATTGGTTGACTTTGTCATACATTTTATGGAGGAGATCGACAAGGAAATATCAGAGATGAAACTAGCTGTAAATGCCAGAGCCAGAATTGTTTCCGAAGAGTTTTTGAAACGCTTTTAACACCCAAAGTGTTATAAAGGTTATACCATATTGTATAACGTGTATATACTGTTTTATAGATTAATTCTTATTTAAGATCAAAATAATTGTATAGATTCTTTTAAATTTTTTTCTTTTCGATATTTATTTTAAGAATGTTGGTGATTAAATTATCCAATTTGGATTGAAAGTGCCAAGGCATATATGTGAGATAATCAGAATGCAAATATATACCTACTAAACTATTACTTATCTTTTTTTATACTTGTTCAAATAAAGTCATGTTTTAATTATTTTGGTTTTATTACCGCATTTAGTTATAGTCTTAAATCTTCAAAACAGATAACTAACTTCAGTCTGTGACTAAAAGCTTGTTGCTAACTTCAGCCCGTGACTAAAGCGCCATGAAGCCACCGGTTTTTTTCTCAATAACAAACATTCAAATTCGAATATACCTACATATTATTTATTACTGTGTTGGATAAATGAGAATTAAATATATTTTAATTTAAAAAATAATTCTATAACTTTATTTTTTACTTTTTTTATGGTTAATTTTTGGAAAAAAATTATATAGTTGGTTTGACAGTTAATGTCAAAATCGATTCGCTATGCCGTCCTTAATTTACTTATTTACAATAAGTGGCTATTAATGTTAAAAAAGAAAAAAGGATTTTCTTTGGTGTTAAACAAAATTTATTGCCAGAAAAGTCTAGTAAGTACTAGAAAAATCATAAAAATATTATAACCAATATGCAAAATATTATGCTGTTTAAGTGTAGCCAACCTATATAATCAAAATTTTGGGAGGGATAAAGTAAAGTGTTATAATGAACTCATTATGAACGCAAAATAGATAAATAAAATTAAGGTTTATATTAAATAAAAACAAATTTATTATAACAATATGTATACATAAATATTACAAATATTCCTAACAAACAAATATGTACAGTGTTAGATTGGTAATTAATGCATAAAATAATAAATTATTAAAAATACGAAAAGCATATTTTAAGACTGCCATAATCTATAGAAATTTTGATTATTAATAATAATTATTACAATAATGTTAAATTTATACAAAAATAAAAGAAACGGAATGTTACAATTTAATTTAAATTATTATAATTAATGGTTCTAAAAAAGTGTATATATTTATTGAACACTTGGTATACATTGTATACGTCAATACTGCTTAAATTTCTATTAAAAAGTATAGTCTAATAAAACCTATATGGACAAATTTAAAAGAGTATTGTTTAAGGGCTAAGTTTTTCAAATGTTAAATTTTGAACACCCAGGGATATACATAAGTACCATTATTATTATTGTTATTAAAAGTAGCAATGTTGAGGAATTTTTACGCTGTTAAAATGGTGTACAAAAATATTTCTTGTTTTATTTGTACATTTGTAAGTTTTATCCAAACCGAGACGCCCAACTTTTAAGGTGACCTTCAGCCACTTCATTCCAAAATATTCCTTCTTAAAGGTGGATAGTTTCAGAAAAAATGTTGCTTGCTGATTGGCTGATGTTAGAGAATACCCAGATGTCCCAGCTGAAAAATAAAAAAAATAGACACAAATTATCCCTTTAATTTCATCAAGAAAAAAGACGCTTAAATGCTTCCGTTAGTGTGTGCATTTTATCTAAGGGATCATGGTGAATTATTGCGTTTTTAATTGTAAATAAAATTCAAGAACTAAATCGTTGCTTTTTCATGTTTTGCCAAAGGATCCAATTCGGTAAGTACATTTGTTGGTGCAGAATTAACTAACGATAACTTTACCTAATATAATTTATATTTAAGTTTGGACATTTTTAAGAAATTAGTAAAAAGTAATTTTTGCACAAACATAACCTTAAAATCAACCATTTTTATATTGGAGTTCTCTAAAAAACGCCGATAACTGCATTTTAAACAACAAAATATGCCCACGAATTTATGGCAACATAATATTATATATAATACATAATATAATGGTATTTTACCGTTGAGTGGAGACTTTAAAGAATTCTTAATCAAAGCCTTTAATAATGCTAAATGCTGTTTAAATTTAGACGACTTATTTGTTTGATGATTATTACTAAATTGAAATGTTTACACTTTTCAAGTTAATCATTACTAAAACGTGTATTTATTGTGTCCAATAGATACAATTTATATTTACAGGGACTGTATGAAATTTATTTCTTCATTCGGATTAACACTGTTGCTGTTAGCAGGGAGCTAAAACCAGAGGTGAAGAAAATTGAAGAAATGGCAATACAACGTGAGAAGTTACAAAACATGAAGAAGACCTTAGGAAGCAATTGGATGAATCCAAACAAATTGCAAAAGACTTGCGACAATGAAGAAAGCCTGATCAAGAACGTTGAAGAGGAAAACACGAAGATAATCGATCATTTTGAGGAAGAAAGAAGAAAAGTCCAAAGGAAAAAAAAATTGAAGAACATAAAGATGAAGTACGAACGTCGATGACAAAGATTGAAGTACTTACCAAAGTTTGCTTCTGTTGCTCCTTCTGTATGACGGCGTCAGTTTGCTTCTCGTCGAACTTGCAAACGGCCGCTATGACTCTGGCCAATACCAAGCTCTCCTTTCCGAGCATGTAGTTGTACAGAACGTTCTTCAAGTACTCGACCTCGGTGGAATTTCCGAGCTCGGCGCAGTGATTCAAGGTCACGAGCGTCTCGTCCAGTTTCCTGCTCAACTTATCGTTCTTGTTCTTCATCTTCTGCAGTTCTCCCTCGTAGAACTCGATGGAGCTTTTGTTGGTTATGTCTAAGGATTTGTACTGCGTCAGTTTGTCGCGCAGCGAATCTATTTCCTTGCTATCCGCGGAGTCGGTTTTTTTTTGCTCCAAGTTGTTTTGAAGGTTTAGAGGGGATATCTTCAATTCTTGGACCTCGTCCTGTAATAGCTGCCGTTCGTGCTGAATTTCGCTGTATTGCCGCTCCAACTCTTCTATTTGAGCCTCGTATTTCTTCTTCAACGCGCCAAAATTGTCGCACTTTTCTTCCAACGCGGAAATCTCCTGCTTCAAGTTGTTATTCTCGATAAACAAGCAGTCGCATTTTTCTTTAATCTCGTAGCAATCGCGCTGTATCTTCAAAATGTCCATATCGGGCGTTTTACTGTTTTCTTCAAATTTAACCCTCTCTTCCTCCAAAACCTCCATCTTCACTTTAAGCTCTTCGACTTGCCCGAGCAACTCTTGATTTTCTTCGCTCAAATGATTATTATCCGAAGAAATCTGGTTCACCCTCAAATTTAACTCGCTCATCTCTTCTTTCGCTTTATCCAACTTAAAGTTAACGTCTTCGTTCTCTATCTTCGATTTGGCCAACTTTTCTTCGATTTTTTCCAAATCTTCATTTTGTTGCTTCAATAGTTTTATTTCTTCCGCGAGCACGTCTCTTTCTTCCGTGACGATGTTAAGGTTTTCATTTGAAGAATCCAGTTGTTCGGTGATTTTCTTCAATTCTTCAACGTTCGATTTGAATTCTTCCTGAAGATTCTTGAAGTCACTCTCGACTATCTTCAGTCGAGTTAATTCTTGCTCCACCACTTGCTTCTCCTCTCCGAGCATTTTCAAAGTATCTTCGTTCGCTTCCAGCTTCGTTATCTTCCCTTTGAGATCTTCGTTTGTGTTCTGCAAGGTCTTCAAGTGTTCTTTATCCACGTTCGAGAGCTCTTCGAGCTTCACTTTAAGCGCGTTGATTTCTTCAATCTTCACCGCCGATTCTTTCTCGCAATCTTCAATCTTCCGCGACAACTCGTTTTGCGCGTTCTTCTCCTTTCTCAATGTGTTCGCGTGATCGTTCTGCAATTTCTCCACGACCGCGTCGAGCTGGTTGCTTCGCTCCAGCAGCGAGGAGAAATCTTCGGTTTGCTTTTTGATCACGTCGCTTAGTTCTTCAATTTTCTTCCGCATCGTTTTCACTTCGTCTTCGCGGTCTTTTATTTCGCTGTCCAGGGCCTCGTTCATCACCGTGAGACTCTCGATTTTGTTTTTCAGGTCGTCGATGGTTTTCTTCAGTTTGTCGGTCGTTTTTTCCTTCTCTTCGAGCACCTTGAACAGTTTTTCTTCGTTCGCTTGCCTTTCTTCCTCGAAATCCTCGATTATCTTCGTTTTTTCCTCTTCGAAGGCTTTCGCAATTTGTTTGGATTCCTCCATTAATTTCTCACGTTGTACTGCAATTTCTTCAATTTTCTTCACCTCTTGTTTTAGCTCCCTGTTGATCAGCAACTGCGCTTCCAAATCTTTGGTCAACTCGTCGTTTGTTTCCTCCAATTTGGTTAACTTTAGAGTTAATAGTTTACTCTCTGTCGCTTCCAGCACATCGAGTTCCCTCTTTTCTTCGGTAAGCCGCAATTTTTCGTCTAGGTGCGTTTTTTCTTGCGTTACTTTGAGGCATTCTTCCTCTTTAAGCCGCAGAATTTTTCCCGTTTCTTCTAAATTGTCTCGTAGGGTATCCACGTTTTCTTCCAGTTTGGATATTTTCATCTCCTTTTCTGTTACGAGGTCGTTGGAGGATTTTAATTCTTCCTTTAGGTCTTCGATTTTGTCGTTCAACATTTGCATCTGAAATTCTAGATCCGGTACCAATTCGGTTAGGCGTTTATAGTCTTCAGAGATTGAGTTGTTATCCTGATGATGATGATCCATTTTGCTTTGTTTTAACTCTAGTAGTTTACTCTCGGTGTTCTCGAGCGATTTCAGTTCTCTTAGCTCTTCTGTGAGTCGTATGTTTTCTTCCAAATGGGTCTTCACTGCCAGGCATTCGTATTCCTTTCTTCTCAAGGTTTCCGTGCTTTCGTCCAAATCTTCCTGAAGGGTGTTAATGTTGGCTTGCAGTCTGGATATCTTTTCCGTGTACTCGAGACTTTCGTTTTTGATGGTTGATAATTCCTTTTCTAGGTTGGCAATGGTGTTTCTCAACCTGGTGGAATCCTCTATCAACTCCAAGTGGTTCTTCTCCAGGTCTTTATATTGCTGTTTTTCCGACTCCAGGGTGTTCAAATCTTGATATAATTTCTCGAGGCAGCTTTCTTTCTCCATCAACTTCAGCTGAATTTCTTTGACACCGTTGGTGTTAAGTTCGCCCAGTTTGATTTTAAACTCCTCCCTCATTTGCGCCTCTTTTTCCGCGAATTCTCCCCCCAATTTCTCCCGTATTTTGCCTTCCAGCGACAGCAAACCCTTTTTAGCGCTCTCCCTAATCTCCAAAATTTGATTTTCGTAATCTTCCTTCACCCTGGATTCATTATTGCGCAACTCTTGCAAAGTTCTATCGAGGTTTTGTATTTCGAGTTTGTATTTCTCCACCTTGAGCAGTTCGCTTTCCAGATTATTGGATTTTTGCGTCAGGTTTTCCACCCTTTCGATTAGCTTCGCGTTTTGGGTTTGCAAGTTTTCCATTTTCACGTTGGGTGCTTGCTTCTCGTGGAGCGCTTCTATGTCCTTCTTCAAGTTCAAAATTTCGGCGTCTTTATTTAAAATCTCGTTGTGCAGCTCCATTTTGTTCTGCGCCAGGTTTAGGTTGCCCTCTTTTTCTCTTTCCGAGAACTGGGATATTTCCTTCTCCATATCTGCAATTTTTTTCTTGTAGTCCTGCTCTTTGCTTTGAAAAACGATCGCGCTCGCTTTTAACTCCTGTATTTTGCCGTTCAAAGCTTCTATTTCCGCTCTGGCTTCGTTTAAACTTTCCGTAGCTTCGACGGATTCGACGTTCACCAAGTTTGGACGGTTCTCTTGGCTGAGCAGGCCGATTTTCGTCTCTAAAGTCTGTATTTTGAACTGTTTTTCGTCGATATCGTCCCTTAAAACGCTCTCCAAGTGCGCTTTGGCCTTTTGCTCTAAAGAGCACTGCTCTTTTAGCTCCCGCACCCGTCTGATGGCCTTGTCCTGGGTCTCCACCAATACCGACTGCAAAAGAAGATTTTGGTGATTCTACAGCGCAATATACAAAAAAAATAAGGCATCCAAACCGTACACAGCAAACGGAAAAATATAGAAGTTTATAGGATGACTGCCTGTTTTATCTGTGCTGTATTGTTTTTATGTTTTTCGCCTCTATACTTAAAGTCAAACTCAATGGTACCTTACAAGATGCATTATTTTGATTTTCTATATTCAACAGCAATATCGCAACGGTTTCGACTTCTCTTTACTCTGCCAAGTTATAGAAACTGGAGTCTCTCTAATACCGTTCTAGTCAATATTTCTGAGAGCATAAAAAGAGGGTTTAATTCAATATTGCAAAAAGTTTTGATCTTTTGATAGATGCAAGTAGGTTGAATATTCTCATTATGTTGAAAACAGTTCCTTTGTCTGATTTTAATTTACCCTAACAACTCAGGTATGTAAAGCACAGACGATATTATGTATGTATTATATAAAGTACCTATATTTGTATTAAAAATTTCAGAGGTTATGTTGAAAAAACGATCGATGTGCTATTAAACTTTAATAATTTAGTAATGAGGTCTGTTGGTAGACCACTGGTATATGCTAGTACAGCAATATTTAAATCTGGTTGATCAAAAAGTATCCACCAGTGCAGGTTATTGTAGCATCTACGAACAAACGAATTAATGGCCCGTTGGCAATTATTTCTTTAGGAAAATATTCAACACAGCTTAATTAATTAATAAAATGAAAAAATCACAATCATGTCGTATATAGTTTTTTTTAAGCATTAAATAATTTGCATATTAATACTACTTCAAAAGTCAAATTATGACCTCTATACTGTGGAGAGTAGAAAACTGTATTCAAACGTGACGTCATCCAATACACTTCTATATTTTTCCGTTTGCTATAGAATCACCCTTTGAAATTTTTGGATGGAATTTGAAAACACCCTGTATATTTTATACAAAGTGTCCAAAAGAAACATTTCATAATTTGAGAATCAATAGAAAACTTTAAAATAATATCAATTTTCTTAATAAACTTATACCGCAAACTCAACAGTTTCTAAAATACAAGGTGTTGAAGTTGCATAATTTTTTTTTAATTTTGTAATTTAATTTATTATGTTATGGTTGGTAACAACCAGCGTTTTCAGATTCTTTCAAAAAAAGTTGCCAAATTTTGTTTAAATTCACCTCAAGTACAATACTGACCAGTGGCGGCTGGTGGATTTTGGCACAACCATATCTCAGTTATTAGACATCGGACCCACATCAAATTTATATGAGTTTATAATGACATTATATAGACAAGTTCTGCGCAAGCAGAATTTAAATTAAAGTTTGCGAAAAAAAGTTAGTTTTTAAGTGCAACCCCCAGCCTCCTGCCCCTCCAAATTAAGATAATTCAAATTAAAGTGGTACAATATTTAATTCACTGAAGTTTATCGACAAATTTCAAATTTTATTAAAAAAATTCAAGTATTACAGATTTTATACCATTTCAAATTTTTTTAAATTTAGTAAAAGAAATAATAAAAATTATAAATGGTATAAAACCTGTAATTCTTGAATTTTTTTAATAAAATTTGAAATTTGTCGATAAACTTCAGTGAATTAAATATTGTACCACTTTAATTTGAATTATCTTAATTTGGAGGGGCAGGAGGCTGGGGGTTGCACTTAAAAACTAACTTTTTTTCGCAAACTTTAATTTAAATTCTGCTTGCGCAGAACTTGTCTATATAATGTCATTATAAACTCATATAAATTTGATGTGGGTCCCATGTCTAATAACTGAGATATGGGTGTGCCCAAAATCCACCAGCCGCCACTGATACTGACAAAATCAATAATGCAAATTGTTAATTTGGCGTTTTTATTGATTGTTAATTATGTAATTTTTGTAATGAAGGTAAATTCAAACAAAATCTGGCAACTTTATGACAGAATCTAGTGAATTTCTTTCAAATTTTAGGTTATGGGCCCAAATTCTAAGGGAAGTGCTTTTGGATTTATTTACACAAATTGAAAGTTTAACCTGTGAACTTGTCCTAATTTTAATTGAGTAAACAGGAAGAAAAAATTAATTTTGTGGTTATGGAGTTTTTAAAATAGGTACTAAATTTTCTAATCATTGCTAATCAATACAGAAGGCTATTAGAGCTTTAAGGGCATAAAACTTTTGTATTTATTTATTTTTGTGAAAAGGAGTCTACAATTTTTAAAACTAAATAGGTACCTAATAAAGAAAAAATTACTCACTTTTAATAGGGAAAAAACTACTACAATTATTGATAAGATAGATATCAGTTTAGAGTTAAGAGTTATCTATTCATATTATAAAGATATAATATATGTTAATAAAACAAATAAACATTGTAAACGTAGTATACCACTAAATTATATTTTTTATAGAGTAGAAAACAAAATTAAAATTTAAACATACCTTCATTTTGCCATTTTCCCTTTCTAACTCTTTATAATGCTTTGCCAGATCTGTATACCTCCCTCTGTATTTGTGGTACCTCATTTGCGACTTCTGAAAAGCCGAATAAATTTGTTCTTTCGACAAATGCCCCAACTGAGAGGAACTGGAAGCATTATCTTCGACTTCACTAGCCGAAACATCCAAATCAGACTAAAACAACCATAATAAAAAAAAATCTAATTTTATTATTGGCAATTTACTTGCAACTGATACATCTGCGACGATTCGTATCGCGGTAAAAACGACACATCGCTGGCAATGGAGGAGTTAGAGTTACGCCTTAATCTTGCATCGGAAGGTGATACCAACGAAACGCTGGAGAAACCAGCTTCAGCGCTGTTCGTCGAAGTGTTCGCGTCTAAAATCCCAACACAATCATAAAGGAAAACACTCAAAATAACACTTTATACCATCGTCCCCTATTGAGAAGAAATTATCGTCGTTATTGGTCGTTAATCTATCAGTGACGCTCTGCGTAAGCTGTTGAAACCTCTGCGGGGAACTCTTCAGGTCCTCCGTTATTTTTTCCTTCAGTTTTTTGAACATTTTCCACCCCGAAACCCTCTAAACAGCCATCAAAATAAACATTACACTCCTATAACCTCAAAATGACGTGTCAACATTAATATAGCGAACGTACGTCCGGTTGGCTATCTTTGTTCAACGCGTTGGTTGAAGTAAGAAGTCGCTGCGAACTATATCTTACTTTTGACGTTTATTGATTGGGAAAATGTCAAAATCGTCTATAATACAAATTGTATTTTTTATTTATCACTAAATTTATAAGATGCATTTCTTATATTTATAATAATATAATTCAAAATTAATTTCAACCAGTTCTGCCAACTTTGCGGGTCGTGCGGTTGGCAACACTGGAAGCGAAATGGCGTTTAGTTTTGAGGTTAAAAATTCAAAAAGTTGTTTTACGCGTTAAAATGAGCGATACAGAGGAAAATACACAAGAAAACGATGAAAAAGTTGAAAACAAACGACCGCACAGCGAAAGCGACTCGGATACCAACGATTTCGTGGGCCCTTCTCCAGAATTAGCGGCCCCTCCAAAAAAGAAGAAGATTTTGCCCCATGAAAGGTTGTATTTGGATCACATACCGTGTGCGGAAGCTTACGAGAGGAGTTACATGCATAGAGATACAATTACAAATTGTTTGGTAACCGCTACAGATTTTATAATAACTGCCAGTAATGATGGTCATATAAAGTTCTGGAAGAAAGTGGAGACGGGTATTGAGTTTGTAAAACACTTTAGAAGTCATTTGGGGCCAATATCTAAGATTGCGTGCAGTAATGAGGGTACTCTGCTTTGCTCGGCATCTTTGGATAAATCGTTGAAAATCTTTGACGTGGTTAATTTTGATATGATTAATATGATGAGGTTGGATTATATTCCGCATACCGTGGAGTGGGTGCACAATTCCGGCGATCCAATACACTCCATAGCAGTGGCGGATTTAAATAGCCCCAAAATATATATTTACGATGGTAGGGGTAGCAATGAACCATTAAAAGTTTTGGATAAAGTGCACATGAAGCCTGTGACTTTGATCAAGTTTAACTCTAAGTATGATGTTGCTTTATCAGTGGATAGATCAGGAATGTTGGGTACATAATAAAAGTATTTTTTTGATTGTGTTTTAAGAAATTTTTTGTAGAATACTGGACTAGTATCAAACAGGACTGCATTTTCCCGAAAAATGTATTTTTTGATTCCAAACTTGACACGGATTTGTTTGAATTCGCGAAAAACAAAACCCTGCCCACAGGTCTCAGTTTTTCTCCTGACGGAAAAAGATTTGCCGTTATATCTTTGGACAGAAGGGTTAGGGTTTTTAATTTTCTTACTGGAAAGTTGGTAAGTTTGAGTTTTAGTACTTTTAAACCTTATATACAGAGTGTTATGTAATTAATGTATTATATTAAAATGGTTTCCAGATTCTGTCAAAAAGTTGCCAGATTTTGTTTAAATTTAGCCTAATTACAAAAATGACAAAATCAATAATGCAAATTGTTAATATGGCGTTTTTATTGATTTTAATATATTACATTAATGAATATTAATAAAAATAAAAAAATATGGGCATAAACTTTTTTATTTAGATAAGAGTTTTGGACGAATCTTTGCCCAGGTTCACTGAGCTCCAACATAAAACTCAACAGCTACCAAACATGGAGTTCGGTCGTAGAATGGCTGTGGAAAGGGATCTGGAAAAATCGGAGGCTTTCCACAATGCCAACATAGTTTTTGACGACAGCGGTCATTTTATTATGTACGCTTCCCTGTTGGGAATTAAGTTGGTCAACCTGTATACCAACAAGTGCGTGAGGATTATAGGGAAGAACGAGAATTTGAGGGTCTTAAATATTGCACTTTATCAAGGTAAGAACTATTTATAGAGCGCATTCAACTTTAGGCCGCTGTAACTTAAAGATGGTTTTCCAAATGATAAAAAAGTTTTTATATTTTTTGTAGACATTTTTCAGATCTACAACTTTTTTATTTAGCATTTTCAGTTTAAATCAATTTTGGAGGGTCAAAATATGAAAAAACTAATTGTTGTTTACTTTGGCGCCCTCTATCTTCTTAGGAAGTAAATACAGAAAGTTTTGCCTGAAAAAAAATATGTTCAAAAAGTCGAGCTCTACATTTTTTGTCTTAAAATTTTTGTTGTCCGACCGATAGCGGACTTGAAAGTTGGCGCCCGAGCAGGGACCTGCGTTACTTAGAACCGCGGTTCTGCAGCTGTGTAGTATAAAATATTTCTTTCTATGAAAGGTTCCGCGAAAAAATCCAAGGCCGCCGTGACGCTGGAGATAGAGGCGTCGAACAATCCGACTCTTGAGTCGATCCAACCGGACCCGACTCTAGTTTGCACCGCGTACAAAAAATCGCGCTTCTACTTATTTAGCAGGCGCGAACCGGACGAGATCCAAGGCGATCAGGATCGAGATATATTCAACGAGAAACCCTCTAAGGAAGACACCTTCGCAGCCACTGATAATCCCGCTGTTCAGCGGCTGTACGAGAACGCAGTCGTTCACACGGTTTTTGGAGACGTTCACTTAAAATTGTTTGTGAAGGACGCCCCCAAGACGGTGGAAAATTTCTGCGTTCACAGCAAGAACGGCTACTTCAACGGGCACATTTTCCACAGAGTGATCAAAGGTGAGTACCCAGTCACGATACCCAAAAACCGGTATAATAATAGTAAATCTACTTAGTACTTACTAAAAAAAAAACTTTAAAATGGCTTAAAAACAAGTTCTCCCTATTTTCAGGCTTCATGATCCAAACGGGGGATCCCACAGGGAACGGTACGGGGGGCGAGAGCATATGGGGCGGGGAGTTCGAGGACGAGATAAAGGCCCACTTGAGACACGACAGGCCTTACACGGTTTCCATGGCCAACGCTGGCCCCAATACGAACGGAAGTCAGTTTTTTATAACCTTGACCCCTACCCCTTGGCTGGATAACAAGCACACCATCTTCGGTAGGGTGGTCAAAGGCATGGAGGTGGTTCAAAATATTAGTAATGTCAAGACTAACGCTAAAACGGATAAGCCTTTTGATGATATAAGGATTATATCTATTACTGTTAAGTAGAATTTAATTTATAAATAAAGTATTTTATAATAATATGCTTTTTATTTTGATGCTTGATACCCCAGCAAACTATAATATAAATATTTTAAAAAATATTTTTTTTTTTTTGATACGTCACTGGATAACTTAATAAATACAAAACCACAAAATTATAGATGAAATTAGGACAAGTTCACAGGTTAAACTTTAAACATTCAATTTGTGTAAATAAATCCAAAAGCACCCTTGGTTAAGATATTTACAATTTGGGCCCATAACCTAAAATTTGAAAGAAATGCACCAGATTTTGTTTGAATTTACCTTCATTACAAAAATGACATAATCAACAATTAATAAAAACGCCAAATTAACAATTTCAATTGTTGAATTTGTCATTTTTGTAATTAAACTAAATTTAAACAAAATCTGGCAACTTTTTTTGACAGAATCTGGAAAGGCTGGTTGCTACCAACCATAACATAATAAATTAAATTAGGCAACCAGATTAGCCTAAAGTTCTTAGTCGATCAGTGACGTACTTTTTGGTAGGATGAAGGTTATTATAAATTATTTTTAGTCTTTAAGCCTCATTCAGAACCTCGTAATTAGTGGTTTCAATTAACGTAAAAGTTTGTCTTATGAATATACACAGTGTGGTTCACAACCAAAAAATTGGTGGTACTTTTCAATTAGTGGAAAAAGTTTGCAAACTTTTATCTTTGCGGTTTTGCGCATGTCAAAAGCAAAAAGTTTGAAGATTTGCCAGTGAAGGAAAGGTTGTAAAAAATATTATTTTAATATAATAATTATTAATTATTAATATTGATTAAATATTATTTTTTTATTGTAATGGTTGTAAATATTATTATATTATTATTTTAATATAATAATTATTAATTATTAATATTGATTAAATATTATTTTAATATAATAATTATTAATAATTAGATTTTAATCAATATTAATAATAAATCTGAAACACCCCGTACCATCAAGATTACATATGGTTGGCAGCCATGATTATATATGGTTGGCAGCGCTGGTCATAAGTGTGGTTATTTTTGCCTTAAAGTTGGTAAAAGTGCTGGGAGCACGCGAGCGCCCTCTCCCCTCCTTTTACAGTAAACATCCGTCGAGGTGAGTGTAGTTTTTGTAATTTTTTTAAAATCCACGTAATCCTAGCAAATCCGAGGAGTATTTTGAGTTTAGAACGTTTAAATAATTCAATAAAAGTGCGATCTAAAAGGAGACAGCGGTATTTTGCCGTGAAATCTGTGATATTAGATTAAAATGTAAGATTATTTGGAGTGTTTTTAAATGTCATTTGAGTAATGAAACGTTTTCCAAGTGTTTAACTGGTTTGGGAATATAACTATGATGAATATTTTTACTTAGGACACCTCTGAAAGTCCCTGTCGATAAATAAAACAACTGAAACGTCCTAACCTCAAAATACCACACTGACACGTTTTTGACGGTTTTAGCATAATAATAACGATTTTTAGATGGTAGTGACGAAGAAGCAGAGCCCCGAGGCCGCCAAGGCGGCAGGCAAAACCCCTGAATTCAAAAAATCTGGCAGAGCCAGAAATTATGACTTGGGTAACGGAGTATTAAGGTTCTCGAGAGCCAAGATGTTCCACAAAAAGGCCCTGTACAAGTTCGTCGGCAAAAAGGTGGCAGCCGCCAAAAAAACCGTTCAACCTCGCGTCGTCGAAAAAAAAATCGGTGGAGATAAGAACGGAGGCAAACGTTTTGTTTTGGTGAACCAACGTAGAAAGGCCTACCCAACTATTGACAAGTAAGTACATTGTTTTAGATATATATTTATATTACTAACAAATCCAACAAAACAATTTTTGTTTTTCCTGGAATCATAAAACATTGGTTTTGTAACTTTCTTGTAATAAATAAATAAATAAAATCCTGTGAATATTTGAGAGCTGGTTTCTTTCGATGGGCAGTTTCTTGATGCACACAGGGAGATAAAATAAGGAGTCCCGTGCTGACAAATTTATCGTCGTTCACCATAATAACTTCAATGATATTATCTGGATTGGCGAGATTTTTGCTCAGCTCCGTTTACTGCCATAACAAACAAACAAAAATTGTACTATACGCTAAAGAAGCATCACTTTGTTTAAAAAATGTCCAAAAAAGTAAAAAAATTTAGGAAAAAAATATTGTTTTAAAAAAAAATGCTTCAAATACAAATTTAAATCAACTTTTAAAAATAATTGAATTTAGTTTAATTTTGACATAAAATTTTTATTTACTTTAGAAAAAAACTCTAAAAAACAATAAACTAAAAAACGTATGAAAAATCAAATCTATTTTTAACAAAAACACAAAACCTTGAAAATTTTCAAAATGAAAAAAAACTGCAAATAATATTTACAGTCCCTGTAAATTTAAATTGTACCTTTAGATACAATAAGTTGTCTAAATTCATTATTAAAAGCAACGGTATTATATTATATTTTATATATGTTATGACTCCATGAATTCGTAGATATATTTTGTTTTTTTGGTTTTTTTAAAAATGTCCAAACTTTTTTTGGATAAAGTTATCATTAGTTAATTCTGCATAAAAAAGCTCAAAAATTCACTTTTTACTTGATATCAGTGTATTAGTGAATTTTTTAGAAAAATTGTCCCTTGAATAAAATTTAGAAAAATAAGTATTTTTTTTTTAAATTCACAATACTTTTTGCATTTTTTCGTATTACCCTGTAAATAAAATTAAAAAAATGCAAGTCAATTTTTTTTGAAAATTTCACTTTTTTTTGTGTCAGTGTATTTGTAAATTTTTTAAAAAATAGCATTTATTTGTATTACCCTTTGAATAAAATGAAAAAAAATTCAAGTCAGTTTTACTAAAAATTTCCGAAAAAATTAAATAAATAATCATAATATTATGATTATTAAGCACATCTAAAATTCACTAGTATCAAAAATTCACTTTTTTTTATATCAGTGTATTTGTGATTTTGTAAATTTTTATTAAAATTTTCTTTTGCATTTTTTCGTATTACCTACCCTTTGAAAAAAATGCAGATCAATTTTTTTTTGAAAATTTCACAATTTTTTTTGTTTTTTTTTCGGAAAAAACAAAAAAAATAAAATTAAAGGAATAATTATTATAATCATAATATTATATTATATTCAGCATCAAAAATTCACCTTTTTCTCGATATCGGTATTTGTGAATTTGTAAATTTTTATAAAAATTGACTTTCGCATTTTTTCGTATTATGAATATTATAAATGAAAAAAATGCAGATCAATTTTTTTTCAAAATTTCACAATTTTTCGTTTTTTTGGATATTGTGTATTTGTGAATTTGTATCTTTAAAAAAAAATTGACTTGCATTTTTTCGTATTACCCTTTGAAAAAAATGAAAAAAATGCAGATCAATTCTTTTTGAAAATTTTACAATTTTTTCGTTTTTTTACCCGGAAAAATTAAAATAAAAGGAATAATTATTATAATCATAAATAAAATTATGATTATATTAACCATCAAAAATGCACTTTTTTCTTGATATCAGTGTATTTGTGAATTTGTAAATTTTTAGAAAAATTGACTTGCATTTTTTCGTATTACCCTTTGAATAAAATGAAAAAAATGCAAGTCAATTTTTTTTGAAAATTTCCTAATTTTTTTTCCGGAAAAAACGAAAAAACTAAAATAAAATGAATAATTATTTTAATCATAATATTATTACCCTTTAAATGAAATGGAAAATTGCTAAATTTTTTCGTTTTTTTGTTCAAAATTCAAACTTTATGGACAAAATTTGTCGATGCTTCTTTAGCGTATGATGCTGGGTGGTGTCAAAGGAATGTATAATTAACAAAAATTTATTGCAGCATTCGTGTAGCCCCATCTAAAAAAACCTTCAGCCAACACAAGCGTAGCATAAGGTCAACTTTGACGCCCGGCACCGTGTTGATTTTATTGGCTGGCGCCCACAAAGGCAAACGCGTCGTGTTGCTAAAGCAACTCAACTCTGGACTGCTAATGGTGACAGGTGGGTACTCTATTGTCGTTGTTTGCGTCATTTGTAATATGTCATTCGAAAAATTATTGTAACATGAAGAACCTGAAGCTGCCGTTGATTTTCGTGGTGGCTTTCATGATCGATAAACTTACGGGGGCGATAGACTGAGCGTGGTTGTTTTTAGGGCCGTTCCAGATCAACGGTTGCCCGTTGAGGCGCATCAGCCAGCGTTACGTGATCGGCACGCAGACCAAAATTGACGTGAGCGGCGTTAAGATCCCGGAAAATTTAGACGACGAGTACTTTAGGAGGCAAAACCTCAAGAAGCTCAGGAAGAAGGGCGAGGGGGACATTTTCAAGAGCAAGAGGCCCACCTACAAGGTCAGCGACGACAAGAAACAGCAACAGAAAGATATGGACAAGCAAGTGTTTGAAGCTATCAGGAAGCACCCAGACAGGAAAGTGCTTTTGGCTTACCTGTCTGCCATGTGGGGATTGAGGTCCTCCCAGTTCCCCCACAGACTGCAATTCTAGATTCGTTAAGGCCCATGGTTTATTGTTCTGTAATATGTTGTCTCAATAAATTGTGGATTTATACATTTTATGTTTTATTTAACTTGTAAATGAATCGCTTTTACTAAAGTTCTTAATTTTTTACTAATTTCTTAAAAATGTCCAAACTTAAATATAAATTATGTTAAAAGTTATCATTCGTTAATTCTGCACCAACAAATGTACTTACCGAATTGGATCCTCTGGCAAAACATGAAAATGCAACGATTTAGTTCTTGAATTTTATTTACAATTAAAAACGCAATAATTCACCATAATCCCTTAGATAAAATACACACACTAACTTAACTATATAAGCATTTAAGCGTTGAGTTTCTTAATCAATAATATAAAGAATAATCAATCGAAATCGAGTACTGAACCAGTTTTTTAGTTTTTTTCTTGCAAAGTAAAACAAAAACTTGATGTTTTCAAAACTTTTATTGAAAAATGCTGTTTTACAGTTGCGAATGTGGCAGCTTTCGGGTTTTTATTTTTCCCGTGAAAATATTTTTCAACTTTGTGGAATTGTTGCACAAAGATTCCTTCCACTCCCCTTCCAGTCTTACCCACATACCCCCAGCCGAGGCGAAATGTTTGTAGGTCGACTTGTGACACCTTTGAAAGTTTTCCACGATGGCGGAAGTGCGTTTTTCCAGGATGGTCGCCATTTCCCTGGACGCTGTTTCCTCGAAGGAGCGCTGATTATCCTGATTCGTCCTCGCCGAGAAGTTGTTCTGCCATACTTTCGAGTTGTAGAGTTTTTTTTTCGGGCGTTTATCGGGGACAACCTGTCAAAATTAACCTTTTTGGTTTTTAAAGTTTATAAAACTCCTTTAAGTCCTTTATAAACCTAATGGTAACGGTTACCAAAGGTTATATAAAATGTTTGTAGAAAAAATTATACAGGGTGTTATATATTAAAATGGGTTGTTCCTTAGGGTCCATAAAGAAGCACCTGAAACTTTTTTTTTCTAAATTCCAAAGTCTAAAAATAATTCATAATAACCTTTATCCTACCAAAAAGTACGCCACTGATCGACTAGGAACTTTAGGTTAATCTGGTGGATTTATTATGTTATGGTTGGTAACAACAGTTTTTCCAAAATCTCTCAAAAAAGTTGACAAACATTGTTTAAATTTAGCTTAATTACAAAAATGACAAAATTAACAATGCAAATTGTCAATTTGGCGTTTTTATTAATTGTTGGTTATGTCATTTTTGTACTGAAGGTAAATTCAAACAAAATCTGCCAACTTTTATGACAGAATCTAGTGCATTTCTTTTAAATTTTAGGTTATGTTTTCAAATTGTAAATATCTTAACTAAGGGAAGTGCTTTTGGATTTATTTACACAAATTAAATGTTTAAAGTTTAACCTGCGAACTGGTCCCAATTTCATCTGAGTAAACAGAGAAAAAAACTGATGAAAAAATTAATTTTGTGGTTATGGATTTCAAATTTCAAAGGTACTAAATTTTCTAATCATTGCTTAAGCTAATAGCTGGATCAGTAAATAAATACAGAAGGGTATTGGAGCTTTAAGGGCATAAAACTTTTGTATTTATTGAGTTTTTATTTATTTTTTGCAAGAAAAATTTTTAGCTACTTTGTTGGTTGGTATCTATGTACTCACAAAATACAGGTGTGCAGAGATAAACAAGTGTGTAACCAGTGGCGTATCACAAAAAATATAAAAAGCTTCTAATGGATATTTTTTCTTTATCTTTGGAAAAATGTTTTTTTAAAAAATTTTCCTTTATTCCTTAAGTCAAAAGGTATTCAGTATTTTAATATATAACATTAATTACATAAAACCCTGTATAACAACTCTTATAAAACCTTGACAACTCTTATAAAACCTTTATGTAACTTATCGTTACCATAAGTGGTGCAAATTGCTTATTGGGATGCCACGAAGATCTAGGTGCTTACCGGGGTGACTCTGGGAGACTTTCTAGGCGAGCTGCGACTCTACAAGCAAAAGTTTGCACTCTAACCTCAATCTACGATCGACTTACCGAAGCCGGTTCAGAGGCCTTGTTGATCTGGCAGCTCTCACCGCTGTCTACGGTGCTGTCAGAACCGGAAGTCGTCGAGCTGCTGCACGAGTCGTTCGAACTACTGCCGTCGTCGTCGCTGCTCTCATCGGAAACAGACGTCGAAGGTAAGGCGGGCGCCGGAATGTTAGACGTCGTCGTGCGCTTCAACATATCAAATAAAGATGTCAAAGAAAATGGGAAATCATCCGTAACGTATGTCTATGGTCTAATGTCTATTTTACAATGTCTATGGTCAACAGCGCCATCTATAAATGACAGTTGTAATCAAGATACATACACCTTAAGATAGGATGGTGCGCATGTTGGGCGGGGCTTAAATACGTCACTTGATGAGTGTTTTTAAATTTTTAACGTGCCTTTTAATTGTCTGCTGCTAAAATTCTTGTTTTTGCGATGCTTTTGGATGTTAACTTGCTCTATTTTTTGTTTAACTTGTTGTTTTTGTGTTGACCTCTAGTGCCCTCTCTTCTACTAAGGCTTTGCCATACAAAGCATAGAAAAAGGATACAAAGTGCTTACCTTTGCGAATTTCGATATCAAACCCAGCTTTGGACGGGGCGGGGTTATTTCGAAGCCGTCCCACCAGAATAAATCGGTGGGCGGGGCCATTTTGCTGTCGTGATTTGGGGAGGGGGTGTCGTAGTTGAGCTTTGGAGCCAATCGGGTGAGTTTCTCCGGGAAAAGAAGGCGGGGGGGTTCCTCTTCTATGAGGTGACGAAAATCGTCGAGCATCGTCCTTATCGCCGAGTCTCTCACGTCTTTGGTGTCTGGAATGTGCTGGTGGAACTGGCATCCCGAGAAGTTTGGCAACAAGTCGAATCTAAAGGTTAAGGGTTCAGATAACTTACTTATCTAATAATCAAGATACATTAAGGTTCGTTTACACCAAAGTATTCACCTGTAGGCTCTTTCTCCGCAACAAGGGTACCTTCCCACCGGCAGGGGAGCTTTCTGGGTGTCCAACGTGAAAAATTGGGGCGGATCCGGATGAAACAAACACCAGCCGATCTGGTGACTCGGGAAGTATCGTCGGCAAATCAGGCAGTAGAGGAAATGCGTGTTTGCCCACAGCTTCCAGTACACTTTCCGCCACGACTTGGTAATGCGAAACAGCTTCAAAATGTATTCGTTGATGTTCCATGTTGGGTCCCTGAAAACGTCAGATTTTGCCCTGTTATGCCAAACTGTACTAATTTTACAATTTTGGTAAAATAACTAAAAACGTAGGGAATAAGTCACTTTAATGCCCCTCCCTGACAAAATTTGTACCTGACGTGAATGCTGATGGTGCTGCCATCCCATTGCAGCCGCATGCATTCGGGGTTGCAGGGTATCTGGGTGGAGAAGGTGGGGTATATGAGCTGCTGGCACTTTTCGCATCGGAAAATCTTGGCCAACGAGTACCAATGGCCGCGCACGCTCTCCGCCTCTGGTTCGCACAGCGACTGGATCATTTTCGTGAATATCCTCGACTGGATCTTGTCCTTCTTGTCCCTGATCATCTCCACCTCAGTGTTGGTGTGCATCGCTGCTAATCTGAGAACTCAAAGAGTTTTTTTATTGTTCGATTTCACAGCAAACGAATATACAGCCCGTTAAGAGTAAAACCGAATATATCTACAGGTTGTTATGTAATTAATGTTATATATTAAAATACTGAATACCTTTTGACATAAGGAATAAAGGAAAAATTTTAAAAAAACCTTTTTTCAAAGATAAAGAAAAAATATGCATTAGAAGTTTTTTATATTTTTTGTGATACGCCACTGGTTACACACTTGGTTTATCTCTGCACACTTGTATTTTGTGAGTACATAGATACCAACTAACAAAGTAGCTATGCGTTGCCAGATGTAAAAAATTGTTACTAAACATTTTTCTTGCAAAAAATAAATAAAAACTCAATAAATACAAAAGTTTTATGCCCTTAAAGCTCTAATACCCTTCTGTATTTATTTACTGATCCAGCTATTAGCTTAAGCAATGATTAGAAAATTTAGTACCTTTGAAATTTGAAATCCATAACCACAAAATTAATTTTTTCATTAGTTTTTTTCTCTGTTTACTCAGATGAAATTGGGACCAGTTCACAGGTTAAACTTTAAACATTTAATTTGTGTAAATAAATCCAAAAGCACTTCCCTTAGTTAAGATATTTACAATTTGAAAACATAACCTAAAATTTAAAAGAAATGCACTAGATTCTGTCATAAAAGTTGGCAGATTTTGTTTGAATTTACCTTCAGTACAAAAATGACATAACCAACAATTAATAAAAACGCCAAATTGACAATTTGCATTGTTAATTTTGTCATTTTTATAATTAAGCTAAATTTAAACAATGTTTGTCAACTTTTTTGAGAGATTTTTCAAACACTGTTACCAACCATAACATAATAAATCCACCAGATTAACCTAAAGTTCCTAGTCGATCAGTGGCGTACTTTTTGGTAGGATAAAGGTTATTAAAAATTATTTTTAGACTTTGGAATTTAAAAAAAAAAAAGTTTCAGGTGCTTCTTTATGGACCCTAAGGAACAACCCATTTTAATATATAACATTAATTACATAACACCCTGTATATATAGATATATTCGGTTTTACTCTGAACGGGCTGTATATATATACGTTGTTACGGTGTTTTACCTTGACAGCACCGAATCGTTCAAACAGGACAAATTCGAGGTGGTTCTCAGAATGTCGTTCAAATGTTCGTGGCAAAACAGCAGACAGTCGTTGAGCAGCGGTTCCATCTGGAGAAACGCAGCTGAAACCAGTATGGGGACCACGCAGTGCGCGTCCAGCTTCGGCCAATCAGCTTCGAGCAAGGAATCCTTCTTCACCCACTGCATGAGCCATTCGAATATGCCGATGTCGCAGTGAACGGAAATTTCCATGTCTTCAAGTTTTTGACCTTAAAAACCAAAAACTACCATTTTGTATTTTTTTTTCATTTAAAACTTACCGACAGTAATGTCCGAAAAATAACCCATTTTCGACACCAACAACGTCTGGTTGCACAAAAAAGTCTTCTTGAGGTTTTTCACTTCGTCACACACGTGTATTTCGACGTCCGACCTAAAAACAATGTTTTCAACGCAAAAAAATTAACAAACCGATTTAAAATTGTTACGAAGATTTAATGAAAGTTTCCACGGATTTTCTGATGGGTTTTTCCACCTGCTTTTCCGCCACCGTCGGCATAACTGGCATGGAGTTACTCGTAGCTAAAAAAGAGTTTTATTTATATTAATTTTTTGAGTAAAGTTCATTTTTTTATCTGGACTGCGGCAACGTTGCAAATTTAGGGGTTTGGTTGGTAACTAAACTAGTTTGAGGTTATGTTTAAATTATTGTTATTGTCAAAATATATTTACCTATGACATTCTTTCGTTTGTTTCCAGCATTGTCCACCAAAAAGGGTAAAACTGAATCAAGCAATCCTTCCGATAAAACGACATTTAGTTTTTGTTTTATCGGGTCCACGTCGAAACACGACATTGTAGTGGTGGAAGATTTTTTCTTAACAGCTTCTAAAATGATTGGTTAAACATACCTTACGCTTTATCAAGAAATTTACCTTTTTGTTCTCCCATTTCGCAACTTTCAGCAGGCAAAATCTCAAAATTACTTTCGGAGGTTTGCGCGTACGAATTTTTACCTCCGTTTTCTTTCATTCGTAGCCAATTCAGAGCCTCTATTTTGCCCCCTTCCATTAAAACACCTTCAACACTGTCTTGCACCTTAAAGAACATATTATTATAGTTAATAAATCGTTTGAGGCAAAACATGCGTATCTTAAAATTTTGAACATATTTTTTTCATTCAAAACTTTCTGTCTTTAGTTCCCAACAAGATAGAGGGCGCTGAAGTTGACAAAAATTAGTTTTTTTGTATTTTGATACTCTAAAATTGATCATAACTAAAAATGTCACTTAAAAAAGTTGTAGATAATAAAAATATACATAAAAATATATTAAGTTTTGATATCATTTTGTAAACCGTTTAAGAGTTACAGCGCTCGAATCATTTTTGTAAATTTTCGTGCCCTCTATCTTTATAGGGACTATATATAGACAGTTTTGCCTGAAAACAAATATGTTGAGTATTTAAAGATCTACATTTTTCGTCTTTAAACTTTTTTTGTACGACCAATAGGAAGCGAGATACGGGAATTTTAACACTTAACCCTGGGGGTTAAATCTAGACCACAAAGAATAACATACAAAAATTCGCTGGTTCCCCAAATTTTCGGTGGAAAAAAACATAAAAACTAAAAAATAAAAAATTCTTACTTGATATGCTGTGGTTAACAGAGTTAAAAACTCTTTGATAGTGATTTGGGAGCAATTTTCCGACAACTTGGGCGCGTTGCTTTTCGTTTTCACGCTAATTGTCGCTCCTGTCCTTTCAAACATCGTTTGATTACTCATTTTTACCGCTGACACGAAAATCCTAATCAAACATTAATACATTAAAAATTATAACATTCCCTCTAATACACTGCTGATTTAAGCTGATATTGATCAAACTTTTGAACACGCGCTAAAAATAAAAGTTCATTCTTTTGCTGCGTTTGACACAAATTGGTTAAAATATTGACAGAATCGGTCAGATTTTTCCGTTATATACACGGTTATTAATAAAATAAAGTAAGTAAGTTAGCCAATCACAGGCGTGTTTTATCAGAATGATTAGAGGTGGGAGAACTATAATGTGCAGCTTAATATTAGAAGTTCCATATAAAATCGTAGTGTAAAATGACAATTTTACCTAAAAAAAATGTCTGAAGTTAAAACTAACCTAAAAACTAAAACACTGAAAGTGAAAATGTCAATCATAGAAAAAGGATGTCAATTATATAATTACGGGACTCTAGACATTATAATGACAACATATATATGTTGTTTATTTTGTTATTTTTATTTTTATGGTTATGTTTTTTGTTAACAATAGCCAGGACCGGCTCAAAATTTAATTAAACTTGGAAGGCCTATAACTCTCTTATTTTTGAGATTTGATAAAAAAGTTACTTAAAATATTTATTTGTCTAGCTGATTTCTACACACTGTTAAAAGGAACGCGTCAACTTAAAACTCACCCTGTATACTGTTTAGATACGAATTTTTAATGGCTTAATTTTGAGCAGGAGCGGAAATAAAACAAAGCTTATACAAAAAATCTTTACTCAGAAATAAATACTTTATAAAAACTTAGTAAACTACAAAATAAAAATAAACATAATTTAAGCAATCTAAAGATCATTTTATATACTTTTTTTCTCGTTAAATACATTTACGGACAGCATCAATAGCAAATTTTTGGTTTGCTCATAAAAATACAACAAATTTAATGACTGCTTGTGTTACAGACTATCAAAAAAAAATTCGATGACTTATATTAAAATAGACGTTATTTTCGATTCCAGCGTTTGATTTTTTGACGTCGAACGTCAAAAAACACACGTCAGCAATCGAAACATTTTTGACATCTGTCATTTTTTTTAATTTGACAGCTGTCAAAACTTGTTGATTTGGGTGTATCGTCATAGTTACGAGGACTGGAGTCTGGGTTCGATTCGTTTTTTTAGCGGTTAGACTAGAAGTTGCCGTATTTCGTTGCTTTCGGCAGAGTCCACGTAGGATTTTCCGTCGGGGGCTGTGCCCTCTTTTGAGGCCCCCTTTTCCAGCAGCAACCGCACGCACTCGATGTGGCCCTCCCAAATAGCCGCCAGGATGGCGGTTATGCCATGCTTGTCTTTCGACTGAAAAAATACGGCAACATGGCTTTATTACGAATTGGGAAAAAGTGAGGTTATTTTTTGACATATGTCAGATTGTGCCTACTTGGGAAAATAATAAAAAAAATATTATTTTTTTTTAATATTTTGCTTCATTGTGTATTTAAATAAATATCAGGCATACCCACACAATCATTATTATTTGCATTTTGATAAACCAATTCTATGTAATCTTGAGTAATAATTTTTAAAATGAATCACCAAACAAATCATATAAAATCAACATGGGCAAAAATAATATTTTTACTCAATTTTAATCCAGTTAAAATGAAACATGAAAGTATCATAAAAATACACAAAATAAATTATGTAAAAACCAATTTCATTATTAAAACATTACAGTAAAAGTTTCATATTTTATTGAACTAGGTATTACCAATATAAAAAAAATACAAGCTTCCGCTTTTAAAGAAAAAATTCAATTTTTATACATCTTGCATAAAATTTGCATAAAATTATTTGCTTACATTTACATCGGCTCCAGCTGAAACCAGATAGTCTATAACGTCTCTTTGGCCGTAATCAGCGGCGTAGAGAATTAAGGGGCGCCCATCCACTTGCTCGTTCACATTCACAGCCTGAAAAAAACATTTAATGATTCACCTGAGAAAATATGTTGCCATATTTGGTTTTCGACGTTTTCCCCGTCGAATGGTCCTACCTTTTTTTCGATGTAATCCTTGACTTGTTCCAGATCGCCGTTTTTGACGGCCCACACGAAATCTCCGCTCATTTTTAACGATTTATGTTGGATTTTTCCTTTGACCGTATAGTGACAGCTGTCACAGGTTCTTTGGCACTATACGTCAAAAGTTTGGGGAGTTTTTTGCCATTTTGTTGGTACGACGCATCCATAGAAGAAATCAAATATAGATTTGTGGGTTTACATTAAATTTTGTGCATTAATTAAACAACGAATCGTGTTAATTGTAGTACAAATTGTAAACAATCAAAATACCCAATAATAATAGTGTACTTCGTGCTGAAAAACAGACTTGGTGTCGTCTATATTTCAAACATCTATGATTATTTTGACGTTTGTTTGCACATAACCTCAATAAGCGGTTTTGAACGTTTTTTTACAAAATACCGTAAAAAATGGCTTCAGGCTTGGATGCTTTCGTAAACCGTATCCTTTTTTAATCTTTATATTACTATTATTACTATTGCAAAAACAAGCATTTTTCCTTAATTTTTTTTAGATACCGTTTCCATTATTACTTCTGATGGTAGGAATTTTATAGTAAGTTATATTATTTATAACACAATTTACAAAAAATACGTTAAATATATTTTCAGGGTACTCTGAAAGGTTTCGACCAGACTATAAACATCATAATAGATGAATCGCATGAAAGGGTTTATTCTACAACAACGGGCATTGAACAGGTTATGCTGGGGCTTCATATTATTAGGGGAGACAATGTGTAAGTCAATAAATAGTTATTTAATCAATGTTTACTGAGTTAATAATAATATTTTGTATTTTTAGAGCAATAATTGGGTTGATTGATGAAGATGTTGACAATAGGTTGAACTTGGCAAATATTAAAGCTGAACCACTGAATGCTGTAGTTCACTAACAAATAAATAGTTTTAAGTACAAAGTAGTCGTTTAATTTCATTATTATTAAAGAATTATTAATAATTCAAAATCCTAACCTCAAAACGTCAATTTCGACTCTCGACCAATCAGCTTGCTCGTTTTCACTGCGAGCCGGCTTGTGATTGGTCGAATCAATTTGTCATTTTATTTTGTTTGATATAACGAACCTTCTTGCACGCTAACAAAAAAAAGCGATATATTGAGAATAATTGTCTTTAAAAACAGTTGGAAAGCATTAAAATGTCCGAAAGCGAGGTAAGCACGCGTTTTGCCGGCATAGAGCTTGCGGTTAACAAGTTAGAACATAACCTGCAATATGTGTGATTTTTTAGGCTCCCATAACGCTAACTAACGATCATGACAAGAGTTTGACTGAGAATGGCGAGGAAACGGAGTTTGATCCTCAGTTTAAACCGATTGTTACTCTCCCTGAAGTTGAGGTTAAATTGAATGAGGATGACGAAGAAGAAATGCTTAAAATACGTGCCAAACTGTACAGATTTGATTCTAACAGCGACCCATCTGAATGGAAGGTACTAAGTCGGTGTATTCATGCTAGAAAAGCAATAAAATTTTATTTATTTTAGGAGAGAGGCACAGGTGAGTTAAAAATGCTGAGGCACAAAGAAAATAACTCGGTGAGAATAGTAATGAGAAGAGATAAGACCTTTAAAATATGCGCCAATCATTTTTTGACGCCATGGATGGAGTTAAAGAAAAACCCCAGCACTGATAGAGCCTACGTTTACACTGTTCCTGCTGATTTTGCCGATGAGAAGGCTAAATCTGAATGCCTGGCCATTAAATTTGGCAATGTTGAAAGTAAGTACAAGAATTTATTTAACCTAAAACTGTCACGGTGACAGTTGACAAATAACCTCGAAATTTTGACAGCTGACAGCTGTCAAGCGGTTCTAACCTCACTTTTTGGAATTTTGACGCCTGTCAAACCAATTTAACCTCACTTTTTTCAAAATTATTAACTGTAGGGTATTAAAGCTCGAAACTGGTTTATTTTAGACGCGATTTTGTTTAAAACGAGATTCGAAGATGCGAAAAAAATTTTGGCGACCGATTGCGACCTGTACAACGGTAAGTGCGATGAAAACGGGTCCTCTTCGGAAGACGATGAAGATGAAGCGGAAGTTAGCGACAAAGAGAACAAGGAGAGCAACGAGATAACTCAGAAAATGTCAGAGTTGGAGGTTAAAAAGGACGAGGATGAAAAAATAAAAAATTGAGATATGACGTTAAGGAATTGTTGTTTATATATTTTTTTTTAATTTTTAATTTTAACGGCCATTTTTTTTGGTCCCTTTTCTTTTGATCCAAGTAACTTTTAATAAATGCATTCCACGAGGGATATAAAAGTGCATATTTTTATATCTATGTATTATAACTGTATGCCATTGAATATATTGAATAATAATAAATCAATTTTCATAATAGTCTCTGAGTTTGATTTTTGCTGGTTTAAGAAATACTTTAAACATTTTAAATAGTTTTAATAATGTAATATGATTTTTTCAGGAAGCAGAAGAGTAACTTTTTTTCCTAAAATCTCTCTTGGACATTTATAAATAATCCTATTTTTTGACCACCCTGTACAGGGTGATCCCCTATAATGTCGCCCCCCTTTAACTTTTTTATTTTAAGTGTCCCAAAAAATTTAAAAGTGTGGTTATGTAGGAACTAAAAAATACTTTTTTTCTACGTTTAAAGAAAATTGGAAAATTGATCAATATACAGGGTAAAACAAAAAGTTTATTTTTTTTCAATGGATCACCCTATATATGAATTTATTTTTCGATTCCTTGTAAAATTCTGAGCATAATTCATATAACAAACCATATCCTAAATTCAACTGTTTTTGAAATATTCGCATTCGAAATGTTATCATTAAATGGTTTTTTAAACTGTTGGAAATCAAGAAGCATCAGTATACCAAAATTTTTATTGAAAATAAATTATTATAGTGATATTATGTCAATATGTCTTGTTAAATAAGTAAAAATGGCCTACTCAGACAGAGAAAGACAAACTATTTCAACTTAGTACCTTAAAAATAATTTAAATATTTTAGAAACTGTTGCATTTAGGTTTATGGTATGTTATATGAATTATGCTCAGAATTTTACAAGGAATCGAAAAATAAATTCATATATAAGGTGATCCATTGAAAAAAAATAAACTTTTTGTTTTTCCCTGTATACTGATCAATTTTCCAATTTTCTTTAAACGTAGAAAAAAAGTATTTTTTAGTTCCTACATAACCACACTTTTAAATTTTTTGGGACACTTAAAATAAAAAAGTTAAAGGGGGGCGACATTATAGGGGATCACCCTGTACATGCTATTTCAAATTTTAATGGTGTAATAATATTTTTTCAGGAAGCAGAACTTTTTTTAAGGGGTAACTTTTTTTCGTAAAATTGATAATAAAAAAGTTACCTCTTGGGCCATTTATACATTATCTTACTTTTTGACCACCCTGTACAAACTATTTAAAGTTTTAATGGTTTAGTCATATTTTTTCAGGAAGCAAAACTTTTTTTGAGGAGTAACTTTTTTTCGTAAAATTAATAATAAAAAAGTTGGACCTTTGCTGGGCCCCTAACCTAACTATGTATTTCTAAAATAAAGCCAAATCCAATTCCTAAAAACTATGACCAGATTTATTGAATAAAACATCTACAATAAACAATATAAAAATTAAAATTAATCCAAACTAACGTCATCCAAAGCACCCTCCGTTTCCGTCTTAATTTTCTGAGTGCTTGATTCGTATTTCGGGTAGAGGTGCTTCATTGGGCCGCCATTTTCGTCCTCGGGTATCACGCTTTTCGCGTCGATTTCACCCTCGGCCAATCCAGGCCTGGCATTCGATAAAGTCTCAATCAAACTTTTGATTTGTTGATTTTCGGTTTTCACAGCTTTTATGTTGCCGCTCATCTCATTGCTCCACGTTTTCAGCCAATCAGAGCCCGAGTTTGCTTCATCAGCAGGCTGAAATACAATTAACTTTGAATATCCCACTTCTGATTTAAACGTTTTAAGTACTAACCTTGATTTTCGGTTTTTTAATTTCCACTTCCTGTTTGTCTTTCTGCCGTTGCGCATAAAGCGTGTCTGCGAGATTTTCCAGCGTGTTTCTTTTGTTGGTAGAACTGTCCCCCTGATTGGCCAGAGGTTGGGTGTTGGTTTGCGGGCCCAGTTCCACTAAAAATTGAAAGTCGGCCCTGTCGCCCAGCCTAAAGCCCCATCCTAGTCTGGAGTCGGTACCTAAATTCATATTTTTTATTATTTCTAAATAAAAAAAAAATATGGAGGCGTCGAGAATCGAACCCGCTACCTCTCGCTTGCAAAGCGAGCGTCCTACCATCTGAGCTACGCTGCCGATATTAATTTTATAGCGCTGGAGTAGTATAATTAATAAAAATAATATATATTTTTACCTTTTTTAATGGTTGGTATGTTGGAGTAAACCACTGACAATAGAGATGGCAATTCGTCAGGGATTATAAAAGCCTCTGTACCTGAAAATTAGGTGTTACCAATGACTCTCTTTTTTTTGTTAGAAATTCATATTAAATTTTATTTTTCACGTAGGTACTAAATTTAAAATAAAAAGTATTTATTATATTTTAGGTATGAGTTAAAATTGCCCGAGAGTTTTATATTTAAATAAAATAAATTACAAATAAATAATTGAAAAAGCTAACGATTTTAATTTGGATTAAATAGGTATATAATATACCTAATAATGATAATAATTGAATTTAACGTAAACGCCTTTTCTCAATCACTATTTATATTTCTATTCGAAAGTGAAATTTTTAATTAATGTTATAACATAACATCAACAATTGTTATAAGTAAACTTTCGTTTAGAGGTAACAAGACCATTATTACTTAATACCTACATTGAATTTTATATAACATACAGTATATAAAAATTAAAATCATTAGAAATTCTTAGATATCATCTGAAATACTAACCCAAAAACTTGACCCATGCCACCAACACAAAAACAAAACAAAACTTCATTTTCACTATATCTAACAAGTTGGCACAAAAATTACACTTAAAACTTAACACAAATTAGCAGGCACTTTTGTTTTCATTGGTTACATAGCGCAATCGAGGTAGGCTCAGGCGTCTGGACGTGCAAAATAAAAGAAGTGGACGGTCCGTATCGAAGTATGTCATGGATTGACTTTCACTTTACCAAGAAAAAGAATAAAATATAGACTTTCTTCTGTTTGAAAATGTATTGAAGAATGACCTTTAAAATATCAATACTGGATTTTTTTTAATTGTCAGGGGGGGTGGTATTTTAATTTGTTTTATATGTATTATTAATTTATGCATTTGAAGAAAAAATTAATTTGTTGTCAAGGATTTTCTAGCATTATGCAGTGTTTAGTATTTATTCCATTCATTCACCATTATGTATATAATATAAAGCATGGTAAAATAAACATTGGATAATTTAAATGTAAATTATTTTAATTAAAAATAATAAATGAAATTTTATTTTTAGAATTTAAATATTTTATGTTATTTAGGATTCAAATTTTATAAGAAAAAAGGTATTATTGTTTAGTATGTCAGCATCATTATTCTAAATAACTAAATACTATTAATATTTATAAGGTCAAAACAAAATCTGATTTTTCCTAGTTCCACGAAATATTCGTCAACGTGGCAACGCCGCAATAGCGGGCTATTCATTATAAAGTAGTTCGTTCGCACCATCCACTTCATTCAAAAAACTTGTGACATTTTGCGTTTTAAATTCAAAATATAAACGAAGTTACGGCTTATCGCGACCTAAAATTAATACTTTTGTTTGTTTTTATCAACACACATTATATTGATGACTTAATTTCATTTCGGTAATATGTTAATAATAAATAATAATATTAGAACGGTAAAGATGGTTGCAATGTAGTATGATTCCCAATATGGCGTAATCTCGGTTATCTTGTGAATGTCAGTTGTATTTTGATTATTGTAGTTATCGTGTTTTGTGTGGAAAACTGTTTAAATGAACGTTAAAGGTGAGTTACAGTTAATTTTTTACGATAGTTTATCGGCACCGCATTAAATGTTATTTAAATTGTTTAAAAGTGTAATTTTAACTCGAAAATCGATGATTTTCAACTGGCAAGTTGATTTTTACAAAAAAAATATTACAGTTAAAATGTCATTTAATAGACGTTGTCACTAGATCATTATTTTTTAATTATTGTAGTATTATAATTGAGTTGTAATCGAGGTTGTAATATTGTGGTTGTGATTTAAAAAAATGAATTTTCTTAGGAGGTACATTAGGTAAATTGTTTTTACCCCCTGGAAGGGGTTACAAAAAGTATTTTAATCGATTTTATAAGGCCCTACCTATTTATTTCGTGTAAACAAAGGCAGCCGTTTATCGTTTATGTCATTTTTTAAGATAATTTTAACTTCCTTATTTGTAATGCAAAATCCTTTCTTAATACGTCAAAAACAATATGCAGGATATTTGGTTTAAATCGTAAAAACAATGGTCACTTGTTACAAAAACCTGTTAGTTAACTATTTAACTGTTAAATTTCAATTAAATTGTGTATTTTCCTGGGACAAGGAATATAACAGGTACTTAACTAAACAAAATAAAAAACGTTGAACAATAATGATTTATTAAAAATCTTCAATCTTTAAGTGTCTATAAAGTAAATTTTGTTAACTGTATCTTAAAGATTCCACATGGTCAACAGTGCAAAAAAATTGCGTTCAAAATAAAATTCAATGCAAAATTTATACAGAGTGAACCTATAAAACTCGCCTAACGGAAACATATATTTAGTTAATCTTTATTTAAATTATTTTTTTAAATATTTTCAATTTACTATATTTAATTAAAGTGAAGTTATTATTGATATAAGTAGGTATTTAACCTAATGAAGGTAATAATCACTTTATTGAACTTTATTTTTACCAATTATTGTTTTTAATGTAATCAATTATTCTTTAATGATGTAATTACTGTTACTAGTACTTATTTAAAATGGATAATTAAATAATTTTTTATTGTTTCAGATAACTTTAACCTACCAATAGAAGACAAACGAAAAACGGTTATGTGTAATTGTGTGTGACAGTGTAATAAAACTAAATATAATAAGATTTTCGAACGGTAATTCCTATTGGATAAAATAAGTAAAAATGTTGCCAAATTTCGTGTAGTTCGTTCGTTAGGTGTTATAGTTATTGAAGAAAAAAATTGCCAAGGAATTTACGATGGACGAAATGGACATGGGGAAGAAAATCATCAGAGCTCCGTCCTTGAAAAGGGGCAAAACTGAGGAGAGAATTACAAATAGGGTGAGTAAAAATTTAGCACCTATTTTAAAAACTCCATAACCACAAAATTAATTTTTTCATCGGTTTTTTTTCTGTTAATTCAGATGAAATTAGGACAATACAATCTGGGCCCATAACCTAAATTTTGAAAGAAATGCACTAGATTCTGGGCCGGTTTTTCAATCGTTGGTTAAGTTTAACTTACGGTTAACTTTCTTAGATACTATTGTGTTAACAATGGTATCTAAGGAAATTAACCGTAAGATAAAGTTAACCAACGATTGAAAAACCGGCCCTCTGTCATAGCTGCCAGATTTTGTTTAAACTTTTTTGACAGAATCTGGATAACATGATAAATTAAATAAGGCAACCAGATTAGTCTAAAGTTCCTTGTAGATCAGTGGCGTACTTTTTGGTAGGATAAAGGTTATTATAAATTATTTTTAGCCTTTAGAATTTAGAATAAAACGTTTCAGGTGCTTCTTTATTTTAATATATTACATTAATTATATAACACCCTGTATATTCTTAAAAACTTTTGTATATTTATGCTTAGTGCAAAATGTATAAAAATATAAAAAACTGGTGCTAAATCCTGTTTAATAAGCTACGTAGAAGAGTTATTATTAAAACTGGTTTATCAGGAAAAATTATCTACCGCTATTTTAAATTTATATTGCAACAAGTAAGTACACAAATTATAGTGGTACGTGATTTTCTTTATACCTACTACCTATAAAACTAAATTATTTTTGTGCGTTTTGAATGACTAACTTGTTCATGGGAATCTTTTGTTTAAAAAAATACAATTTTATTGTGCTTTCAAAATATGCTAATTTTTATGTAAAAAGGTATAATTTCAAAGAAATCCAAATGTCTGAATTTTTAATACAAACAAATTTAAAGTTAGGTAGGTATGACGGTTAAAATTATCGATACAGTAATAGGCCAATTATACAATGAAATTGTTATTAGTCGGTTATTTGCTTATTAGGTCATATTTCGTTTGTGAACCATGAACATTAAATATCAACAGTGAAATATATACACTCACAGGCAAAATAATCGATCCACACAAATTTTCGATAAATTTCAATCGCAAATATTGGAAATTGCAATGTTTTTTAAATTCACAAAAATAAATATATCGAGGTGAACCAAAAACAAAACTGTTAAGAATAGTTGTGACTTGATAAATAAAACTTAATTTATAACATTATACGGTTTTGCCACTCTACAGAGTGTCTTAAACATATGGTAAAAAACATATTTTTGTTTAAACCTGTATATTATGAACGTACGTCTATTTTTTAGTAATTTTTTAAAATGTGAGCGATTGTCCATTAATTTATCTACAATATTCTTTAATATTCGTTTAAATCCGACATCAAATAAAAAAGTTATTTGCGATTGAAATTCATCGAAAATTTGTGTGGATCGATTATTTTGCCTGTAAGTCAGGGCTCCCAGCAGGTAGTTTTTTTAAAGACTTGTCTATATTTTTGTCTTAAGTCTATAAAAGTCTATTTTTTTACCTAAAGTCTATAAAGTCTATATTTTCTGTTAAAATCAACTATTAAAAAATATTTTTTTAAATATAAATAATCACAGTTTTATAAATATCGAAACCACAGTAAACCAAGTGAAACATTCGAAAACTTCGCAGTTTACATTTAAAGTTCCCGCCGTCCAGACCCGAACCGCCCGCCAAAATTATTGCTGAATTGTTTCTGGTTTGGTCTAGGGTTTCGTTTACGTTTATAGTTTCGGTTCGCTAGGTTAACACTACCTATACAGGGTGTCCGGGAAAATGTGGGAAATATCTCGGATTCAGATAGAACATGAAAAAATAAGATGACACATTCCTATAAAAAAAATTCCTACTGGCCCTCCTTGCGGAGACATGGGCCCCGAAAGGACGCCCCTGCAAATTGGTTTTCCTTGAATAACTTTTAAAGTACTGAATATAATTTAATAAAAATTTAATATGATGGACCCTGGTAGGGACCTCTTAAAGTAGTGTTCTTGAAACATGTTTTGCTTTTTTTGTTTACCAGGGACGGACTAAGTTTTATACCTTAATGCTTAAATTTTGAACACCCCGTATGTAAAGACTTAAAAAAAATAAATTTGCGTAGCGTGAACCTTAAACTAAAATAAAGGTACTCTTGTTTATTGTCAATAAAATGAACCGTTTTCGAGAAAAAGAATAATAAACGAATTATTGTTTTATATTAAATAAAAAAACCGTTTTCGGGAAAAGGAATAATAAAAGAATTATTGTTTTATTTTTAATAAAAAAGACCATAAAGAACGTATTGTTGCAAACAAATAAAAATGTTAAAAAAATATGTATGGCTCAACTAATGTTTAAAGGGGTGAACCATCCCAAAAAAGAAGCGGGGAAGGTAACTTACAAGATTTAGAAAAACGAAAGGCGAAAATTATAGATCAGCTGCAGCCTGCAGCCCACCAAAAAAATATAACCCATTAAATGACTGATGCCAGTGTCTTTTATATACCTAAATGTGATTCTATTTATTATAAGTCATAATTTATTACAGAATTTAATATTTTTTTGTTATTTATGTATTTTATAACAGTTATGGTTACTTGTTAAATTTAATTCAATAAAAATTTATAATTTCAAGTTATCTCTATGTATTTTAAATTCAAATTTAGATCTTTTATCCCAAAAAAATGTATACCTCCATTTTATAGTTATTTCGGTAATTAATTTGGTCTATATTTGGTCGTTTATTTTTTATTATTAGTCTCTTAAGTCACTATTTCTCGCAACATGGACTGCTGGGAGCCCTGCTGTAAGTGTAATAGACTGGGCCAAAAAAATCGACTATTTTTTTTTGTAAAGTAGGTATATCGAAAATATTGTTTGGGGTGACAAAAAATTATTGTGAAAGTTTGAGTCCATAATATTAATATTAATATCATCGCAATTTTAATTTTTTTTCCTCAGCAAGTTTTTGTCTCAGAACTCCCAAACCATTGAGTTTAAAAAAATTGACCTGAATATATTTTTTTAAGAAAATTAAATGCTCTACAAAAAAGGTTAAAGTGAAATTTTCTGTCAGATGAACCGTTTCCTTAAAATCATGCCTTAAAAATTGGTATAGTTTTACATTTTGATCTTTTAAATTGGAATTCATGTAAAAATCAGTATTAATATCTTCCAAAATGTCGGACACTTTCGTGAGTGGGGGATATTTATAAGAATAGGCCAGTCGTACCAATACTCACTTATCTTAAAATAAACATAATTATATTTAGATATATCCAGTATACAGTTTTATATCTTTAAGAACAGAACAGAGGGAATTTTCCAATATTTGGTCTAATCGATCTTAAATTAAGAATAAGATTATTTCATTTAAAGTCTTTCTTAACATTTAAGGCAAGAATAAGATCGGCTTGTTTAAATAAAGACTTTTAACCTTTTTATTTATTGTGAAACAGTGGGTATGTTACTTTAATATTCAATAGATGTATTCTGGGTTGTATAACTATAATTTATATATTATTTGCTAAACAATAATACATACATCTGTTTTTGAATGTTCTCAGGTGATGTTTTGTATAATTGTAATTTTTAAACGCTGTGGCTCCCGTCCCGAGGCGGGACTTAAGTTCAGTCCCGATTGACGTCATAATTTTAAGATTTGTTATGTTATAATAAAATAATAATAATAATAAATTGTACCTGTATACATGTTAAGGGCACTTTAGTTACGTCATAAAACCAAACCAACCCAAACTCAACAACACAACCCAACCGACCCCGCCCCATTGGGCCCCCCTGCCCCATTGAGCAAAAAACCCAACTAAAATGGGCAAATTTATGTTACGATAAAAATAAAACACTTTTTAACAAAAAAACAACAAATTTATAAAATAAAAAAAATAAAAAAAGTTTGACAACTTCTAGTGGGATCGAACCCGGTACCTCTCGCATGCCAAGCGACCGCCCTACCATCTAAGCTATCGAGCTTGACACAAATTATAAAATCTCGGGGAATAAAAACGGATTTACAGTGTGTGACGTCAATCGGGACTGAACTTAAGTCCCGCCTCGGGACGGGAGCCACATCGATTTTTAAATGACCACAAAGAAAAAAATCGCCATTTGGTAATATTTAAGTAGGTAGTTTGATATATTAATACAAATAAAACGTGTAACACGGTATTAAATTTTTGTTTTTATTTATTAAATGCATAAATAATTTAAAATTAATTTAGCTTCGTTAACCCAAATTAACCACCTACCCGGATAGGATGCACCAAGCTTTTAAGGAAATTGCCAATTTTAAAGAGAAACATGTTTAAGGGTTGGTAACAAGATAAATTGCTCTTGCATCGCTTTAAGACATCCATTAACGTTTGATTTAATAGGTTATGAGAAATTTTACGACTAGGTCGTAAATTTGATGAATAAACGAAAATGCTGTGTCAGGTCATATTTTAAATATGAAACAATGTAATTTATGTAAAAAAAGTAGTTAAATATAGGTGAATACGGCCCAGGAGAGGCAAATTATTCCTAGCGGATAATAATCTTCGCTTTGAAAAGAATTTATATAAAAGAAATTAAAATTTTATGTGAACACACGTGAATGTTGTCCATTCATATGTCGCTTTAGTCACTGACTGAAGTTAGTTAGTTGACAATTGACAAATGTCATACAAATGTTAAAATAAATTGCCTTTCTTGTAAAATAATATTAAATGTGAAAATTATTTTATTTTCTCAATATAAAAATACAAAAGTATTAAATAGTTTCTCAACGCCAATATTTGAAAAGTTTGTATGAACATTGTACTGACCTTTTAATTTCGCCGGCAGTAAACTATAACTTAAATTCGGGCACGGACTCCACTGTAAAGTGCTCATAAAACATTTTCTTTACTTTCACTGTGAAAAACTGTCAATTTTCAAGAAATACATTTCGATTTATAACCTTTATAATTGTGTTTATAAAATATAAAAATTTGACATTTGACGGTGACACACAGATTCCCCTATTGTTTCATAGATGGCGCTCTATGCAAATTTTTGATTTAAATCATTTTAAGATAATAATAAGTATTTTTCGTAGAAATCGTAAATTATCAATAATAAATATTACTGTCAATTTGACAGTGTCAGAGTATTTAATTAAGGTCTTCAGCAGAAGTACCATTTTTTAAATACTAAAAATACTAAATCAAACTGGCAAAATAACTTCTCGTAAATTGTTAAATAATAATTACCATTTTTCTTTTTTAATAGCATCCGCATCCCATCTCCTTTATATGCATGATAATGTTCGTCGTTTCCTTTTCGATTATTTTCTGAAAATACGTCACGTACATTAAGTCTCTCGTTTTGCCATGTATAGGCAACTTATTATTATTTTTATTGGCATTTTATAGTTGTACGAGGTCGCATCAATTTTTTTTATTTTTGAAATTGTTGAATTTATTAAGTCTGTAGAACTATAATTCATAAAATGCGATATAACTAAATTTACCATTTATAACACTAATGCTCTTATTGCGATCTACAAGGTTGCTATAAAACTATAAAGAGCAATTAAAATATATTTGCAGCTTGCTATTATTTAATCCTTTAAGAAAGCAAATTAGTTTTAAAATAGCCAATGTCGAGAGTATTATAAAACCAGTATTAGAACTTTTAGTTTATCTTAGGGTAACTTTAAAACAAATTTGTATTTTTAAATACTTTTGCTAGAGCAAGAGCTAGGTATTTGCGAGACTTTAATTCATATTTAATAAATTATAATCATTGAACAATTGAAATGTCAGTCTTGTAACAAATCAAAGTAGGTGGAAATTTATGTGCCATTGATGTAAATTTTATTGCATTGTTTTTATAAATTTGTTTTCACATTTAATTTTTTTTTATTTTTACTCGTGTTTTTTTATTAACTTGGTAGCTTATGCCAGTTTGAAAAAGATAAGCAATACCTTACATTCAAAAACATTAATTAAATTTCATTTATTTAAAAAGAGTTTTAATGATTCCAACTCCACTGTGAAAGTACTATGCTCCACACCTCAAAGTCCCACCACGTGACCACGTACGGAATTCAGTCTTTTAAGGCTTTTCAGGTTATGTATAGTCAACGAAAGAAATAATATTATGTTTAGGCGTTAAAAATATTTAAATCTTTATAACATTACAATAACATGGATGGTTTAAGAATTTAAGAATATAAATACTGCATTTAATGAAATTCTAAAATGTATGGTGCCAAATAAGTAATATTTTTGTGCATTTGGTCTAAATATCTGGTTTTCTCCATAAAATAATTTTAACTAAACAGCATTTATTTAAAAAAATCTAGCTTCTCTATTATGGAATAAGAATATCTGTATTAAAGGTAGGTTAATATATTATAACAAAAATATCATCTTATTTTGTAATTTTAAGGTTAGAAAAATTTATTTTGACCAAAATAAATAAGCATTTTGGATTATTTAAAAGATTGTATAATATGGTGTTTAAAAATGTGGTAGTTTTTTTTATCCAGCTTAAAGTGTACCTACCTACATAAATAGTTCAAAAGCTTCGACTGAATTTGATCTACATCGAAAAATTATAACTTTAAAATTTTTAATAAATCGCATGTCATGGGAGTATTAAATATTTTCACATTGCAAGTTTCTCTAAAAATTTCAAATAATCCACTTATTTATTTTGGTCAAAATAGATTTTTCTAACCTTAAAATACAAAATTAGATGATATTTTTTGTTCTAATACATTAACCTACCTTTGATACAGGTATTCTTATTTCATAATAGAGAAGTTAGATTTTTTTAAATAAATCCTGTTTAGTTAGAACTATTTTATGGAGAAATGTAGACCCAATGCACAAACATATCACTTATATTGCACAATTACACTTTGGAATTTCATTAAATGCAGTATTTATATTTCTAAGTTCTTAAACCAACCATTGTTATTGTGATACTCTAAAGATTTATTAACTTTTAACGCTTAAACATAAGCGGTAACACTATAAATATTATTTCTTTCATTGACTATACTTTGACAGTCACATAACCTGAAAAGCCTTAAATGCCAAATTTTGAAAAGACTGCGCTCCGTACGTGGTCACGTGGTTGGTCTTTGAGGTGTGGAGCATAGTACATATCTTGAAAGAATTGCGTAAATATGTTTTCAAGAGAACTATACTTCTTCCACTAATTATTTTGTATCAAGAGAGTTTAAGGGCTTGAAATGTGACTTCTTCGGTTCAAGATTCAACAAAAGCATTTGTAAAAAAAAAAATCTTTGCGACTAGTACTAGAACTGTAAAAAGTGTTACCTACGTTAACTTTTTGACAGTCCCCTGTACACCGATGTCCACCGCACACAGAAACAGTACGTCTCGTACGGTGTATGTGTGGGGCGCGAGGTGGTGGGGGGATGAGGGGGGCGGTATTCGTTCCATGGTTACCTGGATGACGTGTGTGACGCGTTTAGTGAACACCTTGCCGCGGCCGACTGCGATACCGATACGAAAGGAGACTCCGTCGCCTCGCAACGACGTAAAAAAACGAAAACAAAACAAAATCGCGCACGTGAAGAATTTTTCGAGGGATTTTGTTGGTTTTTTCGCCGGTGCTGTATACAAACAAACAACAATTGTTTTGATGTGCTCGATTTGTTCAGTGGGTGTCGAGTTGCGGTAGTTGTTGTTAATATGCATCAGGTATGACATTTTTTTTTTTTTAATTACCAGTTGTTTGGTAATGGGTGTTGAAAGGGTGAAAATTTATTGTGGAGGGGGAAGCCACGGGGTAAGAATTTCAATCGCAGGTGCTTTGAAGTTTAAATTCCTGGAATTCCTTTAAACTATGCGGCTAGATTTACCATTCATTTTCTTGCGGTTATTGAATTACAAGTTGGCCAGTTCTTTTTATAATTTTTTCGTATATAATATCACAAGAGAACAAATTTTGCCGGCAAAATTTTCGACTGGTATGAAAATTTGTTGCTTGGCGAAAATTGCCAAAAAGCAACAAACTTGAATGAAACCAGAAGAAAATTTTGCCGGTAAAAATGTTCTCTCGAGTGATATTCGACAAGACTATTTCACGAGAAAAAACAAGACAATTAATGCACCATACTAACGAAACATGTAATCTTAATTTATTTGTTAATAATAAATGTACGCTACAAATTATAAAACTAATCTTTGGCAATTACTTAAAATATAAATGCGTTCAAAACACCAAATAATATTTTGGCACAAAGTACCCATTAACACTGTTAGATTGGTGTAAATTTTATCGCTCTTTTTAAAGCAAGCTTAAAATCTCGTAGTTTTATACCTGTAGGTTACCAATTCTTAGCCATTTTGCGACTAAAATTTCTATCGAATCGGGAAATTCTTCTATACAATTATACGAGGTGTGTTCAGAAAATAACGGGAATTGCTAAATTTCGCGGGTTCGGAGGGTCCGGTTGTCATAAAATTTTCTTTATTATGTTGGTATACATGCCCCCGAAGTATGATAAAAACTTTAGCTGTTTTCATTGTTTACTTTGTCTGTGTCAGCCGCTAAGGTTAGACGTGTTTTTATGAGCTCGGCGATTTTTCGTTCGTTAAAAGAATGGATCAAAGAATTTGTCTCCAATTTTGCTTAAAAAATGAAATAAATTCTGTGAAATGTTAACAAAGGCCTATAGTGAGTCTGCTATAAGTAAAACAAGAGTTTACAAGTGGTATAAGAGTTTCCAAGATGGCCGTGAAGACGTTGAAGATAACGAACGCCCCGAACGCACAAGCACATTAACAACCGATAAAAACATAGAAAAAGTGGAAAAATGGTTATAAACCATTAGAGAAGTCGCTGATGATGTTGGTATATCGATTGGCTCATCCCATGAAATGTTTTCGAATGTTTTGGGTATGAAACGCGTGGCAGCAAAATTTGTTCTAAAATTGTTAAATTTTGAACAAAATTTTTGGCCAAAAACAATACTGTAATGATGCCCCAGCCTCCATATTCGCCAGACATGCCTCTGTCTGACTTTTTCCTATTCCCAAAAATAAAGAGAACCTTAAAGGGCCGTCGTTTTGCAAGCATAGATGACATTAAAAGCGCATCGCTGAAAGAACTAAAGGCTATCCCAAAGATCGAGTTTTAGAAGTGTTTCGAGTATTGGAAGAAGAGCTGGCACATGTGCATAATATCCAATAGGCGACAACATTAATGTAGACGAATAAATAAATATTTGTTTCAAAAAACGAAAATTCCCGATATTTTCTGAACACACCTCGTATACCAAATTTTTGCAGTGATAAACTCAAAATAAAACTTCGAAGGTCCTCTTTGCAATTCAGTGCTAAAGTTGTCATCATAAAATGCCCTCTGCTTGTATTAAAATTTAAAAATTTTCATAATATAAGAAATATTAATTATATTATTATAACATCGACCTTTTGCATATTTGTAAGCCGATTTAAATTAATATAATAAGGATTAAATTTTTCACCTTGGATTTATGCCAAAGCATTGTTGAAACCAAAGTTGTGCACAAAGGTTTGCTCTACTTTGTATTGTAAGAAGAATACTTATAATGTTTGTGAGGTTAGAGTTGAATCGCTGAAACCACATTTAAAAAGTTTTTATTTAGGGGTCAAATGTAATGCACTGCAATGGCAACCTTTATTCACGCGGAATATATGTTTGGCCGCCAAGTTTTCCATATCTGAATCTACAACAACAATTAAATTAAACGTTTCTCTCCTAATACGCTAAAAAGCGTTTTAATTTTAATAACCTACAACTATAAATGTCGATTGAAAAAAAAAATGAAATATTGACTTGCTATCGCATATACAGGGTGAGTCATTTAACTTGAAACTTTAATATTCTGCTAACACTGCTCTGGGATATTCCCAAATCTCTAGATAATTCTCTTGTGCTTGCATGATGATTAGCGGCCGTTGCTGCTAATACATTAATACATTAATTTCATTATTTGAAATGAAGTACGTGATCGAATTTTATCCGGAAAACGCTGAGCGTAGATATTAACAGCATCATCAAGATACCTGCCTGCTTCTCCATAAATCAAAATCATTTCTATTTTTTCTTCCACTGTTAAAAAACCCATTATGAATAACAGCTTAATGAAAGGAGGTCTTTTTGTTTGCAAATTAATCTTCGAACTAAATTGATTAAATAATGCTAAACTATATTAGGATTAAATTCATTAATTGACAAAATAATGTTTTTTAATCTTAAATGAGGTATTTTTATTAAAAATGGTACCTACAATAATCCTTTAAATTACAGGATTAAATGCCGGCAGGTTCAAAGTTTATGTTAAATGACTTACCCTGTATATACCTACTTTATTAATGGTTAATGTGTTCGAGATATGAGAAACGCTAATTACCAAGGCTATTTCAAATGAATTAAAATTATTATTGTAATTTTATACACATGTTTTTTCTTGATTATTATAATCTCTACAAAAGAATAGCGGCTATTTATTATGTTGTTTTCTATACCTACGAGGTGTGTTCAGAAAATAACGGGAATTGTTAAATTTCGCGGCTTCGGAGGGTCCGGTTGTCATAAAATTTATTTATTATGTTGGAATACATGCCCCCGAAGTATGATAAAAACTTTAGCTGTTTTCATTGTTTACTTTGTCTGTGGCAGCCGCTAAGGTTAGACGTGTTTTATGTTCTCGGCGATTTTTCGTTCGTTAAAAGAAATGGATCAAAGAATTTGTATCCAATTTTGCTTAAAAAATGAAATAAATTCTGTGAAATGTTAACAAAGGCCTATAGTGAGTCTGCTGTAAGTAACACAAGAGTTTACAAGTGGTATAAGAGTTTCCAAGATGGCCTTGAAGACGTTGAAGATGACGAACGCCCCGAACGCACAAGCACATTAACAACCGATAAAAACATGGAAAAAGTGGAAGAAATGGTTATAAACCATCAGAGAAGTCGCTGATGATGTTGGTATATCGATTGGCTCATCCCATGAAATTTTTTCGAATGTTTTGGGTATGAAACGCGTGGCAGCAAAATTTGTTCTAAAATTGTTAAATTTTGAACAACATTTTTGGCCAAAAACAATACTGTAATGATGCCCCAGCCTCCATATTCGCCAGACATGCCTCTGTCTGACTTTTTCCTATTCCCAAAAATAAAGAGAACCTTAAAGGGCCGTCGTTTTGCAAGCGTAGATAACATTAAAAGCGCATCGCTGAAAGAACTAAAGACTATCTCAAAGATCGAGTTTTAGAAGTGTTTCGAGTATTGGAAGAAGAGCTGGCACATGTGCATAATATCCAATGGGGACTATTTTTAAGGCGACAACATTAATGTAGACGAATAAATAAACATTTGTTTCAAAAAACGAAAATTCCCGATATTTTCTGAACACACCTCGTACATTTTATAAACCACAGTGAAAGAACTGTTTTGGAATAATATAATAACGAATATAATAAAGCAAAGTTCTTTGCACTATAACATTTGAAAGGGAAAACAGCAATAAAAAAAAACATACTTTTCAAATTTAATTATTCTATAAAGCTGCAATTAGTCAGTTAAACAATTTTAAAAGGCATTCGTCAAGGTTTTTTTGAAATGCTTTTTAAGGCATTTTGTCATTGCTTTGAATGTGAAGAATCCTGTGTTTATAAACAATAATGGTCTTATTTGGTAATCTAATTAGCGTTTTATTCTCAGATCATAAATTTCATTTAATTCCTTGAATATTTTTCGCACAATGTGACGAAATCCGTAAGTCGATTTGTCATTTACTTAAACACTCGCTCGTCCCCAATTAAAATTGAAACATAATATACTATAATCTAAAAAATAATGCAATGCACTAGCATAGAAAAGTCAAGTTCAAAACAGCGAAGGCTTTTGTTGATTTTTTCTGTTAGCATAGTTTTGAGGTTATTCGAATTGAAAAAATTATGTGGGCGAGACCTTGAACGTAAACAATGAATTTTTATTTATTTTTTCGATCATTTTACACCACATCTGGGAATTAAGTAATTCTATTAACATTGAAGTACGCCCAACTAAATAATAGTTCTAAGGAAAAAAAGAATGGTTTAATACATATTTTAAGAAATAGAGAAAATAAAATTCATACTCGTATTCAGAAAATAACGGGAATTATTAAATTTCGCGGGTTCGTAGGGTCCGGTTGTCATAAAATTTTCTTTATTATGTTGGTATACATGCCCCCGAAGTATGATACAAACTTTAGCTGTTTTCATTGTTTACTTTGCCTGTGGCAGCAGCTAAGGTTAGATGTGTTTTATGAGCTCGGCGATTTTCGTTCGTTCGAAAGAAATGGATCTAATAATTTGTATCCAATTTTGCTTAAAAAATGAAATAAATTCTGTGAAACGTTAACAAAGTCCTATAGTGAGTCTGCTATAAAAAGATATGATATGATATAAAACAAGAGTTTACAAGTGGTATAAGAGTTTCCAAGATGGCCGTGAAGACGTTGAAGATGACGAACGCCCCGAACGGACAAGCACATTAACAACCGATAAAAACATGGAAAAAGTGGAAGAAATGGTTATAAACCATCAGAGAAGTCGCTGATGATGTTGGTATATCGATTGGCTCATCCCATGAAATTTTTTCGAATGTTTTGAGTATGAAATACGTGGCAGCAAAATTTTTTCTAAAATTGTTAAATTTTGAACAAA